CAGAAGCACTTTACCTACTCCTGCTAGTGATGCTATGTACTCTGTAGTAAGTCAAATATGCCCAGTGCCCACGTGGAGCAACAGAGGCCATACCTAATTAAAGCACCAGGATAGCCTGGACACTGGCATAAACATTAATGGTACGGGGTATAGCATCTGTATACACTAGACTACTAGGTACATCTGTAAAAAAGCGCCAAGGAAGTACATACTGTATTTAGGAGGCAGTGGAGTGAAAAAAAGAAGTGGGCAAAAATAGCTAACGAAGTAGGTCAAGCACCATAAATCGGGTCTGAGCAATTACCCCTTTCATGTGCATATATGTGGCCCATGGAGAAATAATAATAATACCACTGAGTTGGGCAATACCTGACAGCTCTTCTGTGTCGTCAAGGTGGGCCTTTGTCTTGTAAGCGATACTCAGTACGGAGTACGTGGGAAATACAAGAGAGTGCTGTATATATGTACCATGGGGCCCACAGACCAGTCATACCCCATACTGATGGTTTCAGTTGGACAAGTTGGATGGATAATATCTTGTTAGTATTCCTGAAGTTACATACTAAGTTGAATTTGGCCGTTTTCCGAGCTCGCAAAGTAGATCCCTTAAGTGATAAATGGCATTGTTCACATTCAAGTCTAGTGGCCCTGGCGGGTGTGGACTGTGGAGTAACCAAAAAGGGGGTCGTTAACCCGATCGACAGACGCCATGGATCTTGGATAATCGGCCAGCATCCGAAACATCGTATACTCTATCCTACCTCATAGTGGTAGCATTACTTAAAGTATCCGGAGAGAATTGTCATGGTTCCATTCTGCCACTTATCAGACTTTTGATGCTACCAGTATAAAGACGTTATGGTCACCTCAATTGTCAATGCTACAATATTGGCTACAGCCTTGGTTGTTTAGATTAGATTCATATTATCGATCTCTTGTTCTATCTCGGTAAGGTATAAATGTACGGAGCAGCGACGGAGCACCTGTACTTGAATTGATATCAATAGCAGCTGCGTATTATTATTATTGATTCCCCTGACCCACCAAGTAGACATAGGATTAACGTTCTTTTACGGAACTTCTCAAATCTACGACAGTTGAAGGCACATACGTACATATACAGAAAGACCCCAGAGTAACATACATAAATCGACCACGCCAATTTGCCAAATAAGACATACAACTATTACAGTAGGAATGGAATTTATACAAAATCTCCAGCGGAATGGATAGTTAGTCTCTCTACCTTAGCATAGAGTACTTGCCAGGATCTTTCCTTGCTCTTCACCGGCAATGTATTTGGGTTCCGCCTGCGCGGGGTACGTCCCAGTCAGGACACCAATCATCAAATCATGGATGTTCTTGTCTTTTGCCCAGAGGATAACCTTTCCGAGGTTGGAGCCTTGCATCTCTCACGTCCCTCTCTATCCTACCTTGCGCATCGTCTTCGTATCAAGATGAAGTCCACTCTGCCCTTTTTTGTCAAGTGAAAAAAAATACCTTCAACTTATGGAGAACCGAAGAGCAAGATAGTGGTGCTGGTGATATCAACAGTATATGAAAATGAAACCTGATTTAAGTATTTGATTTCGTCGTGGCTGTTCCCCGGGGTAATTCCGGTATTGACGACTGAATTATAAATGCCATTGATACGAGGATACATCGTTGTTAAGGTAACATCACTGCCATTTCGTGCTCCGGTATTCCGTATCAACAAGCGCAATATTGTAACTCGTTCCCGGTTTCCCCTTTTATGACTAGCACTCTATCGGACATTTATAATCAATCAGAACTTAGTTATTATCTCTTGCCGCAAGCAATAATCTTGTACCCTTGAAGCACTATTATAGAGTACTTCAAATCACAATTCTATATTCTATATATGGATGCATCTTGATGTATTATGATCTCTCAATTCTCCGAGAATGGTAAAGTCACGGGTAGCGAAAACAAGTAATCAATATAAATGCGCTGTATACATATTAATAACAAATGATAAGCAGGCGAGAGCATCTATCTATCTTTGGTAATTAAGCACTACCAACTAATATTTCCTATCGTTGTAGACTAGACAAGTATATATTCCCCTTTTCTCCGCAAGTGGTCAGCATCAAAGTGTCCTGTTTGTGATATAAAGGCTGTTAATACTTGTACGGAGTACACATTTATTTTATATAAATAAAGTAAAGGCATTAATAGATCGGTTCTTGATGATAATTATGATATAGGGTATTCTTAAAACTGAGTTGTAGCTATATAAAATACATATTCACTAGCATACATCTTTAGTAAAAAATGAACTTAATGTCCGACGGCGTAATCATGGTATGACATTGATTGGGCTACATACCCTCGTGTTCTCCACTTACGCGTTCCTGACTTGCGAAGTGAAAGGCGCTAGTAAATGGTTTCCTGCACCGAGATACGGCGATGATACGTATATATACACAGGTATATTCTTTTGGCTACAGGATCCATCGCAGAGAATTGTAGACCTCAGAAGAAAAGGGAAAATGGTGAGATCCTGGAAACCTTTCGACCACTGATTTGAAAATGGACAGCTGGTATCTCCCAGTCAAGAAGTTGGGCTCCACTGGAAAGCTGATTCCCATTGGTGACTCTTTGGTCACGCTTCGGTTGAATGATGTTTTTGTTCCCTTTCCCCTCTTTGAGGACCCGTAGCGGTAGTACCGACGAAGTGAGTGGTCAACACGCCCATTACAGTATCTTTCCTCATCCTCCTTTTCCCGTCAGTAGCAGTGGCTAGGTGGCCTTCCTCCTCTCCACATCACATCATCTCTTTCCGCACCAGCCGCTATTTCTGGGCTTCGCTTTCAATGCTACTCTAGACTTGATAGTGTTGTTGTTTTAGATTATTGATTTGGCGTTACTTTTATTGTTCTAATTTGAAATTTAAATTTTATGGCTGTACTCCTTTACTTTTCAGTCTGGAGAAGCCTCCACTACGGACCCTGCACGCGGTCTTCGCTTCCCACCCCGACATACGCTACACCTCCTTTAAACTAGTCTCGCACCATCCAGACCGTTGTTCAAGTCGTTCCTTGGGCACGCCATTCCCTAGTTAACTATTCCTAACAGTCTCCCTGGGCCAAACTCGAGACGTGCACCTTCCGTCCCGAAGTGCGGGTAGACTATCCAAGCTCTAAATTTCCCCCTAGCCAAAGCTGACATATCAAGCTTCATTTTGACATCAAGTTATCAACATTGTATTCACGCCACCTTCGGACCAAAGGTGGGGTGAGCACCGTCCAAACAAAGGGCTCAAGAAATAGGAAAGGTAAAGGAGGTGCTGAAAAATTTTTTATTTGCCACCCCTTAACGGAGTGCTCCGCCTATTAGGAGAGGTAGAACAAGAGGGAGGCGAGCCAAAAAAAAAAAAAAGTCCCTCCGACAGGGAAGGCTTAGCCGGGTTACGAGAGAGACACAGTACTTACACACAGTTGGAGGTACTCCGTACAGTCCAACGATAACTGAGGGGAAAGGGGCCAAAAGAAAAAAAATTACATATTTTATTAAGAAGAGGGTGGGTCAAATTGCTAGCAACTACTATCTTCGGACCCGTCACCACTAACCGACAAGCACTCTGATCCAAGGGCGAGGAAGAGAAAGGAAATAATTTTCTTTTCTTTTTTTTTTTTTTTTTTTTTTTTGTTTAAAAAAAAAAAAAAGCAGAAAGAACAAGTAATAATTAATCTTCCAGGGTGGCCCCAGTAATAATACTTACCAAACCGCCCCTTCTCGTTCTTGTTCGTTATTACCAGGTGTTACCTTCCTACTTTACTTGGTTCTATTACAACCCTCACTCCTCTATGATTCCGCCTCTACGTTTTTCTTTCCTGAGAGTTTAAAAAAAAAATTTCAAGGACCAAAAAAAAAAAAAATAAATAAAAAAAAGGACCGAAAGAGAAGAAGAAAGAAAAAATACGGGCCCACGCGCTCCACCATTCTCTCGGATCCCACGAGGTGCCCTAACCTGTGCTTTTCCTCCTGCCGAAAAGCCTCTTGCTGGACCGTCCAAAGCCTTTTTAGGCCGCCTCCTCTGCCCAGGTTTTTTCTTTTCCGGGTCGAGTCGAACCATTTTCCCTCCGTCTCGAATTTAGGGTGACTGTGCTACTGTATTGCCCTCTTGAATCGAAGCATCGTCTCTTGCGCTATCACTGTTTGAGCTGTGTGGATTTGATACCTATTTATTATTCACTCCTGTTATTTTTATTTTGTTTTATTTTATTCCGTGCTAGGCCCTACCTAGTGACTAACTGGCTCTGCCCCGGCTGCTTTCTAAACCTTCACCTTGCCCCGGCGCAGACAGCACCGTCCCTTTTTACTCCCGCTGGTTCCTCGTGCTGTTGTGCCTACCGCCACCCTGCAAGGCATTCTCCGTCACCCTAAGAGGCGACTAAGGCAATTAAGCATCGTGATCCAGCACCACTGTCTCTAAGAATTACCACTGCCTTGTTCTGTATTTCTTTTTTTATCATATTCAGGGAGAGATTTACAAAAAACAGAACCCAAAAGCAAAACTTAATCTGGTCTTGTCCCCCTCCCCCCCCTTTTTTTTTAAAATTTTTTTTCCTCGATTATCAGTGCGTTGGAAAAGCGTTGCAATTCTTGCAACTAAATTTCACGCGTCGATCTTTTTCCTTTTTCTTTCCTTTTTCCATCTCTCTCTCTTTCTCTCTGCATCCACGGGGCCTGCTGCAATAAGCTCTCTTACTTCCTGGCCCGCGTCCAATTCATTAAACAGTACGTTTCAACCAACAGGAGACAGGAAATCTCTGGAAGCATTTGCCACAGGATCTTACTCTGATCTCCTAAGCTACCTCTCCCTGTCGCATATTTCACTTTTCGGCACGTCCTCAATCTTACAACCACAAAGCTCATTGTGTCACTTGACGCGTCTCTAAACAGGCACGCGGGTTTATTTTAGTTTGGAGGATTGTCAGGGATATTTACCCGGGTAGCGGCAAGACTTGTATTATATGGACAACAGACCTGCCTCGGAGTACGCGCAGTCAGGTTCGCACTTTCCATATCCACCATCTGCTGCGGCACATTCTGAACATTCAGCTGCAGACCAGGCTTCTGCTGCTGCCACTGCTCAATACACCCCTCAGCCGGAGGTTCGCCCTAACCCTCAGTATACCCCTCAGCCTGAGGTGCGCCCCGCCACCAATATTTCGGCCTCCAACACGCCGCAGTCCGACTACGGTCTGAACCCCCCGCCAGCCGCGCGCTCTCCAGCTTATCCCGAGTACCTGGCCCGCCCGCCTCATTACCATCACGCTCCCAACACTCAGGCCGGTGGCGCGGCAGGTATGGCTCAAGCAACAAGTCCGTCCATGACCACTCTCCATGATGGGCAGCACAATGACCATCGCAATCATCACACGAACGTTAAGTCTGACGCGGACGTTCCTATAGATCCCTCAATTGCGGCCTCCAGCCCCACCTATCCTCCTCCCTACTCGCCTTACCAGCCCCAGGGTCATGATATGGCCCAGTACCAGGGTCATCCCCCTCCGCCGCCTCCTCAGATGTATACGCGTCCAGAATGGTCGCATGGGTATGGACAACACCAACACGGTCTGCCAGGACCTTATAGCACTCCTGCCACAACGGTTGGTCCCGCCTCCCCTGCTGCAACCGCAGGGCCGCGCCCTGGTCAGGTATGTTTTTGATGATTCTGGCGTCTGTTTCCAAAGGCTGCGCATCTGCGTTTAGTTTTGTCTGGGACACCCCGGATACGGGAGCCGCTATCAGGCTACCTCCAGGGACGGAACTGCGGCACACTTTTTCATCATAATTTTTGTCCTTGTTCATTGGCTCACATGGAATATGATCCAGGTTTATTCATTTGTTCCTATCCCTGGTGCGCAACAGCACAAGAGACCACGGCGCCGTTATGAAGAGATTGAGCGTATGTATAAGTGTGGATGGAATGGTTGTGAGAAGGCTTACGGTACCCTCAACCATTTGAACGCCCACGTAACAATGCAGTCTCACGGAGCCAAGCGTACTCCAGAAGGTATGTTAATGGATCTCTATAATTTATATTTTGATCCTTCTTTTATTGTTGGTGTTTTCGCCGATGGCATCGTATTTTATGGGAGGGGTTGATAGATAGCTGGGCTGGGGACTAGTGCGGGTGCCACACACTAGTCTAGTTACACTGCCTTAGTGCGAGCAGATCGCAGTAGTGTGAAAAGCCGCGCTGAGGTTAAGCTATCGTCGACTCCCTTCGACCATGCTCTGATAGCAGTGCTTTGTTGTGTTTCATTACGCCCGACATTCCCCCCTTCTGTTCCCTTTTCCCTGCCCTCCATTGCACTAATAAGCTATACTCGGACTTCTGGCCATCCCTGGCTAACTTTATGCATAGAATTTAAGGAAATCCGCAAGGAATGGAAGGCCCGCAAGAAGGAGGAAGAGGCCCAGCGCAAGGCGGCCGAAGAGCGAGAGCGTGCTGCCGCTGCTCAGGCGGCGCAAGCGAACCAAGTTGATGCTCCTAATCCCGCTGATCCCCAGGGTGCTCAACCTCCCACCTACCCTGGTGGTGTCCGACCTCAGTTGCCCCCGATTGGATACCAGCCGGCTGATGGTCAAGTGCCTGGTCAATACGGTGCTCCCGGTGGCGGCATGGTCTATCAGGGCAACGGACAAATGGCATACCCTCCCAACTATCCTCACTCCCCATACGGGCAGAGCGGCCAAGTGTACCAGCAACGTAAGTAGCCAAGTCCTTTGTATTTGCATTGTTGGTTAGGACCGGGCCATAAAAAGCAAGAATGAGACGAACTACGACACTCGGAGGAACGGAGAAAGAAAGACGGGAACAACCCATCCAAGGAAATTTATGGGGAAATGGTCCTCAAGTCTATTGCAGTGGGGCTTGTGGCTGATCGACGATGGCTTCGCAGAAAACCAATCAGCCAGCTACGCGCAATAGATAACCTGCTTCCTTGTCGTTTTTAAGGTTGCATATTCTAATAACAAATTCTCCTAATCCCACATCGCCATGCCGGATCTAATTCTTTAAATTTGCGCACATGATACCATTTCCTGGCCTTGATTGGTGCTGTCCAAAAGAGTGGCCTTGCAACCACCACCTCTGTCCCATTTATTTTTTTTCTTCCCTTTTCTTTTCTTCTTCTTTTTTTTTTTTTTTTTTTTTTTTTTGAATTAGATCGCATGAGCAAAAGAATATCCCTAATGGGGGGAAGTGGTTTTGTTTTCCCTGCATGGGTACTGGCTTATCGGATTGTGACTTGGGATGTCTGGCGTGGCCGTCTGCATTAGTTGTGCTTTAGTTTCTTTTCTTCATTTTCTTTATTTCCTTCCTCTTTTCCTTGATTACTTTTCTCTCTGCCCGTGATGGGTTATGCCAACTTTGTTACAATTAAATTTCCCTGGAATGCTGTATGTGAATTACCTGCAATGCTTATCTGCCTTACTGCCATTTGTCTCTATGCTGTGGCCAAATATGTTACCCAGGGTTTTGGTCCCCAAATGCGTGCATGTGATCCTTTTCATTTGCTCTCAACTTTTTCAGCTTCGGTTTGGTGGCTCAAGTCTGGTTTTACATTTCTCAGTTTGAATGTTGTTTATGTCCCTTCCCCTCTCTTTTTTGTCCTCTTTCCGCCTCTTCTGCTTCCGAGCGTTTCATGTACCTGAATTTAGGTAATAAATGTTGATAGTAGGATGCTACAGGCAGATAGTATGCTTTCCAGATGTATTTGTGTGCATAGATGAGCTGGACTACCACGTAAAAACTATCGGGTATGGGATGTGTCAGATCCAAAAAGAGCCAAGACAAGCGGTTGTACAGCTATATGAAGCTCTGCATTGCTGGTCGTTGGCGGTTTGTAGGGGTAAACTTTAAGCTTTGCTAAGTTCAGAGTACCGCCTAGTATGCTCTGGATACAAGTCGAATGGTAACAATACATTCAGCAGTTAAAAGGGACCGATTAGCCGTTAGACTAGTGATGAGAATGTTCCAGGCAGAAGACACTAATTAGTCAGTAGTACCGAACCTAGGATGTAAGGTGGTTGACCAAGCCGAGACTAGGTTAGCCACCGGACTAGTATCTAGGTCGATCTAAGGTAGGGATGGGAACCTTTAACGCCTCGAGCCACGAGGATGACGAGGCACGGAAGGCTAAAAAGGCTTAAAGTTATCTATGGTTTAGCGGTTCCTTACTAGATCCCGGCTGGTGTAATGTGACAATGTCAGCAAGATGCTGGTTGGAACTAGTCTAGCGGCCGTGGTGGCATGGATGGATCATGGATGGTCTAGCGATGGAACGAACTAACGAAGCGATGGCGATGAGCGCTAGTATCGCTGCCTGAGGTTCCCACCCGTCTATTCGGGGACGGAGTTACTTTGTTCACGAAATATCAGGCTAACCATATCCTGCCTAGTCTGGATATTTGCTTTGATGCCTTCATTCTGCTTAAGGCGGTCGGTGCTTGGTGATGGATGCTGCAGCCGAAGCCCTTTTCTGGCCTTCCTCAACTCTTTTGGCTGGTGTTCTTTGAAGTCTGCATGATTGACACCTAGATCTCTCTCTTGTGTTGTAAATTTTACCTTTTTTTTTTTTTTTCCTCCTTCTGCTTTGGTTTAGTTTTTACGTCACCTTCAAGTACCTTGTCAACTCAATCCGGAAAAACTTTTCTGAACCTTTCGCAGATGATTGCATTGCTGATAGACAACTTCAATTAGAAGGGTCTCATTCGCTTTTCGGGACTGTGACGGATATAAGAAAAGCGATTCTTTTGGTTTACCCTTATTTAACTCTATTTTTTAAATGCTGCGTTGCAGCAATGCCAGTGCTCTGCGGACAGGGGTCGGAAATACTATGGCGCTGAGAATATCTCTGGGCACGAGGTGGACAAGAGGTATTCAGACACGAGCAGTTGCTTCCTTATTGCATCAGCCTATTGCACGAAGAATGGTGGTCCTACGACAAACTGGCGTTTGGAAGTCATCGGGAGATGTGAAGCCATACTCTACGGGTCCGCCCGCGGGTCCAGAAACCGACCCCCCCAAGACACAGCACCGGCCCGAGCGCAGTGATAATGAGGATGCCATGCTGTTTGATATTGCGATGGAGGGGACGTCCCCTAAAGCGCGGGAGCAGCGCGGGCACAGCGCGCGCCGCAAGACCTCAAAGGTGGTTGAACAAGAGCTGAAGTGGCTGAAAGATCCTCGGGCGCTGGCTGACCGGGTCGGGAGGTTGCTGAGATCTAGTTATGTGGCTATGGCGGCTGCCTTGGTGCGCGCGGCGCAAAAGGAAGACATGGAGTGCTCCGTGGCTTGGAATCATCTTCTTGAGTATAGTATGGACAAGGGGTCACCTCGGTCCGCCTTCAAGTTCTACAATGAAGTAAGTGTTCTCTTTCTCTTTCATTCCCACCCCCTCTACTGCTGGGATGGCCTTGGAGTGACTGATTTTTCGGTTGTTTCTTGTAGATGAAAAAACGTGGACGGAAACCGAATTCTATGACCTATACAATTATGTTAAGTGGACTAAGCAAAGCACCACGGAATTCCGGGCTCGATCCTGTAAAGACTGCTTTGAGTATATATAGGTCTATCTTTGCCGAAAATTCGAAAGTCGAGCCCAGCATCATCCATAGCAATGCTATGCTTGCGGTCTGTGCTCGTCAGGGTGATATGGATACCCTATGGCAAATCGCTGGCGAGCTTCCCGAAGAAGGGCCGGGCTCCCCGGACCCGTTTACATACACTACCATCCTGCGAGGTATCACGGACGCGACGCACAGGGACGTGAAAGACATGTCGCCTAAGGACGTCGAACAGATCATGGCTGCGAAAGCCCAAGGGATCACGGAGGGAAAGCGGGTATGGACTGATGTTGTTTACCGGTGGAAGAAGGGACAGCATGTTATCGATAATTATCTGGTGAGCACCATGGGCAGGTTCCTTCTGGACGGTCCTAGTTACCACGATTGCTACGATGTGCTTGCATTATTTAACCAGACCGCTGGTATCCCTATCTTGGCAACGGAGCCTCTAAAGGGTTCTTACAACTTAAAACCTGCTACGTCATCGGGAGGTTCACGGGGGGGCTTGAACCAGGCAAACAAAGAGCTGGAAGACGTCCCTTTTGTGGACGAAGGTGAAAGACTATACAGGCCACCCAAAGTCGACTCCGAAACACTGGGAGAGCAGGAGGAAGGGAAAAATTTCGACAATCTCTTTGATCCTGTTGTCCCCGACGAATCTCCATCGGGTACGACGGTCCCGTCGTATATTTCGGTGGGCAACAGGGAGCTATCCATCATCTTGGAAGCTTGCTTAACCATGCCTCAGGCATTGGGTTCTGGAAAGGCGTATTGGCATCACCTCACGCAAGAGAATCATAGATACAAGGTGGAACCAGACGCAGCCTCATTCCATCAGTACCTGCGGCTACTGCGAGCCGGCCGCTCGAGTCGCGCTACTGTTGAGGTCATGCAGAATCAGATTGTGCCTTCCCGCCTGGCCGATGGAAAGGCGTTCCACATCGCGTTCAGCTGCTGTCGCCGGGACCGAAGGAACATCAATATTCTGAAGAATGCCAATGAACTTCTTAGGCTCATGGACAAGTCTTGTGTGCTCCCGGATCCTCGGGCGTTGGATAGCTATCTTGTTCTGATCAATGTCTTGAAGGAGAATCCTCAGCTCCTAGTGTCTATGAATGGTCTCAACGGGAACCAGGGAGGCTCATCCAAAAATTTGGCGGTAATCGGTCGCGAGTTGCAAGTGAACTTGCATACCAATGCGATCGAACACCTGCGGCCCCATATTGCTAAACTTGAGAAAGCCCTGGAACATAGCTCAAGTCTCCGTGCAGCAAATAAGAAAAATCGAGACGCGGTCCCGGGAACTGTTGCTGTGAAGATCATGCTCCGGACAAGAGCCCTGGTGGACGAGGCTTTGAAACCTGAGAATGCCAAGCTACTGTCCAAGCCGCTCAGTCAGGAATATGAAAATTTATCGCAGGAGCTGAGGAAATACTCCAAGAGCGAGATGGCTCAGAAGTACAACGGCAAGCTCGTGGCTCCAACCCCCGAGCAGTTGCTCGCATTTAGCGACCAGCAAGACGGCGAGGCTCCATCAAAGGCTAGCAGAGCTTGACTTAGGTTGAATATGTATAAAACGTTCATTGGTCCAGGGTTTGACGGCTGATTTGTATGCATATATGGGCGTTGGTATATACGGTGGCCTTTGTGTACGATTATTGATTGGTTGGGATTGGATGCACCTGTACATATATACATAGATAGATAGTATGGCTGTATATGTATAGCAGCACAGATAGAATGGGAGACTCCTGTCATATAATTCTATCTACTTAATAAACTAGAGTAATTAACTAGACCTCACGATTTGGATCTGACAAAGCACCATGGCCGCTGCAGCACGATCCGTTCCGCCTGCCCCTTTCAGTCCGTGCCGGGTACGTAATGCCACTCTAGCCTCTCCGATCCATCGACAACAACTGTCTGCTTCTGCCTTTGGTATTGGATTCCTGACTTTCTTTCCCTAGGGATTCGGCGATACTGGCTTGGTATATCTGGCCCATCCTGCAGTTCCAAGGCCCTTCCTTTGGTAGGTAATGTTTTCGTGGTCGTAAGATAGTTGAATTGAAGCACAACAAATCCGCCTACCATGGCCAGCGCAGCGTCACACTATCCCCATCGGCTCTCACAGGATGATGAGTCAATCCTTGATGACGATATCATTGAAACAGATGATGGTAAGTTTCACCGACGAGCCCCATTCCCTCCGAGACCATGTTTCGTCCTTTTGATCAGTATTACGTGACGAGTCATTTAACCCTGTCTTTGGAAATTCTACGACTTGATAGCGATCGAAGCCGACGACCCATTACACGATACATCGGATACTGCCCCGCTAAGAGGCAACATTCAGGCCGAATCTTCGAGTTCGCGAGGTGGCAACCTGTCCGGCAATTACCTCACGTCGTCTATTCCCGGCGAAGACCGTCGTGCAGCTCTCAATACCATCGACGAAAGTGTCTGGGACACCCTTTCGCGTGACCTGCTGGCAGTATGGGAGAAAATGCGCCAGGTGCTGTGGCCTAAATATCTCATGGGCGGACTGCTGCAGCGCGGTGGAGGTGGCATCGGTGCCGCGGAGCGTGGGGAGGCCACTGGATTTGGTGGTGGTTTGAGGAATCTGGCGGGGCGCTGGCCGGATGCCGATATGGTACTCCAGGGTGGTATGAGTGAAGGGCTGCGTGATTGGGATCTCTGGTAGGTGGACAATCGAGGGAGAGATATGTTCTCTTTCTGTCTCTCTCTGTGTGTGGGTGGATTCGAAGCAATAGGCTAACCGGATTGGCTTTCCTATAGGGGCCCTCTCATCTTCTGCTTGCTTTTGAGCATGTTTCTGGCGATGCGCGCCAAAGGAGATCAGTCCGACATCGTCTTCTCGGGAGTGTTCTCAATCGTGTGGATTGGAGAAGCGGTTGTGACCCTGCAGATTAAGCTACTGGGTGGAAATATGTATGTGCTTCCTATGTTTACTCTGATGATGAGCCTGGGTTACTGATGCATTGGCTTTCAGCTCCTTTTTCCAGTCCGTTTGCATCATCGGCTACACTCTCTTTCCTCTCGTTATCGCCGCCCTCCTCAGCGCCTTGGGCCTCCCGACTATCGCCCGGATACCGGTCTATCTCGTTCTGATCGCGTGGTCATTGGCAGCGGGTGTTAGCATTCTGGGAGGCTCAGGAGTCCTCCGGAACCGAGTCGGCATCGCGGTTTACCCCCTGTTCGTGTTCTACATTGCGATTGGATGCCTCTGTTTCATTAGCTGAGAGGCTGAGGAGGATTGATTGCCCCCGGGTTTGGTGTGATTCCGCCCGAGAGAAGGGGATACATTGTCGAGGGATAATGAGCCTCGTAGTCTGATGTTTTTTTTCCCGTTTTTATATTTTCCATCTGAATAGCTGCCTTTTTTTTTTCTTCTGTCTTCCCCCCCCCTTTTTTTCTGTATTAGAATTGTAAGATATCCAATGCAGTCTTTCATGCCCAGAAATGCTGCGGGGTGGACCGAGCGGTAACCGGGCGACAGTCCGACCGCCGACAACAAAGCAGCAGTTCGTCACCCGTTTGCTGGCCCCAGTTGCCATCCGATTCTATCCTCCTCACTAGCCACCTCGTCTGGTCCTCGTTGAGCTCCCAATTTAACCGACCCTCCTAGCCTGAAGACATCCCCTAGAATTTGTCTTTGCGGGACATCCTCGTGGAGATTACAACTGACTCGAAGTATCTGTGAGATCTTCCCATCTGAACTCGGTTGCGCTGCTCCAAGCCCACCATCTGCTTGAACTGCCTCGAGGATTCCACCTGCTTAATCAATGGACTAACACTTCGATCTATAGCGTCAGTTATAGAATTTCCTCGCCAGTTGCCGACCATTGACACGGCTTCTGCATCGATCGGATATTCGGCGACTGCCGTGGCTTATTGATCCCTCTTCCCTTCTCTCGACTCTTATCGCAGCTCTTGGGTCATTGGTGAGCACGTCGATCTCGACGTAATAGACATGGCTTCCGATTTGCGGAACGATCACGACATGGAAGGTAACTTTTACCCCCTGGTCTGATTTATTGACGATCGATACTCACACGATATCAGGCGACATTCAAAAAGAATCGACGGATCTCCAAGGTACGTGTGTCTACTCTAGCTGCGGCAATAAAAATCCCGTTCAATTTAGGACTAGTTCCAAGGTCGTTGTGCATTTGACTCATGATGGCTCTGCAGGAACCGCCGCAGATGATTCCCAAGCCTCCGATAACGACGGTGGTGAGCGTCCCGTTCGCAACAAGTTGAAGGAAACTTCCATCACAGCCTCCCCGAACCCCCCGACTGAACAACCGCAGGAAGGCGGAAATACCAGTCGGGCTAGCAGCAGAGGCCGAAAGCGTTCATTCGATGACAATGAGCCAGAGAAGTGCGACGTTGAAAATGATGATCTCGGTCATAGACGGAAACGGTCGCGCGATTCTAGCTACGAAGAAGCGAATGCGGCTTCATCCAACGCTGAAAGGACGCAGCCAGAGGAGTCGACCAATGTGGATGGTCTCTCAAAGACTTTGGGCCCGAAGAAGAAGAGAAGTAGAGATCAGTTGGACAAAGATGAGAACAAGGCTGAAGATGCTGTTGCGAGACCGGAAGCTCAGCACACCTCCACAGAGGAGGGTGCCTCTACGGAGAAATCTACAGGTGAGAGGGAGCCGGAAAAGAAACGACATAGGGACAATTCGCAGGAGAGAGATTCGGTAAGTCAATCTACCGTTGGGATCGTTGTGTGAGAAGATGCCATATACTTACATGTTTGCTTTTTCGTTTCTACTACTTTTCAGGCCGCTGTTCCCAACGCATTTGCAAATGCTTCTACTGTCTCTCCTTTCGGCTCACTAGGTACCTCAAAACTAAAAGAGGCAGAAGAACCCTCCAAGCCTGCCACTATGACATCCTCGTCCGCCTTCGCCTCGTCAAGTCTGGCCGCCTTTGCGAGCTCGGAACAATCGCCGTTCGGTTCGCTAGGAGGTTCCACTACTTCGGTGTTCAAATCACCGGCTACCACAGAAGCTGGGAAACCAGCTGCTACTGCATTCGCCGCTGCGGCCGGCACTTCGGGTTTTGCGGCTCTGGGGTCCGGATTTTCAGGATTTCACGGAGGATTTGGGGCATCGGAATCCAAGGGAGGTCTTACCAGTTTTGCCTCGCCAGGGGCGCCTAGTCTTTTCGGCAGCTCTAGCAAGAAGCCGTTCGGTGCTACAGAGGACGAGGAAGAGGAAAGCAAAGACGAAGATGGCGATAATGGACTGGCAGAGTTCGAGCAAGACAAGACAGACGAGAGGTTCTTCGAACGACCGAGTATGTGTTTACATTCTAATAACCCTTTGCAAATCATACTAACCTCCTGCAATAGTCGAGACAGGAGAGGAAGAAGAAAAGACGTACTTCTCCTGCAAAGCGAAACTCTTCCAATTCTCTGATGGAGAATGGCGAGAGCGTGGTATCGGTACATTCAAAGTAAACGTCAAAGTCACCGACGGCAAAGAGGACAAGAACACCGCTCGCTTGATCATGCGCGCCGATGGCGTATTGCGCGTGATGCTCAACACTCCCATCTTCAAGGGTATGAATGTCGGTGATGCGTCCGGCAACGAACCGAAATCGAAACAGATCCATCTTGCTAGCTTGGAAAGTGGTCGTTCGGTTCCTATCTTGCTTCGAGTGAGCTCCCCCCTCTCTATCTATCTTTCTCATCGTAAACTAATGTATTTGTTTCTTCCAGACGGGAAGTGAGGATCTTGCCAAGGAACTTTACCAGGTCGTCTGCGACCTACTCGAGGAACAGTGAATTCAAATCTACCCCTGTCCGTAAACGAGTCGAACCTCGAAGAGAGAGAGAGAGAGAGGACAGGTGGAGAGAAAATGTCTGCATTTCTGGGTTGGTTGGGTTGGTTGCTCTGGTCTTTTTGCATTTGGTATGAGGAGCACAGTACTATGTTCGAGTCGGTTGAGCTGGGCTGTGATTATCTATATCTTTTTTCTTTCTTTTTTTTATTCTCCCATTTTCTTGCTGTTATTTCTTGGCGATTTGAATATATCATATCACATTTTATGCCCTCGTTCAACTTCCTTCTTGTACATGGATTCCTAGGCAATTAGACTGGTAGCATTACGGAGTAAATATGATGTTCTGCTATGTCCGATATGGTAATATAGACCCAATTCACGTGATCATGCGTTTCTTATTTCCTTCCTATCGATAGGACCGACTTTATTACACATCCTATTCCACACTGTCGTCTACAAATGACCACAATGGGGCGTCGTGATGACGAGCCGCCTCAAATCACAATGTCCGGACCACACAGGCTCGGTATCGAAACGTAAAAGAGCCCCCCTTGAGACTCCAGTTTTTACCAACGATGACACCTCCGAGCGGATAGGGGATCAGGGTATAGACATCGACAAGGAGAAACCTAAGAGACGACGGCGAAAACCACAGAGCCAAGAATCATTGGATACTTCTACGCGGACTGCCGCCGGACATGATGACGAGACACAGGCTCCTTCTCAGCCATCAGCAGAGAAATCCATAACTAGGAGCACGGCTAAAAAGGGGGCAAGACGGAAAGGTCGGGTCAGAGATACTGTGACTTCGACTAAACAGACACCGTCGACACCATGGCCGGAACCGTTCAAGAGACTGTCGAGGACGCATCGCGCGCTGAACCTAGTGTATACATTCTGTTGTACACGGAAGCATTTTGCTACGACGTTTGAGAATATCAAGAAGGCAGTGCAGGGACAGATGGGTGGTAGCGATGAGCTAACCGTTGAAGATGTTGCGCGCGTTAGGACCCTTGTCCCACGGGCTGTACGCTTTGAGTACGTGGATGAGGCGAAGTTGGAGGTGATGGCCACTGGGGATAAGGAGATGCTTAAGACGTTCGGTCGCGATGAAGACAGTGGTGACTCCGAGACGGCAAAGGTGATGCTATTTGAGTTTGTGGATGGGGATCTGAAAAGGCAGCGTCCCACGACTGGGGACACGACAAAACCGGTCCGGAGGATGAGAGACGAGGATTTGAAAATGCCGGTATACAGTCAGAAGCAGATGTTGGGATTGATCGAGAAGCGGAACAAGAAGTTCTCTGATGCAATCGATGCGTTCTTGGTGAAGTGTGAGGATGAACGCACGGATCCGGTTGAAAGACTGGAACGGGAAAAGAACTCTTGGGTTCCTGTGCTTCCTGAGAGTGAGGATGGACATCATGCTCGGGCCGAATCGAAGCCGCCGCAGGAGATCCCGAAGGAACGCAAGTCTATGTCCGAGATCATCGCGGATATCCGCGAGATGAATTGGTACACAGCTCAGATTGTACCAGAGGGACACCGAGTGTTTGATGCCCAGCCTCCGGTGTATGGAGAGTTGACCTTTCGACTGTCGCAAAATCTTGTCAATGCCTTGTATAACGCCAAGAGGATCACGCAGTTCTATTCCCACCAGGCGGAAGCGATCAACCACCTGTATGAGGGTCACCATGTCATAGTTTCAACTTCTACCAGCTCAGGAAAGTCGCTGATCTATCAGGTGCCGATGCTACATGAGCTAGAGAAAGACCATGGTAGTCGAGGATTGTATATATTTCCAACCAAGGCGCTTGCACAGGATCAGAGACGCAGCATGAAAGAGCTATTGCAGTACATGGAAGGCCTGCAGGATGTCATGGTGGAGACGTTCGACGGCGATACTCCCATGGGGGACCGGAATCTCATACGCGATGAGGCGCGGATTGTCTTCACCAACCCTGATATGCTACATATCACGGTCCTGCCGCAGGAAAGCTCCTGGCAGACTTTTCTTAAAAACCTGAAATTCGTCGTGGTGGACGAACTGCACGTCTATAATGGCCTTTTTGGATCCCATGTCGCGTTTATCATGCGACGATTGCGCCGGATCTGTGCCGCGGTAGGGAACAGGCATATCCGATTCATTTCCTGCTCCGCCACTGTGGCCAACCCGGAAGACCACATGCACGCCATTTTCGGCGTCGACGAGGTCAAGTTGATAGACTTCGACGGTTCCCCATCTGGCCGGAAGGAATTTATCTGTTGGAACACACCTTTCAAAGACCCCGACGACCCAACGTCCGGGCGTGGAGACAGCGTCGCCGAAACAGCACGGCTGTTTTGCCAACTCATTCTCAGGGGGGCAAGGGTGATCGCATTCTGCCGGATTCGACGACTATGTGAGGTCCTCCTTCAAGCTGCGCGGACTGAATTCCACAATCTCGAAAGACCCGAGATTGGTAAGCTAGTCATGGGTTACCGCGGCGGATACAGTCCGCAAGACCGACGTCGTATCGAGAAAGAAATGTTCGAAGGACAGTTGATGGGCATCGTGGCCACCAACGCTCTGGAGTTGGGCGTTGACATAGGCTCTCTCGACGCTGTTATCACTATGGGTTTCCCATACTCCATCTCCAACCTGCGCCAGCAGAGCGGACGCGCCGGACGTCGGAACAAGGACTCTCTCTCTGTGCTGGTAGGAGATCGATATCCTACTGACCAGCACTATATGAAGAATCCGGAGGAGCTCTTCACCAAGCCTAACTGCGAGTTGCAGGTGGATCTGACCAACGAGCTCATCCTCGAAGGACATGTGCAGTGCGCTGCATTCGAGATGCCCATCCGCCCCGATGAGGACCGTGTCTACTTCGGCCAGCAACTCCCTGACTTAGCGGCGACTCGTCTTGTGCGCGACGGTCTGGGCTTCTACCACTGCGATGAAAGGTTCCGCCCGCAGCCCTCGCGCTGCGTCTCAATCCGTGACACTGAAGACCAGCATTTCGCCATCATTGACGTCACGAACACGCGAAACCTCGTCCTGGAGGAAGTCGAGGCGTCTCGGGCGTTGTTCACCATCTACGAGGGCGGCATTTTCCTGCACCAGGGTCACACATACCTTGTGAAGGAACTTAACCCAGACCAACGGTTTGCACGCGTGGTCCGCGTCCGTGTCGACTGGAGCACAATGCAGCGCGACTTCACAGACATCGACCCGATTGAAACGGAAACCATACGATCTATCACCAATACGCCGACGGGCTCTTCGCCCTCGCGCGCATTTTACGGCTCGGTGCGTATCCACGCAGTGGTGTATGGATTTTTCAAGATCGACAAACAGGGTCGCGTCCTCGACGCTGTAGCGGTCGATAACCCACCGATCGATATCTTCACCAAAGGCATGTGGCTGGATGTGCCTAAATCTGCTCTTGATATCCTCAAATCAAGACATCTCAACATCGCCGCCGCCATCCACGCCGCCGAACACGCCGTGCTTTCCCTGCTGCCTAGTTTCGTAATCTCCTCGCCTGGTGACATCCGCACCGAGTGCAAGGTCGCCAAAAAAGAGCTCGGCAGGAACCTCAAACTGGCTGTGGAAGCCCAGAATCAGAGCACGGCCCAGGAGAACATCCGTAAGCTGCTTCAACCCCCTGCGCGCCAACGACCTGCTCGGTTGACCTTCTACGACGCCAAGGGGGGCCCATGCGGCTCCGGAATCGCAGGAAAAGCGTTTGAATTCATCGACGTGCTCCTGCGTCGGGCGGTCTCGCGCGTCGATACATGTCTGTGTGTGACCCCCCAGGGGTGTCTGGAATGTGTCTGTGATGAGCGATGCAAGGAGATGAACTCGGTGATGAGCAAGGCCGGTGCAGGTGTCGTGTTACGGTGTTTGCTTGGGTGGGAGGTGGATGTGGACTCTTTACCGTGGGGAGAGAATGTGGATGGTGATGATGGACTGGGTGAACTGGCAGGGGGATTAGAGACTGTGGTCCCAGCTATAGAGGTGCCTTTTCGTCATTCTGAGACCAATGAATGAGGGATGATGCCAAACTTGGATGTAAAAAGCTTTGCTACCTAATAAATTAAAGAGAAAAGGAGAAAACGATCAGGAAGGCATAGAGGATGAAAGCAACGCCTCCAATGCTATTATGTATCTCATGATATGGTATAAACGATATATAGACGAGTGCCAGAAGCCCGTGGCTGTGTCCTGCCAATCCCAGAAAAGAAAAAAGAAATAATAAATAATAAAAAAAAAAAAAAGACTGCGTTGCAGCGGGTATTCCAAAATGATCCAAGTACGCCTAAACAGCTTCTACCATCCATCACAACGCCACTGTACTCTAGTACATCAAAATTCCAACGCAGCGGCTGTGTCAAACGAACAGGCCCGTGGTGAGAATTTGGTAGGGACGATCGAGCGCATCGCAACCAGAACTAGTCCAGCCCGATTATGGGACGAGATCTGATATCCATGTTTTCAGGCGGCCAGCCGACGCTGCAGCTCCAGGGCGCAGACCAACCGGTGAAGAATGCGTTTTGGCTTCGGAAGATTGCCGCCAACGGGCGACCTGTTGAGCACCAGCACCCCACCCTGATCGATCGAGCCCGCGGACTTCGCTACTGCTCTGACATAGAAGCGTTCTGGAATGGGTTAAGCTCTGGAGGGAATCTGATTTGAACAGTGGAGTCCCGCACCAGTATTTATTTGGCACTCGTCGACCCTCCTTCCGTCCCCGTAGAGGATGGGCTGTTTTCACTCTCCGTATCATCCAGACTGATCTTCCAGAACAAGGTCTTCATATCCCGCACACTCTCTCGAAAGTGATCTCGCGGGTTGTTCGTTCGTTCCTCCGTCATCGCTCGTACTTCTCGCAGGATATCCGGATAGCCTTCGTCGTGAGGAAGCCACCAGTGATTGATTTCGGGCAGGCTCCACACCGTCGCCAGGGCCTGTCGGAATTTTGGAGGCGTCACGTACCTTGACCACTTTTGTTAGCTCTATCGCAGTGCCAGACATATGCTATCGCGAGGGAGGCCTACCCGTTTTGCTCCATGCGAGCGAATTTCTTCCGACCCCACATGACGTACTTCGGGTCCTTGGGGGCAAACAGACACGCCATACCAAGACTGTTTTTGAAAGCGAAGATATATCCGCGCTCTTTCTCCGGCCACCGCTCGATCGATTCGATCAATCGACATTGCTCGATTGCCAAGCTTTCCAATTCCGCCCATGACGACTGCCTCACCGACAAGAACGACTGGTACTTGAACATAGCCTTGGTGGAATAGTAGTCGATCCAGGCGATATTGATATCCGACAGAGGGCCGTGGTGCAGACCTCCCGGGACGTAAGGATCCACGATGTCCTCCTCGCCGAGAGGTTTCTTATTCGGATAGTCCCAAACAGTATACTCCGAATCATTGAATTTCTCCAAAATGTGCCTCACCCGTTCCAAGTTCTGCTCCAAGTGTTCGTTCTGTGCGATAAACTCGTCGAAGGGGATCATCCCACGGGAAAGCTTGGCATACAACGAAGCCATTTCTAGACCGAACCGTCGGTTGATCGACGCAGCCAACGCGAGCTGCTTCTCAGCATCCTCAGGGTAACTGGCAGCTTGTTCGGCATCATATTTCTCTTTTGCAATGTACCAGTCGCGACTTAGGACCGCCTCATTACCGGCCAAGATCCCAGCGACCACGTCGAATCGGGCGTACCAGAGAAAGATGTGACTATGGAGTTGATTCATGCTTGCCGACTCCGGGGTCAGCAATTCTCGCATCAAGGCATGGGCGGCTTGATGGTGGTCAATCAAATTCACCCAGTCCCCTATAAATTCCTGGAGAGAGTCAGCCGATACTTTTTTTTTTTTTTTTTCCTTTTTTGGTTGCCGGGTTACCTAGAAAGCGGGGATGGAAGGACAGGGAACGCACCTCAAAAGTGGTAAGTACGAGAACGGTGATCAAGGTCGCTTCGCAGTGCGCTTCGCTCGAACCTAAAGACTTCCGCAACAGTGTCAAGGCGGTATTATAATACTTGAGGAACGTGTAGAGTTTGCCGCTGCTGGTCTGGATGCAATGGTGATAGGCCGCGAAACCCACCACGGCGTACAGCAACGGCTCATATCGTAGGGCATATTCGATGATGCTCTGATGGACAAATCGGTCACTAGGGGGCCGCAAGAAATAATGCCGATAGGAGATATGTTCCTGATGGAAGGAGAGATAGAAGCGTAGATCTTCCGGGAGGTGGGCCGTACTGGGAAGACTGGAAGGCTCGGTGATGACACTTGCCGACCGCGCACTCAGGGACTCAAACTTGGACGACGCCTCCGTCGATGGCGAACTGCTGGGGTCCTTGTGGAAAACCAAGGGGTTGTCCGTCGTGGTGGTGGTGGTGGTGGCCGCCTGCTGTCTCGCCGGGCGCTTCGTCTTCCGCAGGGATTGGGCGCTATGTTTCCTAGGCAGCCCCGGGGTCGAGCGAGTCGGTTGCGCTGGAAGCGCGGTGCCCGGCGACAGGCGCGTACTCGAACCTACGCTTCCCTCTCCATCCTCCTCTTCCTCCTCGTCCACAATGGGCTCCAAGGTGCGCACCTCATCCTGCTCGACCTGGCCGGACGAGTCGCTCCCACATGACTGGGAGCGCGGCGTTTTGGGTTTCACGCCGGAGCGGGATGCGACCTTGGAGGCGGAGCCGGCGGAGGGAGATGGGTAGACGCAGTCGCGATTCCCCTTGCGGCATCTGTCACAGACCGGACGGGACTCGTCACACTTGATGCGACGGGATCGGCAGGTGAAGCAGCCGCTTCTGGTGCGCTTGTGTTTCTTCTGGTCGGGGAGAGGTTGCAGGAGGGATGGCGGTTTCGGAGCCGACGGATACGACGTGGCGATAGGCAAACCCGGTTGGTGGAGTTGCGTGGGAGGATTGTGCCACAGCGCGACGCTCTCCGGGTACTGGCCGGTGCCCAGGAGGGAGTAGGCAGAGAGCGGTGATTGTTCCTGCAGATGTTGACCTGGCAGATAGCTGATCAGGGAGGTTTGAGACGGGGTGTATGGGTGCGCCATAGTGGAAATAGGACGGATTGCATCAAAGGAGCCAGGCGGATGGCCGTAGACAAGATCGGCATAAGCTGGGGGAGGAAGAAGGCGATCAAAACCCGCAGGGGAAGGGCAGGATAGATACCCCGACCATCGACATACTCCAGGCTGTGAGGGAAGAACGGATGGGTCGACGAGAGACAGAGGGATTGTCGATAAGGAGAAATAGAGACGATGAAAACGATCGAGGAAAGCGGGGAGGAATGAGAAACGAGAGAATTGGAGAGGAGAGAGAGGGAGAGAGAGGGAAAGAGAGATGAAAATGAAGAGGGAGGAAGACAGATGATGAACGGAAGGGGGAGAGAGAGAGGAAGTACAAGCAGGAGGCAAAAACTGAAAAATAAATACTAATAATAAATAAAAATAAACCCCAAACCATCCAAACCTCCATTGTTGGGGAGGCAAAACACTAAGCAATCTCCTCGGAAATACTCCAGGCTATTCTTTCGTCGAAACAACTTTAATTGCAGAGCCCAAAACCTCGTGTGTGGGCGCATATCGTCATGATCGGGAAGGTGACCATCATGCCGTATCTAACTATATATAATATAATCCACAATAGCTACATCTGTCCATTTCACCTCACCTCCGTTCTCTCTCTCTCTCAGTCTCAGTCTCAGTCCATGATCTCTCCCCTGACCACTAGCATGAATTGTCCGGGGGGGAAAGAAGTCAAGTAGCCTCCGATATGCATTGATGGGCCAAATATGGAGCCACTAAGTCGCACTAGCGTTGGTATGTGCGGAACTGCGGATTCATATTAGAATTTGGGACTATCTATGGGATCAGAACTTCAGAAGCCCAGCAGAAGAAATGAAGCAGGGAATGAAGAGTCTCTCCACTCTATTCTCGGCGTCGAAGAATTGATTCGCTCTCCCCCTCTCCGGTCCTTTTAGAATGCGCCACTCTATCCGGGATTTACTTCATATGATAAGCATGGAATCGATCCCACCTCCCCGGACGATCAGTTAACTTCCCCGAGAAAGAAGGCCGGGAAGGAGAAAGAGAGCGAGAGAGAGAGAGAGAGAGAGAGGTCCATCATCCATTTCCCGGGATTCGGTATATACGAATCTACCTAGAATCTTGTAGCCACGATGGACCCCGACAACGGCAATCCACTTCCCACTCCCCAAACCCTGGTACTGTCAGCCTAAATCAGGGCCAGGTTGTAACTAGGTACTATGTAATAATGGCATCCGGCAGGATGGAATGGATAGATCACGGCATATGATGTGTATCGTGGGAGGTGGGACCTATATAGGTGATAGAACTGTGCTCTACCGGACCTCGAAGACAGTGAGGCCCCTGTGTATATCGCATCAAGCATCAATGCCCCTATTGCAGTATGCTTAAGAGGGAATCGAGTCTAGCGTCGAGTTGGTTCGAATCGTCGAGTTGGTTCGAATCCATTTCCCAAGGAAGGTCCAATATCATCTACCCTAGGACCTAATGGAAATGTATCACCTCGTGGCATTGTCCTCTTCCCCCAAAGTTTATACCTACAACAATGAAGTATTCTGTACATATGAACTTTTTGCCATGGGTTGTGTCGGCCAACTGTGAAACTGGGGAGTAGGTCAGAATTCGCTGGGTGAAATTTGCCGAAACGTTCGTCCGGAGTGGAGCCAGATGAGGGATGGGGTGGATCTATAGGGGCCAGAATTATTGATTATTGATTATTGATTACTGATTATTGCTTTGATTGATTGATTGACAAATTTTTGTGTAATGCACTTTTATGGCCTCTCCATTAATCAATTTCTCTACCTGACTCATGGGGATTGATTCTCCTTGCATACGGTTTGTCGTTCTTACCGGGTCTTGATGCTGAGTTCTACTAGAGTAGCGCGGCACATGCTGGACCTAGGCTCGGAATGTGAAAATAATTAAAAATAAAAAATGGGACGCAATCTCCGCGAAAGTATATCCTGTCGGATGTTCCTGATCGACGAATCTTAAGACACCTACCTGTTTCAGTTAAACTCAGTCTTTGGACGTGGAGTTTGTATATATCATTGCTGTCCACTCAGCTTTATGGTTTGGAACAGCCAAGAGCAGTACGTGCACTGTGCAGTTTTTTCTTTTTTATTTTTGGCTTCTTCAGTTCAATGACGAACCATGGTGCCATAGCTGACACCCCCAAGATGTCCTGATTAGGCATTATCCGCGGTTAAGCTGGGTCACTCCTCGTCTCGGCACTCATGATCCATTCTGGCATCTGCGCCTCTTTTTCTCCCTCCTCCCACTGCCTAGGAGTGGATCCCCGACATATGGCCAATATCAGCAGCAAGAAGACTTGCTCTGACCAGTGCTAAACCCATGCTGGTTAGCGAATATGCACCGCATTGGCATTCACACAGTGGCCAAGTCCGGTAAGAAACGGAGCCACACTGAGAACCACGGCCAATCAGTCTCTCCATGAAGCCAGTAATCCAGTACATGGTCTGAATTGGATTGTTAGCTGGCGGATTGGCCCGTCATCTAGACGGATTAGCTCTGGTGGGAAATGAGCTGCAGCTGCCAACCATGAAGATCGTGCCTATTTTCCTTTCCCTGATCGAAGAGTTGAAGCAGACAGATGGGAACCACATTTGTGGCTGATCCGGATCCAGTTGCACTAATTTACTAAGTCGGATTCATATCATACGAGATTTCTTACGCATGGCGTGGAATTCCTACCACGTCCCTGGTAAGTTTCTCTTCTGTCAGCGCTCCCTTAATCCTCAACAATGGAACACTTCCCAGCCCCTCTCTACTCCGTAATATCGGGGTTCTCGGGCACAACTGAGGGGGAAGATTCTCCAGCCAGACCGGATTGGTCTGTACCAAGCTCAAGAAGGAAAAGAGGACCCGGTCGCGGAATGCATCCTGTATCCCGGATGGAGTTAATCCACGGATGGACGCATGGGCGCTGGAGCCAACAAGAGCGACGAAGACGAAAGTTCAAACATTAAATTTCCTAGATCATCAGACAACGGCCATTCAACGGTCTTTGTCACTGGCGCCAAATGAAGATCGGATCCGCAGAGGCTTCGGCACGTTCCACAGGAGAGCAGGAAAGGGAAGGCCGTGCTGGTCGAAGGATGATCATGCTTGGGTAGGCGGAGTAGCTAGCTCCTCTGTCTATCTGACTGTCTACCCTGTAGTATGGAGTACCCCGAATGAACTGCTATCAGTCACTTCATGAAGTGAGATCCCGCAGTGAGGACCAGTATATTCGTACTCCCCTGCGTGAGATAGAAGCCTTCATCTGGGCCAACTGGGGGGATCATGGATGTTCTTTCTGTGGCGTTGTGCAAGGGTATCTACAAGAGAAATGCTTCCGAGACCTGTGGCCCGATCATTAATTAGTTAGTTAGGCTCCTTCCTAACAGAGAATAACTGAGGGTCTGCCCATCGAAATGCACTGGGTCCTCTGACGAAGCTGGAAATATAGAGTAGTTGTATTAATGTCCATTTCTATTAGCCTAGATACAATACAGTACTCTGTTTATCAGATTGAAACACGTCCCGTGGTAAGACTTAAGGGCTTGTATCTCCATATTCATGGTTTCCTGGGTCCTAGTGCGTTCCTGTTTGTCGACTAGTGTTCACTTTCAGATTACTGTGTTGAAACGGTGTCATCTAGTGGCTGATCACGCATACAACTTGGTCCACCGACCACGAGAGTACTCGTATTTGTATACGATGGCCACGGAAATTAATCTCTCATCAGTACCATGTTGAGTCTGGTGAGGACTGAGGACCCATTGTCATCGACCTTCCACCTAGACCCGCAAGAAGGACAGCCGATCGTAGGCAAGCCAAGTATTTCTCTCAAATCATAGGACAAAGCTGAAGGTGGCATACTGTGTAGGCGGAATACTAAACTCGTAGAGCGAACACTCCGCACTGCGCAGAATAGGTCATTTCCCTTCAAAACAATTTACGAGTTGATGCATGTGGATAATCAACCACGCTTTTCTTTCGGTCTCTCTCTCTTTTTATATATTTATTTATTGCATTGTCCTATGATGCCTGCCCACTGATTAGCTCCTATCAAGACAACCCTCTTAATTGCCCTGCAAGTAAACCAGCCATACCTTCCATCTCTAATCATGATCCCAATCCCTATATTTTAACATCGTAAAATCGTCATCCAAGTCTGCCTTGTTCCCGGAGTAGCCTTTAAAATAACGTTATTACTTTCCTTCCCTCAGTTCCTTGATCGAGAGCTGCACGCCCTCAATTACGACACCCCATTCAATCTCATGAACCTTCTGTTCAAACTTATGGAGATCTTCATCCTCTCCCTTTACAAATGGAATTTCTCGCACTAGAATTGGTTTGCCCATATCAACCTCTGAGATCACGTTGTGGATCATCACGCCTGTTTTGTCGATCAGGCCCTTCAGCCAGGCAGCGTGAGCCCGCTCGATTGCATTCTGACAACAATAAGTATCTCGACCTCATCATCCAACGCAGTCTCTCAACAAAACTTAAATCACATAGACTTTCTCCTCCCGTCCAGACAGTAATGATAACAGTAGGTTTATGATACAACCACACGCACTAAAAAACACACAATGAGAAAGGAAAAAAAAAACTTACAGCTCCATTAAAAGCCCCCGGCAAAGCAGGATGAAGGTTAATAATTTTAACCTTTGCCGTCTCCAAAGGCTCTAAAAACTTCGATGAAAGCACATGCATAAAACCCAAGCAAGCGACCAAATCCGGGCTATCGGCGAGGACGAGTCTCGCCAATTCTGCGTCGTAGGCTTCTCGTGCCTCCTGAACTCCTTCGGGGGTCGAAGGATACTGCTTCTTATATTTGACGAGATTGTGATATTGTGTAGGGATGTCTGCTTTTCTTGCTCGCTCGAGGCCGTAGGCATCTTTGCGATTCGAGATGACTCGGACGATGGTCGCGGCCAGCTGGCCGGCGCTGGCCTTGTCAATCACCGCTTGAAGATTGGATCCATTGCCGGATATCAGAACGGTAATGCGGATGGGCGTCTCCATTGCGTTATAGAACTGGGGAATCAAAAGGGGAGGAGTCAAAAATATGACGTCGCAGGAAGAATGCCACAGTGGGCTCGAAAAATTTGCCCGGTTGCGCCGTCAGATCAATCGCGGTGCGCGTACAAGGGAAGTATTCCTAAAGACAGTAACAGACAATAAATAGAAGAAGCTTGGATGATTAAACCACCTAAATTTAGAAGACAAGTCTTTAGCTTTCGTCGTAAATGATACTCCCACTGCTGGCTATCGGAGGGGCAGAAGCGCGGTGGCTGAGTCAGCGGCGCGGAGATGCGGGGCATCTATAGTTAATTAAAGTCGAGTACTCGAGATACCTAGGTAGATACATGGGAGGGAGGATGAATTCAATATCCAATAAGATATATCACATAGAAAATTAAGTAAATGAACCCCATACAATCGCATGCGAAGGCATCTTGGTCACCGAAATACAGCTTGGTTGTGCCACGAACCATCGAGTGTCCTTCCTTCCCTCCATCGAAAATGCAAACCGGAAGCCCGCCGCCAACAACCAAAACTGGGGTGCTATGACGAAACAAAAGAAAAAGAAAAGAGAAAAAAGGAATGCTGCATTGGATATCCATGAGAAGGGAAGTGGAATGAGGCATATTCGTTAGGCTACTAAATAAACGCTTCATGCTAATCTCCAGGCGATTTAGAGCGATTAAAATGAATAGTAGGGAAAGGTCTTTGAAGACAAATAGAGAAACCGGCAGAGAGAAGAAAGAGTCGAGTTGGTCAAGCAGCAGTTGAGCTCTGTGCATTTGGAGTGGGCTCTCCATTTGACGCGTCAACAACGCCTTGGCCCCGACAGAGGGGGCAAGAATTGCGACCCGTTGTCAACCACTATCGAACATATTAGCTCAGTCTCCTAATATACATATCCGGGAGTGTCGAACTAACTTGGTCTATGCAGTCTCGGTGGAACGCATGCCTGCATTTGGTCAGTTGCCGGAGCTCCTCCGCAGCTTCGTAGTCGCTAAGGCAAATCAAGCAGCGGTCACCGTCTGGTACCTGGATGGTGCCAGCACCATCCACAGACTCCGCGATGAGCGTGCCACCATACTCCACGAGACGGAACAATCCACCAGCGGAGCTGAGATCTTCCTGGGTCGCAACCGGGGGCTTCACGGGGCCCAGTAGAGATGAGAGTAGAATCATGTCTTCATACGTCGGGTTCTGCCAAGTAGAGTCAGCTGGAAATTACAGATACAGAGAGGAGTCGATCTTACATCGGTGAAGAGGCTGGGGGTTGCAAAAGCAGGATGGTTCTCTGAAAGATTGGTCCCAACGACGTATATCAGCCAGCTTCTGCCGGCAGGTGGTGGGGCATTGTCTGGCTCGACAACACCGTTGCGTCTAACAGCACCAGAACCCAGATCACGGTGGCGAGCATATTCGGAATCACTTCTGTGTCGCTGATGAGAAACGTTGAACGGAGTGCCTTCGCCGGCTTCAACTGTAGGCTGCATTGTTCGGTTCTCATCACGTTGTGGTAGGACATTTGGAGGCAACATTGACGCAGCTGATGGTCTCCGGCTCGGGGTTGAGGCCCCCGATGACACAGCTGACAGTCCCGGGTCAGCGGGCGTCGAAGGAGGAGGATGAGGGCCTGGAGGACTGTCTGAGAGCGTAGGTGGATCGGAAGATACGGGAACACGGTTTCCAGTATCAGACAATCTCCGCGCTGGGCTTTGAAGCCCCTGCTGTGCGTCACTGTTGGAGAGTGTGCTGGAACCCCCGGTGGGATGTCGACTGGACGAAAATCTTGGCCGTCCTTCTCCGCGTGATAGGAGACCTGGACTTCTGTCTTGGTCGCGCGAGAGGCTTCCTGGCGACAGGAATGGCAGGCGAAGCAAAGCATCTAGGCCAGGCCCGCCGTTGGTCGGTTGGTCGCTGCCGGGACCGTTCCCCGATGGAACAGACCGCACTCCCACCACAACCAGGGTAACAGTGCGTCCCTCGGGTCCGTCCACGGGATTTTCAATGTCCATTCCATCTGCACCTCTGCCTGTATTATCTAGATCCGTGGTGGAACGATTCGGCGTGCTAATAGACCCGGAACCATCTGAGTTGGCAAATCGGAAAACGCGCAAGAAATTGACAGGAGTGGCCGGCCCATTGTCCCCAGAGGGATTTGGCGTATCGTTCGGTGCCGCCTGTGACGATGTTGCATTTTGAAGGCTTTGTATGAAGTTCTCCAAGGAACCGTCCAAGCCGTCATTACCAAGGGCTTGGATATTAGGCATAACTGGGCCAGTCGTACCGGACAGCTGTGCAGCAATGGCAGCGGCAGCCAGCTGAAGGACACGCGACAGAGGCGTTTGTTCTTCCCGTCGCAAAACTCTCGATGATCTGGCTCGCAATAGGCCCGGGAATTGGTGTAAGCTTGACGATCCTTGGGCCGACTGCGACGACATGGGAGATGTCGGGCGACTTGCCCCCACAGCAGGCTCCACGGAATCAAGTTCATGCGGCTCATCGAAATCCATACGGACATCCATTGGCCCTGGGTGCGGGAGAAAAGGGCTGAGAGATCCGTTGGGCATCGAGGGCATCGAGCCCATAAGGGGTTGCTGTACATTTCCCGTGGTATCGTCGGACATACTCGAAGATGCCTGGCCGAACATTTGGGTAATCGGGGTTGACAGTGAATTCCTCACACGGTGTAACCGAGCACTTCGACGCCAAGATCCCCTAGAAGCTTCCGGTACCTGGGCTGTAGTAGAGTCAAAATAGGTAGAGGGGTGAGTCGTATCAGGAATTAAGCCCGGGTCGCTGCGCGGGATGAAATACGGCCCCCGAATCGAACGTCGTCTAGAAATCCCCCTTGAACCAAGTGAACTGAAAGGGCTGAAGCGGCTACTATTGTGAGTAACTTCAGATCTTGGGAGTGATCGCGATACGATCCCATGTCGATGGGCCTGGCCCTCGGCAGGCGTTTCTTCTTCACTGCTGAGGAGCCCACGAATGACGGAATTGGGTAAAATCCTGGAACCCAGCCTAGACATGGTCGATTGTCTTCTCGCAGCCATGCGAGCAAAGATTGCTGATCGGTATTCTCGCTGGTTCGACTCATATTGTGACCCGTTCTCCTCCTGGATGCTTGCCATACGTATTGAGGTTGCTGGTTGTCCTTCGGAAGAAAATGTCGGTTGCCATGATGACTCTCCTGACCAGCTCCCCTGGCCCGCGGGAGAGGCTTGGAGGCTGTCGTTATTTATTTCGGGTCCTGGCTGGGACCCAAAATCACCAGTCTGCTCGTTATTCGGTCCTCTATTCATGTCCGCATCACTGTTGACCGGACGGGCTGCCTGGAGAGATAAAATGTGTTCTAGACGAGTATCGTGACGATAATTTCTTTGCGTAGAAGAGGACTGTCCCATAGTAACAAGAATGGAGGATCGGGACGACGGAAAGGGTGTTTAAAGACCGCCTATTGCCATCGACAACTAGATGACTAAAGTAGACCCAGCATTAGTAAGACGAATAATGAGCGCAATTGATTGGGGAAAACGCAGACTTGAAGACAAAAGGTGAATCAAAAAAGGCGAATACGAAGTGTTTAAAAAACAAGGAGGGGAGTTGAAAATGTGCAAAATTTATTAAAAAAAAAAAAAAAAAAAAAAAAAAATAATCTGAGAGAGAGCGAAGAGAAGATAGGCAAACACGATAGACAACCTTCCCACTTAGAACCAGTCTCAAACAGCGAAGACTGAGACAGCTATACACTATAACAGGATCGGAGGAAGCATACCATTCGACAGTCTAGATAAACTCCAGCGTCCAATATAGACCTCCTTGGATACTCCAAGAAGTCGAAATTCCCGCGTCGGTGGGTGTTGGGAAGAGAAGCCCAGGGCTGTAGCCCTTTCTCAGACCGGTCAGCTAAAACAAGGTGTCGGTCGATGGTTTGAGGCCAAGGGTTGCTGCAGAAGGCTCTGTGCGGTGAGAGAAATGTAGAAACCAACAAAGTTTAAAGAACATAAATCTTAAGATGGGAAAGCAGTTGATCTAAGGGAACCAGACGGCAGGTGCTAATGGTCACAGCAATGATGACGGAGGAGGTGGTGGCTGATTCGACTGTCTTCCGGGGAGGCAACCCCACGACAACCAGGTGGGAAGGTCAAGCCAGTGAGTAACAGTGATTCCGCAACAGATGGACGGAAGGCGATGGAAAACCACCTAGTATATGGAGGGAGAAGAAGAGGCCGCAGGAATAGGAAGGCGGCGATGACGGTGGATGATAACGGACACAACGGGGTAGTCTTTCTGGGTGTGGTCTGCTTACCTTAGGCCCCATTAGGACTAACCTTGGCCCGTTTAGGGAGTTCTTCACTTGCCGCCTGACATTCGCTGGGCGCAGGCTGATTGGCCGTAAATGGACGGTTTTCAATGTCGAGTGTTTCATTATTTCATAACGCAGACCTTGGGAACGGCCCTCTTTTTACTCTATTCTGAAGGTGACGGCCACAAGTCAATTTTGGAGCTGGCTAGTCAAAAATTCCAAGTTGACGATTGACACCCAGGTGGAAATTCCACCTGGGCCCTTCCGGGGCCATGGTTCAGGGTTCGAACCCCAGGCCCGGAGAGTTTTTTTTTTTCTTTTTTTTTTTTAAAAAACTGAAAAGCGATAACTGTAAGGCTTTCCATAACTGCTTTAATTAAAATATATGATTAGCTTCCACGGAGTTGATATGCCTTTCGTCTGGCTATGAATGTACCACGCTAGTACTGCTACTAAGTGAAGTACCTACGTTAGCGACTAATAGAAACTGATGGCTACTGGTACTGACGCCCTCCTGTTACAAAACAGGTACATTGTCGGGAACGGCATGGTGGGGCTGAGGGTGGCCCCGTAGCCTAAGGTATCCGCTAGAGATGCCTGGATGCCTTCGGGTCTGAACTTTCGACCTTGCCTTGGGATCTTTCTTCTTTCATCTTTTTTTTTTTTTTCTTTTTTTGAGTTCGTCCTCTGATGCTCCGGGGTGATTTGGCATGCCAAAAAATACCATGCGCATCGTTTAATTGACGTCAATCTGTGCTCTAGCGCCGAGAAAAAAAATACGAAGGCAGCGAGGAAAGGTCAAAAAAAAAAAATACCAATCGCCCAAAAACTAGACGCATGCAGCTATCCTTAACCACCAGCCTCCATGGTTATTGGCTTCTTGTCCCTGAAGGATAGGCTGCAACCTGCTTCTTGACAGCAGAGTGCTTGCTCTATGGACTCTGTTCCTTCAGCATCAAGTTTCTCACTCCCACTTCCGTCATGGCAACAACCCATTAGTGTCCGCGTTGCTCGCTATGAACGCAAAAAGCGGAAAAAGGATCTTGATGATTGGGGAGATGGCGAAAATGATACCGAAGGTGAAACAACCGATGCTGCATCAGAGGGAGTGCCTCCTGGTCCCTCTCTTACATTGTCGCCAGACGAAGCTCACCAGTATCGTGTTGCTGGTCTTTCCTTCGACGAAGAACTCCCGGGGGGAAACTTTCCTCATGCCCCGGCCAATGAGGGGCCCTCGACCAGACAAGGACGGGATGAAACCTTGAAAGAGTTGTCTCTGATGTCCCTTCCCATGTACCCTCCACAGTCTGCGGCTCATCAAGGCAACATCCGAGTACAGCACTTCGCCGTCCTCTCGTCCATCTTGCATCGCTGTCTTCTTAAGAGGGACTACATCCGTGCTGGTAGAGCATGGGGATTGATTCTTCGTGAGGAATACCGGGGCATCCCACTTGATGTGCGCACTGAAGGAAGATGGGGCATCGGGGCTGAAATACTGCTCCGACGGGACCGCCAAATATCCGACATTGCTTCTGGTGCTGCCAGAGACGACGAAGAAATTCAGAGGAAAGATCCATCCAAGATCTACTTTACACGGAGAGGCCTCGAAGATGCGAAGCAATACTACGAGAGACTTATTATTCAACACCCGTTTCGGAAATCTGCGCCAGACGCTTTAAGTTCTTTACATTTCTATCCAGCCATGTTTGGACTTTGGGTATATGTCACGCACGAGGAGAGCCGTGTTTCCCGTCAAAATATTTGGAATAGACATGATGAGCCATCAGAAGCATCGGAGGATGAAGATGATGCATCGGATTTTGAAGGTCCTCATGGCTCCAGGAAGAGGACTCAGGTTCTCATTGCAGAAGCAAGAAAGATCGAATTAGATGAAGCACAGAAGATTGCGGCCAGAATGGACGAGATCCTTATGTCTCCCCCGTACTCCGATTCTCCCGACTTACTCGAACTGAGAGGCATGGTCTCGCTTTGGATTGGAGATTTGTTTATGTCTTCTCTGCCCTATCCAGAAAGCGATGAGTACGACGAAGATAACAACGCTGAGTCCACAGAAGACTCTATTCAAATGAGACGAGAGCAGAGACTAGCGGCAGACAAAAGGCAGAGTGAGATACAAAAATCGGAGGAATTCTTCGAGAAAGCAAAGCAGCGTGGCAAGGGAGTGGCTTCCACGTTCGAGGAACTTCATATTGGTGATGACGATGATGTTACTTTTGGGTGACACTGCGTGGCAGCGTATTTCTATCTGTATATAATCTCCGGCAAATAAAACTTATGGCAGAATTTGTAAAGTCAAAAATATATTCTAATGCTTGAAGGCATGGATTTGCTGGATACATGCATAGACCTTAGTTTTGTAGGTAGGGTCTTGAACGGCTGAGATTATTCCCACATATAACCCTTGACAACAACAAGCTCCAGCTAGTATCTGGTATCAATAAGATGCAGCATATCCACAACTTTCCTATTTGATAGAGCTGCCATATAGACTGGCTGTCACACGTGACCTCGTGGCAGCCTCGCGTGTCTTCAAAGTACCCGTGCGTGCCATTTGGGCCACTTCCAGAACCCATTTTCCGCAACAACCATAACCATGAATGGCGAGACCGTTGCAGTAGGCAGGGAGTCTCTCATGTGAAAAGAATTGCAAACTGGACCTATGAAACCCCATTGGTTGTGTGACCTTATCGTCTTTGGGTTTCCCCTACCTTCCTCACGTTGACCGATTCAGTCCACGATGGGAGTGGGAGACTATGTACAGTCCAAGGAAGCTGTTCAGCTTCGACATCCCATGAAGGATGCTCCAAATCACCAATCACGGCAGGACTTGGCCGAGCAAGCAAGGGTTGAGGTTCCCGCAATGAATTTATTAGCGCCGGTCCCTCCGTCAACCAGTAGACAACCAGAGCACCAGGGACAACATACGCCTGCTGAGAATGCTGTGCAGAAGGATATGTTCGACACTGATGTGGAAGGTATCGATGACTCTACTGTTGCTGCGACAAGCGTCATGGGCGGTGATGATGTTCCGTACCAATTCTCACTTGCCGCAAATACTCAGCACTATAGTGCTGAACTCAAACCTCTGCATAAATTCCGTCAGTCGCGCCGTTCCTACAATTCCAAATGGTATGAAAATCTCGGGGACAAAGCCTTGAAAACGGCTGGCTTTGATTCAGAAGATATGGAGGATGGAAGCCAATTAAGCTCGATGGCGGGAGATGACGACGATTCTGATAACACGAAAACAAATCACTCACCCAAACGGCGCGGAGCTGAAGTGCCGCTGAGCAAGCGCCTACAGAACTTCTGGAGCGCTAGTCGAAAAACGTATCCCAAGACCACCAGTCCAGTCCATGACCAGCCAGTGAAACCCGCTGCTTTCGCCCCGTCAGCCTCTGACATCAGAGGTACAAACCCAGCAGTGCCTATCAGCGGACCTAGGAAAATCACCCTTCCTCATAGTAAGAGTGCAACACCGAGGACAAGATTTAGCCCACCGAAGCCGTCCCTCCTTGACCAGTTGGACTTGACTCCCACTCGTTCTGCCTCCGGCCCCCGACCACAGCCGAGTCAGAAACCAGGCGTGTCGGGCACCAACCCAGAGGAGACTGGCGATGATGAAGGCGTATTTTCTTTTGACTATGGACGACGTGGTAGCATGCAGTCAATGAACCGGTTTGATGTCACCAATCTTGATGCCCTCGACGAGGATGCAGTCAACGATCCTTTCTCTAGACACGACTCCGTCAGAAGGATAAGTCCGGATTCAGCCCTGCAGAGAAAGCGACACCTCGAGCCTGATTATCCACCAGAGGTTCTACGCCAGAAGTCATTTTCCGAGCTTCAAGCAGAACCGTTTGACCACACTCCAGCTGCTGCGGCTACCGCCGCCACCTCGGAATCACAGATCCCAGAGGATAAGATGTCATATCTTATGGATATTTCCGAGGAAGAACGCCACAATTATTTCTCGAATCTGACACTGGAAGAATGGGAAGAATGCGGCGACCTGATGATAGAGGAATTCAGCAAGATGCTCAACCAGATGAAGGAACTTCGTCGTGCACGGCGCAAAACCGCCGCTATTTATGAAGCAGAAATAAAAAGAAGACACGAGGCAGTCGAAGAACAAGCCTCCGAACTGAATAAAAAGCTTGATGATATGAGAACAGGTGGTGCCGAGGTGCTTCGTGCTCAGACTCCATGAATGAAGTTCAGGATATGTCCGGTTCAGCTTGCTGCGTTGCAATGCCTTCCGATCCCGGTGATCTGGGCAGGCTGGTAGGGGGTAGTATTTTGTTATTTCTATATCACTTATCTGTGTATTGTTTTCAATGGGGTGAATTCGCATTTCATTAGGATTTTTATGTGCGATGATCTTGTTTCTATGTCCACTATGCCATGGGATTTGCCTGCTGTGGTAGCTACAGTTGTTAGATTAAAGCACTGGGCGAATTACCATCTACTATCACCTTATCATGTCTACGTCTACGTCCTAGATTGAATGCCAGTATGAATCGTGTGTATTCGCTACAACCAATGCTTCCTAGTCATTGCGCCCAAGCATGTCTAATGCGGAGTTCAAGTACGGAATAAACGCCCCCTAGCAAGATGGGCGATCTGCGGTAGCCGTGATTCGCAACACTATTACCTCGAAACACCAGATGCCTAGAAGAAATCAGGAACTCGTGAATGCCAGAAATATGTAGTAAGAGGTCACTACTCATTTAGAATTGGAGTCCTGCTTTAAAAACAATGCAGCAATTCGTTTATAATCCTCAAGCAATGTGGATACGTCTCTAATCGTCAGATCGTTGACGTTTTGAGTCTCGAGAAAGCGCTGGATCGGAGGGTCAATCTTCCCAGGGCTAGCAGAAGGGGCCTCGCGTGAGGCCGATACTGTTCTCGTCTTCTCTGAAGGCACTGAAAGTCCCCCAGGTCCGTCAGGCCCCGGACGTCCAAAGCTTCTGATCATCCCTGGAATATGATTGAGCGGGTTGAGTGTGTTCCCGAAGTTCCGCATGGACTCTAAAGGTGTAGGAGGTAGAGATGCAGTGGATCCTTGAGAGAAGCCAGGTGATGGCTCATTCTTCGTAGAATCTACACCGGGGCCGGTTCTTTTGGAGCTGCCTTGAGTCCTAGCGCTGTCCACGCTTCGGTCACGCGGGGTCCTTTGCCCCGTAACTAATCCTAAGAAAGCGTCTTTTGAACTCATACGCCTCAGTGAATGCCGATCCGTGGGAATCGGAGTCTGCAAGGTATTGTCGTCACCTGAGTTGCTTTCGGTAGAATCCGGTGAGGTAACTAGAAGTCGAGCTTCAGCTAATGTTTTTGGCAAGACAGGATTGCTGCCTTCTTTGCCAGGAGGCTGGCTTGATTGCAGCTCTTTGAGGCGACCGAAGAGAAAATTAAAACTGCTATCAAGTGTTGCACCGATATTTTTTAGGCCCTGGTCAGCGGTGTTGCGTACAGCGTCATTAGCTGCCTCGAGGACTTTTGAGGGTGGTTGGAATAGATTGTTCAGACGTTGTTGGGCTGTCACAGACTGTTGAGGTCTGGGAAGAGTGTTGGAGGGATCTTCCTTGCTAGTTGGGTTTGAGAATTCACCAGAAGCGCCGGTTGTAACGGAGGAAACAGGAGCCTCAGTTCTGATGGGAAGAGGCTCAATCGCTTCAAGGGACGGTGGACCGTCAAGGGATGCTCTTTCGGGTAGATCCTCCGAGCGAAGTTCGGATAGTTCGACATTTTCTAGGAAGCTGATTGCCGCTTCAAGATTAGTCAAGCAGTACGCGGTTTCGCCGTCAATCTTACTAGACGACCGGAATCGTTGTATGAAGAAGAGGTTGCTTATGACGTTGATACCCTCTGGTGGGCATGTGACAAGTGTATAGATCAAGGTAGGTAGAATCTCATCAGCGGAGGAAGACGAGGGCAGCAGTTTGGTCAAAACATCAACGATTGCCTTGTGGCTGGCCGCAAGGTGATGGAGCTTTCCTAGAGGAAATTTCTCCTCATTCATCTTAGCGAGACAATCACGGGCAAGGGAAAGACCCTCATCTACTTCTTTTTGTCTTTCTTCGCCGATAGTAGTCATATCGACATCCACTCCAAGGTCTTTTAGATTGATTCCAATTAGGAGTAAAGCCGCTGTTTTCGAGCGTAATTTCTCATCCCGTACTTCGTCGAGGGTGCTTTTATGTCTCCAGAGTTTACCATAGATACTCTCACATGCTCGCCGTTCTACAGCTTCTTCCAGAGCGATGCGCTTAGAGGCGAGAAGTTTTCGTGCTTGTCTTTTTTCTGCAACTTCTGAAGCCGTTAACATCTGCCGACTGGGCACAACACTTTCGGCTCCTTTGTTGTTCAACTTCGACTGTGCACTTCCGCGGGGGGCTTGAATGGGAGCTTGCGGCGAAGGATCACGGTTGATTCGAGAAGCGAGAGCAGATATATGCGTAGCTATATGAGACTCCGCTTTGACATAGAAGTCTTGGTAAAGGTTGGATATCTTCTCTACTGTGGGAGGGGAGGAATGTACTTTGGCGCTCAGGGAGTTCACAAATCTTGCCGGAGAGGTGTTAGAAATGTTAACCAGGTCTCAAGAAGGGAAGGGAGGGTGCATATGGATCCACCCTACCGCTCAGTCAAGCTGATCAACTCAATAGGCAGCTCTTCCGGCTGTCCCTTAATACCCCGTGACAGCACGGAGACCTCCTCATCCTGTTCCCTTTCTTCACCTGGCGCTGCCTCTGACGACCCTGTTATCTCAAACAAGTCTGGACCCGAGTCCTGATCTTCTTCATCCATCGACAGAGGAAGTGCATCGGAATCGACCGTCTCTGTTATTGCCACGGACTGGACCGTTTTGGCTCTCGAGCGAGCGAAAGGGCTTACGTCCGATGCATCCATCCTGGGGAATGAGCGAGCAGAATGTAACCGCGGCTTCTTAGAGCCATATACCGGGACAACTGAAGACATAACCTCCGATGAAACAATCTTGCACCTGATCAGATTGCAAGTCAGTTCGTGTCGTAGTTCAGCTATCGGCCGACGCAGATCGAGGAACGCAGATATAAGAGTTAGATACGGAGGATCCGAGTGAATAATCTCAGGGCCTCCGACCCATTAAATGAACAGGATATCAAGGAATAGGGAAGCTCACACGTTGTTATTTGACAAGCCCACGCATTGTGGCTAACCAAGTGCCTTCGAAAGCCCCAACTAGAGGTCCATGAGATCGCAGCGCCGCATCGCCCGTCATCGTCACGCGTCTCGGCCATCACGTGCGCGCTCCTCCGCATTGTGTCACCGCCCCGATAAGTCATCCAGCCAGCTGATAACCCAGGGCCAGACTCTCGCCCACTCTTGTCTCATCCCCAGCATCCTTGATCATCTTCATATCACTATGGAATGTTGTCAGAAGCGGACGAAGAAGCGCTATTTACCCGGGTTTGGGGCTCTGAACCTTCTCCTGTGTGTTACTCTCCTTTCGACTGTCGCCACCGCCTCCCGGCCTGTATACTTCGGATCTCGACAGTCGTTGCCCTTCCTTGGTCCCCAGATTCCTCTAGTAGGAAAACCGTCTCATTCAAATACATATGAATTTGCAAGTTTGGCACTCACTGATCATGCGATTCTTATTTCTAACAATGGGAATACAGACGCTTCGGCACCTCTTTCACCGCGGTACATATGAACATCCCGATCTCCACAAGCGGCTTGACATTAAGCCGGATACCCGCCTTTGGGTTCTGTCTGAGGATGGACTCAAGAAGGAGCCCGTTACGATAGACGAGCCTTTAATTGCTTCATCGCAACCAGTTACTATCCAACGACTTGTCGATCGTCGACCAATGATTATCGAAGAGCATTTGACGGCCGCACGATCCAGCGGATTCGCAATTGCCTTGTCACCGTCGGCGTGGGTCATGGATACGTTACCCGGTCCAGATGTCACCAAAAAGAGAACTGTTCTTACTTTTGCAAAGATGACTGCAAATGATTACATCGAGGAGCCGGGTAGCGAGGACTGGCAGGATGTCCATGGCTCTTTTAATTACTCATCTAGCTTTGGCTGGGGAGGAGATGGTCTCAGGGGCCACATCTATGCGGATAAGAGCAACAGTACTGTTGTGATATCTCTCAAGGGTACCTCGCCTGCTCTCTTCGATGGTGCGGGAACGACTACGAATGATAAAGTCAACGACAACCTGTTTTTCAGTTGCTGTTGTGGACAGGGTGGCTCGTACCTCTGGCGCCAAGTATGTGACTGCCAGAAATCTGCATATACGGCGAACTTGACTTGTATTGTCGAGGCTATGCTTGATGAAACCCGCTATTACCGTGCAGCGCTTGATCTCTATTCTAACGTCACGGAAATCTACCCCGATGCAAACATTTGGTTGACTGGTCATTCACTGGGAGGTGCCATGACCAGTTTACTGGGGTTGACATATGGATTGCCTGCTGTCACTTTTGAGGCTGTCCCTGAAGCTCTTCCAGCAGCCCGCTTAGGTCTCCCAAGCCCTCCTGGTCATGATCCGAGACTTCCACAATTGCGGCGTTATACTGGAGCTTATCATTTTGGACACACTGCGGACCCGGTATATATGGGGACCTGCAATGGGGTTGGTTCGGCTTGTACATGGGGCGGTTATGCCATGGAGTCCGCGTGCCACACCGGCCAGATGTGCGTCTACGATACCGTAGGCGATAAAGGTTGGCGCGTGGGACTTGGAACTCACCGGATCAAAGCCGTTATCTCAGATGTAGTAAAGGCTTACGATGACGTACCAGCTTGCGCACCTGAGGAGGAATGCTACGACTGTGAGTTGTGGAAGTTCTTCCACAGTAATGGCTCAGAGACTACTACCACCACTACTAAAAGCTCAACGATATCCACGACGAGTAGTACATCGACTTCGACATCTACGTGCAAAACACCCGGCTGGTGGGGCTGCTTGGACGAAACCACCACCACCAGCGCTACTGCCACTTCCACTGCCACTCCCACTCCCACTCCCACTCCCACTCCCACGTCGACGTCGACGTCGACGTGCGAAACACCTGGTTGGTTTGGTTGCAATGATAAGAGCATTACTACCACAGGACCGACTTCCACCGCTGCCGCTACTTCGACGTCAACCTGTAAGACACCTGGGTGGCTTGGATGCAAGGATCCGGCGACGACTACAAGCGCAACACCATCACCTGCACCTACAATTACAACCACGATGCCAACCAGGACCGCGTTATCTACCTCACTATCTACCTCATGTAAAAGCCCTGGCTGGTTTGGCTGGTTCGGCTGCCGTGATCCCACCAGTTCGACGATTTCTTTCACGACGCCTCTACCTATCCTAACTTCTACTTGCGAGACTCCAGGAATTTTCTGGGGCTGTTGGGACACATCAGCTGTGAACACTAATCCCACCACCACACCACCGCCATAAGCACTGCATAGACAAACTTTTGTGCATCTGACGCTCCCCGGCGTCTACTTCTTAGAATTGGATTTTCATCCTACAGTGACAGACCGGAGGTTACTAGAAACCTCCCCTCCGGAAGAGCAGACTAACCGGAGCTTTTATATATCCTATCCAGCTGACCATTTGCATTAGAACCGATATGACCTTCTACGAACCATTAGCAATATATTTATTTTTTAAGCGAGCGTGATTCTTCCTTTTCCGGGCGTTTTTGGACACTGTATTTCCTGGTTGGCTCTTTTTCCACCCTGTCCTCTTTTTGCAGTTTTCTTGAGTCACGTTAGTCCCTCTTGAACTGCTGCACTATATTTGGATAGTTATATTTGTGAATAGGGCAGCTAGTTAAGCAATTACCCATTCACCGAATCCTTTGCTTCAATATCAATCGAGAATCTATCTCTACAATTTTGTTATTACTGCTCAACTGCGGAAATTCATTTCGCCAACTTATTCTCGACTGGAGTGCGCAACCCTAGTCCTGTGTCGACGATGAATGATGTTCTACAAAAACGTATCGGCTATAGCTAATGTGCATAGCAATTTCATCTTACGTCACATGTAAAAATAAATTTAATACTGAAAGCAAGATATCGTTTTGACTTCATCATTTCATATTAGTACATACAGCTTCGGGAATGGATGGGTTACTGAAAGATAGAATGCCCAATGGCAAATTACAATCGAGCGGAGCGAGCGTCAGTGGCCTTGGCCTCGGTGGCCTTCTCAAGGCGCGCACCTAGGTCTGAGTTGACCCGACGGAACATGCCGTAGGTGGCCTTGCGGACCCGCTCGTGGGCACCGCACAAGTGACCGGAAACGTTGTGGATGAAGGCCTCCTGTTGGCCGGGCTGGCGGCCCAACACCTGCCAGAGTCCGTTGGCCTGGACGTAGTCCTCGTCTGTGACAGGTAACTGCTCGGCGGTAACAGCACCGACCCACTTCTCGTGCTCCTGGCTCGCTTTGACGGGCTGGTAGCGGAGAGGACGGAAGGTGGATGGGTAGTTCGGGTTGGCGCCGTAGTTGCCGTTGACATTCATGACGCCATCCCGATGCCACGGGCTAAAGGCACGAAGGGGGCAGTTGACGGGTATCTGCTCGTAGTTGCCGCCCAAGCGATGGCGCTGGGTGTCGGGGTAGGAGAAGAGACGAGACTGCAGCACGGGATCGGCGGAGGGTTCTACGCCAGGAACCATGTGCGAGGGAGAGAAGGCAGCCTGCTCAACTTCGGCGAAGTAGTTCTGAGGGTTCTTGTTGAGAGTGAACTTGCCGAAGCGACGCAGGGGCACTTCGCTCTGGGGCCAAACCTTGGTCAGGTCGAAGACATTCCAGCGGAATTTCTCGGCCTGCTCAGGGCTCAGGACCTGGACGTAACAGGTCCACGAGGGATTCTCGCCCCTCTCAATTGCGTTGAACAGGTCCTGGGTATGCCAGTCAGGGTTCTCAGCCGCCAGCCGGGTGGCCTGCTCGTTGTTGAAGGTCTTATTGCCCTGGTCGGTCTTGCAGTGGATCTGGACGTAGTTGAAAGTGCCGTCGGGCTTGATCCACTTGTAAGTGTGGCCCGAGTAGCCGTTCATGTGGCGGTAAGAGTAGGGGGTGCCGCGGTCACTGAACAGGTGCATGATCTGGTGGACGGCCTCCTGGTGAGTGGAGAGGTAGTCCCAGAACATGGTGGCATCCTTGAGGTTGGTCTGGGGATTGCGCTTTTGGGTATGGATGAAGATAGGGAACTTGGCAGGGTCCCGAAGGAAAAAGACGGGAGTGTTGTTGAAGACCCAGTCCCAGTTACCCTCATCTGTGTAGAACTTGATGGCAAACCCACGAGGATCACGCGCACTGTCGGGTGAGCCCTTCTCTCCACCAACGGTCGAGAAGCGAGTAAACATCTTGGTCTTCTTGCCAATTCCCTTGAGCATGTCGACGACCGTAATGTCGCTAATGTCATCGGTAACCTCGAACTCGCCGTAGGCGCCAGCACCCTTGGCATGGACCACACGCTCCGGGATTCTCTCCCGATCAAAGTGCGAAAGCAGGTCAATCAAATGGAAGTCTTGCAGCAGAAGAGGACCATTGCGACCAACCCGCTGGGCAGCTTGAGGATCCATCACAGGACAGCCACTGGAGGTGGTGTAGACTGGAGTTTCATTGTAACGGTAGGTCTCTGTAGATAAGGGAGCGATCAGTTAGCCTCTGGTCACTAAATCGAAGAGGAAACAAGGGACATACTAGGCTCGTCGTCTTTGCTCATCGTGATATAGCGGGATAGGAGGATACAGGTTGAGGATGGTACCTAGAAACGAGGGGTATAGTAATCTACTGTGGCGGTAAGAGGAAGACAATCGAAGTGAGGATATGGTATTTATATAACAAAAGGAAGTTCTCTCCAGCTTTCCTGCGTAATCGAAAGGGAAAAAAAAAAAAAAAAAAAAAAAACAAAAAAAAGCACTTTCTATGGATGGATCCCAAATACTGGAGCTTCGGCCAATGACAACGCGCGTATTTCACGATGACGTCCTTGAACGCCCCATCAGGCCGTCAATCTCCCATTGCGAAGAGGAAGGCCGATGCGAGGAAGGAATGACCCGATAGGCCATGAGTGGAAACATGGAGTAGGATGGAGCTCTATGACTAGTAGGCACATACTGTATTCGAGTGGTTGAAAGAGAGTTGGAGAAAAGCGCAAAAAGTAAAACTTTCCCAAATTTACCCCGCACGTGGACAAGGCCCATCATCACCCATACATTTCAGATACTTCCTCTGTGTTGGCTTTTGATAGCAATTCGATGTACATGCATTTACAATGTATGTATATAGTATCTTTTGCTGGCAACGACTCTGTTCATAACAGCTCCGGTCTCTATGATAACTTGGAAATAACAGCATGTTGCTACACTGTAAGTAGACAATGAAACTTCCATCTGCTTCCTAGTGGAGACTTGACTGAAAGGAACGTAAACTAGCTCGTCTGCTTTCCCTTAGTACCACGCTGTTCACTCGCTAGTAACAATCTTAGTCAATGGACCTGGCCAGACAATATGATTTGCTTTAGGATCTTAAGATCATCATTAATGTCCGACATGCCAAGAGCATACATGTCTTTTTGGTGCGGAGAGACTACCAGCAAGCACTTTATGCCCTTTTTAGGAAGTCATGGCGCCTATCCTGATGTTTCAAGGTCTATTCTTAAGTGGAGTACTTCAGGCATGATTCTATGCCAACCATGGTGACATCCATGTACACGCAAAACCTGCGGAGTATACAGCCTAACTGTGGACTATCGGCAAAGGGGGTACAATGCGCTATACCGTACCTGAGGCGCCTATCGGCGGAAGCCTTAGCGGAAAGCTCCGTCTTCCGAGGCGGAATTATTGCCTCTCTAGCATCTCCGACAGTCGAGTAGCAAGACAACGAAGAATCCATCATTCCATTCATGGGTGGTTTCGTCTTCACGCAGGAGAAACGTATCCCAATCACTGCACAGCAGTGGATTAACACACCACCATGAATATCATGACTACAAAGCATGGATATCTGTGAAATCCCAACCCAACAAGGCTGTGCTTCGTTTTGCTTCAACATTCTTGATGGTGCCCTCAAGGTTCTCGACAGCACAGCTCCTAGCCAGTCTACCTACGATCATTCCTTGTCAGCCCACGGCACTGCCTAAGGTACCTGTCACGCCGCCAACTGCCTAGCTAAGGCCATTTTCAAGACTGTCGACGATGCCAGCTAGAGAATACACTTGTTTGCTCCGGTAGCTTCAATATGAGTGGATGGTAGAGACAGGGTAGTTGGACGTACGGTCCTTTTCCTCCGCTGACATGGTGGTATTCTTGTCCAAAAGGATGACTGCGCGATCAGGGATTACTCGGGAACTCAAGAGTACCCGAATTGAATCGATGGTAAACTAACCTCTGTTTTACTCTGGAATATATCCTGTTTATCGGGACAATTGAACGTTATAGCTGACACCTCTCTATTCCCAGCGAACTAACCAGTTATCTATTTACCAGTTCCACGTGGGATACATTAATACACGACTATGTCGCTGAGGAATGATGCTGTGTCTGCATTTTGATTGAGCTCATGGAGATCTAATCTCTACCTCCATGGCCAATCCCGTGGGACAGCATCACTGACCACCTGGGCCACATAATTGACATTGTCCTCATTCAGCCCACAGATGATGGCTCTCTCCAACGGCAGTACACATGATACTCCTTCCGATGACATCGACCTGATCCATTTCTATAGCATAGATTCTACGAAGCTGTAGGTTTGTATATGCCCATCTAATGAACGATTTATTCAAATGCATACATCTACAGATATCTTAAGGGAGTAATCTCGAGTAATCAGCGTTGAAGATATCGCATGGGGCCATGCATACAATTGGGCCATCCATGCCGTCTCCGAGAATGCCATAAAGAACAGGACTTGCAGTGAATAGGGTCATCTCCAGAGCATTATCAGGAAAGACTGGTGTTGTACTTGTCTATTCCACAGTGGTATAATAACTTCATATCGCTAGCCTACAGGCCTATTCAATATTTTTAGTCAAACGCTCCGACCCTCTTGTGATCACATTGGGGTCATTAATGGTGGCAGCTGGACAGAACAGACCGAAGAAACGCCGTAGTGAGAGAAGTCTCAAAATCGAATCGAGTCCAAGCAAATGCCCTGTGACTATGCAAGAATATGCATAATATAATATAGTAATCATCCGGTCCGGATGCTGGATTAGTACTATAGTTCCAACCCGAGGCTACTCATCAGATAGGAATCATGTGACGGAAGACGTGCTTCCACTCGAATACTTATTGTTCTTGTCTTCTTTCAATCTCATCTACTGGACCTTTCCCGCGGCATTAGGCACTCCATCCACTGCCCTCGTATTCGTCCCGGTCAACCAGTCCGGTCCAAGGCCTGGACGGCTTGCTAACTGAAATTAAGTGCTTGGCTGACCTTGTGCTCTCCGTGCGTTCACCCAAATTTCTCAGTTTCCCCGCAATTCTAACCCACAGTCTCTTCTAGTGCACATGACTGTTTTGCAGTCTGCCTTTCCCTTTTCTTCTCTAGTATCCCTATCCTTCGTTGGTTTGGACCGTCCTGGCCATGTTCTTGTGTTCTTGTGCGCAGGTTACCAGTGGTGGGGGAAAGGGGGGGGTTACCTTAAAAGGTCGTCCCTCGGCGGCCCCGCCGGGGCCATAAATTTCTATCGCCCTCCGTCCCACTGCTCACCAGGTGCGGAAAAGTCGTGACAGCCTTTTTTGCCTCGACTGGAATTATAGTTCCTTCACTTCTACCCCTTTTTGTCTTCTTGCAATTCCATTCCTTCCCGCCCTTTTTAGGCCATCTTCCCTCCGGGGCCTGCAATTGCCCTCAGCATGGCTTCCAAGGCGCAGGATGCCATTGCCCCGATCGACCGGTCGTCAGACGATTATCGGGACTCGTCTTCAGTGGCCAAGATTGTCGAAAATGCAAAGGCGGCCACGGACAAAGAGCAACACATGACCTTGTTGCAAGGTATCAAACTCTATCCCAAAGCTGTGGCATGGAGCATCCTCATCTCCACGTGCATTGTTATGGAAGGATACGATATCAGTCTAATCAATAACTTCTACGCTTTCCCTCAATTCAATCGCAAGTACGGCGAGCAAACGCCGAAGGGGTATGAAGTGCCAGCACGGGTAATTTTTTCTTTCTCTTTACTCATCTCTCCCCTTGAGTCTTTCCTTTCCACCCCAATGTGCTTCGGGATTGACAAATTTTCAGTGGCAAGCAGGTCTGAGCAACGGTGCTTATGTCGGAGAAATCATCGGTCTTTTTATTAACGGCTGGGCCTCGGAACGTTTCGGATATCGTCATACTATTCTTGCTTGTCTAATTTTGATCACGGCGTGGACCGCCATCTTTTTCACGGCCCCTAATGTTCAAGCTTTGCTCGCCGCCGAAATCCTTGCCGGTATTCCCTGGGGCGTGTTCCAGACTCTCACCGTGACCTATGCCTCCGAAGTCTGTCCTGTTGCGTTGCGCAGCTATCTAACAACCTATGTCAATTTTTGTTGGGGTCTCGGCCAGCTGATTGGAGTGGGTGTGATCTCGTCAATGATTAACCGGGACGACGAATGGTCATATCGAATCCCGTACGGTCTACAGTGGATGTGGCCCCTTCCCCTCTTTATTGGAATCATGCTCGCCCCCGAATCACCATGGTGGCTGGTCCGACGGGGGAAAACACAGGAAGCGAAGAAAGCTCTGCTACGCTTGACCAGTCTAAACCGGGAGACGGATTTCGACGCTGACGAAACCATCTCCATGATGGTCCACACTACCGCTCTGGAAGCTACGATCACTCAAGGAGCCTCCTATTTGGATTGCTTCAAGGGGGCTAACCTCCGCCGAACTGAGATTGTCTGCATGGTATGGGCCATTCAGAACCTAAGCGGCAACTCCTTCTCCAACTATTCCACCTACTTCCTCAAACAGGCCGGCCTGGACACATCCAAAGCATATGCCTTTGCCATGGGACAATATGGTATCAACATGGTTGGTGTCTTCGGTGCATGGTTCCTCATGACCATGGGAATGGGCCGCCGAGCCCTATACTTGTATGGCCTTTGCGCACTCTGTATTATGCTGTTCGTCATGGGATTCCTTGGCCTCGTTCCGGACGAGCACCGGAAGCAGGGATCCCTCGCGACGGGAGCCATGATGGTGATCTGGGCCTTATTTTACCAGCTGACGGTTGGCACGGTTGCCTACTCCCTTGTGTCTGAGTTGTCCACTCGACGACTGCAGATCAAGACCGTGGTTCTGGGCCGCAATCTGTACAATATCGTCGCCATCATCTGTGGTGTCCTAACACCGTACATGCTGAACCCGGACTCCTGGAACTGGAGAAACTACGCCGGGTTTTTCTGGGGCGGTCTCTGTTTCTGCTGTATCATCTACACTTACTTCCGGATCCCTGAGCCAAACGGCCGTTCGTTTGCCGAGCTCGACGTTCTTTTCGAGCGTGGGGTCAGCGCCCGCAAGTTCGCCAGCACCCAGGTTGATGTCTTCGACGAGACCATTGAAGGCCGCGTGGTAAAGGATTACCAGACTCAGAAGACGGCCGCCCTGGCTGATGTGACTGGGTTGGAGAAGCAAGCTTAACTGGGGGATATGCTGGGTGTCGGCACGTTCTGTAATATTACATCTTATACAACTAAAAATCTTAATGCTGTACATAATCAAATATAATGATTACGATGATATGCTAAGATTCCGTTGAACAATATGATATGGTACTCGGTAACGAGCTAACAGGAAGCCTACAGATTGTCTAGGGTCTGGGTTATCTGGATTATAACGAGCTGTAATTCGCTAAAAAGCATTTTTCGATACTCGCAGCAACGTTATCTACTCATTCGACCACTCTGGCTTTTTCTTCTCTGCAAAGGCAGTCATGCCTGTTCAACAGTCAGCAAGCAATCCTTCCCCCCCGGCCGAAAAAAAAAGAAAGAAAGACTCACCAATCTTCTGGTCCTTACTTCCAAAGAGTCCATGGAACAACCGCCTCTCATACTCCACTCCCTCGCGTAATGAAAGTTCCTGGCTCTTATCCACCACCTCTTTACAAGCCAGCACCGCAACCTGACTATACCCGGCGATCGTCTCTGCCGTCTTAAGTGCCTCCTCCAGAAGCTCCTCCTTGCCACCATCCACAACCTTAGCCGCGACACCCCATTCTCCAGCTTCCTTACCACTGAAATTCTTGCCGGTGAGGATCAGCTCCATGGCCTTGCTCTTGCCCACTGCCCGAGTAAGACGCTGCGATCCACCCGCGCCGGGAATCACACCCAGTTTGATCTCGGGCTGTCCGAAGGTGGCGTTCGCGGTGCAGTAGATGATATCGCACATGAGAGCCAACTCGCAGCCTCCGCCGAGAGCGTAGCCGGATACGGCGGCAATGACGGGCTTGCGGACGTTATTGGCGAGATGGGACCATGGGGCGATGAAGTTGTTGGTGTAGGCGGAGGAGAAAGTCAGGGGTGCCATTTCTTTGATATCGGCGCCCGCTGAGAAACTGTCCGTTAGTATCTATCTATCTTGTACAGATGATGTGCAGGGGCGGTTATATAAGGATAAGGAGAGAGTTACCGGCGAAGGCCTTCTCGCTGCCAGTGATGACGATGGCGCCTATTTCCTTGTCCTTGTCGTACTTGGATAGGGCATCGTTGATTTCTCGGAAGAGAGAACTCGATAGCGCATTGAGGGCCTTGGGTCGGTTCAATGTGACTGATTAATTGGGATATATGGTCAGTCTGTTTTGTTTTGTACTTATTTAGTATTTTACTGTATCCTGGCACTCACTCAGTCCGACACCTGGCTTGGGAGCGGATGTCAGGATATGTTCGTATCCTGAGGTTGCGGAGGAATAAGGCCTCACACGGGCCAGATAGGATGTCAAGGGGACGGCGGTTCGGGAGGAGACGAGGCGGGAGCACTGTCGAGAGAACATGATGAGGGATGATATGCCTGACAATTCACAATTGCAACAGAACGATCGATGGGAAGAAAGGAGTTGAACTAACTACTCAGTTGTACAGCGTTATTTGTATGATGACATGATCCCCGCAAGAATGCCGAAGCGAACCGTTCCCCCGAGGCAATGCGCACACGTGAATCACTGAGTCAGCAGCGCCAGGAACGGGCTAGCGTGTCTTTCCAGCCACAGGGTGGCTGATTATCCTAAAGGGGACTAGCGCCGGCAGCAGTGGACACTTTTCTTGCGAGATCCTGGATGTTGTCGTCCTCTTTCGCATCCGGAGATTCTCTGTTGCTGGTTGTGTATGCGCTGTTGAAGTGAAAGTGTTGGCTACTGAGATTCGACGCTTCTTTCCCTTTTCCTTTTTCCTTCTTCTTCTTTCCTCCCACCCTTTTTGGTTTTATTTCTTCCCGTTTGTTTCGTTCTAAACCGTCATGGATGTTCCTGAGCCCGAGCAGACCCCATTTACGGCGGTTACAGCGCAGACGTCCAAGCTTGCCAGAGTGAGTTAATTCCTGAGGTCATGGATCTTTCAAAGGTGGGAGTGCTGACCCTTGATCTTCCTAGCAATTTCAAACTTACCTCGATGCTTCCACCCCGTTTACGGCCTACCGTTGGGTCGGCACCGTCGTCCTCCTCGTCATTTTCTTTCTGAGAATTGTCCTGGCTCAAGGATGGTACATCGGTATGCATGATCCATCCATCCTTTTTCAAGAAGTGGTCAAATAGCTCCTATCTGGGTGCTAGAGGACAGACGAAAAATAGAAAGCGGGAGAGGAGATGGTAATCATCACCGCAGCTGACTCTCAAAACAGTCGCATACACCTTAGGCATCTACCTCCTTAACCTCTTCCTCCTCTTCCTGCAACCCAAATTTGACCCTTCCCTCACTCAAGACGAAGGTCTGGAGGATGGAGACGCCGCCGCCAGCCTGCCCACCAAGCAAGACGACGAATTCCGTCCGTTCATCCGCCGACTCCCTGAGTTCAAGTTCTGGTATTCCGCCACCCGGGCTATCACCATTGGCTTCATCTGCTCGTGGTTCACCATCTTTGATATCCCCGTGTTCTGGCCTGTCTTGGTGGTCTACTGGATTATTCTCTTTGTTTTAACGAGTGCGTATTTCCCTCCCTCCCTCTCCCTCTCCTGTTCACCCGTCCTCTGTATGTCCCTGTCTGCTAACTTTATAATACAGTGCGACGACAGATTCAGCATATGATCAAGTACCGCTACGTGCCTTTCTCATTCGGAAAGACACGGTACGGCCGTTCATAAATGGATCGTTTCCCTCCCTTCCCCCCTCCCCCCGCTTCCCCTTGGGGTATTCATTTCAGGGGGTTTGATTCGCGGGATCTTTCTTATTAAATCTCTCCATTATCGGGCTCCTCCTGTGATTCACTTCTTCATCTCTCTTTCTCTCTCTCTTTTTCTTGATTCTTCTCTTTCATGATGGAGATTCGATCGGAAGGAGCTTTGAAAAACCGGAGAAGAAACGTGTTATAATCTCTTGATGACCGTTCGTGTGAACCTGACTTCATGAACTAAATTATTCCTTGTACAGAGTTTTAGTCTCAATTTTCTTCCTTTCTTCCCTGTTCTATTGACGTACGTGTTTGATCATGGGGCTTAGAGTTGTATCGGTAGGGTTCACGATGTTATTGTCAGTTAAATAGACTATTACTGGGATTTTGCTTTATGACTTTTCATCAGTATTTCGGGTTTTCGTATATCCATGGTCGTGGGATAAATCTATATACAACCATAACTATGGCACAAAGTAAAAACAAATATCCTGCCTCGAACTACGTAAGGAATTGGCAAAAACGATCATCCCGGTTAGACAAAGAGCACGCCAGACGCACAAACATAAAAAGGGGAAGGAGAATGAATTCAGATCTGAAGATCCTCAACACTTGTCGACCTCTTGCTCCTACTATCATTCAACGACAACACAGATATCGATCGATCTGGCGATGGCTGTTCCAACTCCCTGGTCTTGGTACAGATCCAAGTAGACGCATACATGTTCACCCTATTTCCATCAGTATCATCACATCGCCCGCATTGCTGGCAGAAAGAGTAACCCTTACCGGTCAATACAGCTACCCGGAAATCGAGCACCGACACGCCGGGCTGTGAATCCGTTCTCCTCGAAGTTTCGGATATACCAGGGCTCAATGCTAGCAGAGCGGAGAAGGATACGGCCATCCATTTTTAGGGCCTGGTTGAGTTTTTGTGCCTGGGCGGAGGCCTCCTCCCCTTCGGGATCAAACCAGTCCATGGAATCCATGACCTGAAAGGTGGATTTGGTCAGTATATAGGGTGGGATAAAGAGTCTGGAAAGGCGAAAATTACCACGGCAATGGTTAGGCTGCGAGGTGTAATGCGCTTAATCACCTCATTGATCTCATCTGTGTGGATTCGAAGGCCGTCAAATGCCCCTGGTGATGATAGTCTCACATGTGCTTTCGGAGATAGATAAGCCGGGTGGCATCTGCAGTTGTCAGCTTGGCCGGTTCGCTTGGATAAACACGAGTCTTCCTCACCTTCGGGAGAATTGGCCTTGTAGACACAAAAAATAGAAGTAATTGTCAGAGCTGATCAAGGTGTCCTTGACCACAGGATCCAGCGTGTCGACCACATACTCCCAGATCGACTGGCCGCTAATATCTTTGGCTTTCTTCATATCTTCAGTCAGGCCATTCCGCTTATAGAAATCATTAATAATCATGTTCCTTTGGTTCCGAGGCACGCCTGCGGCTTTCCATGCGAACCATTCCGTTCCAACGACGGCCCAATGAAGAGGTTTGCTCATTAAGACAGAGCGAATGCGTGGCCAAATTTGCCGCTGTTCAGCGATGGTCTGGGCCTCACATAGTTGCCGCACTTGGCTCTCGATGCCAAATACTTTGAATAGGTAGCGGACCATCTTGATCGCATGACGCGATCCGCCAGTCTCATAGAGACCTTTGCCAGAGGAGGACGTGAAAACATGAGTATGCTCCAGCCAATATTGAAACGCCTGGCTTGACAGATGCGGGCTCAGGCGAGAAATAAGCAACCGACGGAATTCGGGATGCTTTCCCTCGCCGAAGATCTTCCAAACATCGCGGTGGCCGAGGGCAATAAAGCTAGCAACCTTCAGCTCCAAGAGATGGTTCTGATTCGGGTTCAGATCAACCGCATGCACCCGCCGCGGGCTCTTCTGTAAATAATCCAGTATATTGTCCCCCGCGCTCGTGATGGCCAGAATCACATCATCACGTTGGATATTAAGGAGACGATGATCGACGCGGGGATCTTCCCAATTGAAGGCATAGATGTACTCATTCTGGAATTGTGTGTGTTTTGGAAGCAGATCATTGTAAAAGATCCGATAGTGATGGTTCTGGTAAAATGAGGATGGGAGAGGGAGGTTCGAGCCCAGGTTAATAACAGCGGTCTCGTACGCCTTGGACCGCACCTCCTGTGCACTGGCCTCGACAGCCTTGTCCATCTCCTTGCGATGGTTGGCCGGGGACAGGTAAGGTGATTCCGTGAAAGAAGCATCTAGCTTTTCAATGGCATCCCTGCTCGTCTGGCTGGATGCAATGGCCTTCTGGCAGCCGATAAAAATATAGTATGGGATGCCACCGAGAAGATAATTCCTCTCGCTAGCAGAAACGACGGTACCAAACCGATATTCCAAGTAATCTCGGCGGGCAGCCTCCAAACTAACCCGGTCTGCGTCAAACCAGGCCCTCCAGAATACTCGACTCAGCCAGTTGACATGGCGGTTGAAGGCACCGCCAATATAATTGCGGGAAGAGACATCCACAATGCTCTGGACTACTCAATGGGTCAGCCGCTGCATTCGTCGGAGCTGACATCACCTTACCATAGAAGTCACAAACACCAAGAAGGCCCGATGGTTTCAGCAAGCTCGACAAAGAGTCGATCACGCTATAATAATCTATACTCGGTGAGCGTTTAGCCACAAACTGAATGCCAAACAATACAGACCTGGTATCATCGACAGACTGTAGCTCATTGTGACGACGTCAGCGCCGGTATCTGCCGCTGTGGACTTCGCCCGAGGGTCGACATGGTCTTCTTCTGGTAGACGAAAGGATCGTGCATCCTGACAGACCACGCTGACATTCTTCCATCCCAATCGTCGGAACCGCTCGCGGGCAACTTCGCAGAGAGAAGGAGATAGGTCCACCAGATAAACATGGGAAAAGAATGTCTGCACTGGTAGGAACGCGGACATAGCCTCAATGTTGTACCTGGGTTTTCAGTCAGAACCATGCCTCGTGTGTGATTCGACTCTAATACTCACCCAGTTCCACCTCCAATCTATATAATTAGCAAGCAGTTCTATCAAAAAGAAAAACAACATATTTGAGAGCTTACATCAACCCAGATGGCTTTACCAGCCTGGAGCTCTTTGTTGTCCGCTTTAAACATCAGCTGGGCTGCAACCAGACCCAACATATCTTCTCGACCACGGAGAAGCCGCTTGCGGGTAGCATCATAGACACCAGCCTAGAGGTCCATCAGCTGACAATTGAAGCCGATTCCCATGTCATCTCCTCATACCTGAGCCTTGTAGAAGCTTTCCAATGCATCCTGTTGACCATCCTCGTTCTTCTGGTGAGGCTTAAGGAAATTGGCGTAAATGAATTTCGCATAGGTAAAAACCCCGCTATCGTAGTTAATCTTGCCCTTGCGGGATGACAGGGAAAGCACGACCGCAATCAAAGCACAGACCAAAAAAGCCGTGCCCGCGATGTAGATATGCAGCCAATCCACGCGGTCGTTCACGAACGAACCGATGGGGCTATTATTGCCGAGGAAGCTCATGGTAGAAGAGAGCAGAAGGGGTAGAACGCTGCGACTTTGCTGGTGCAGCCCAAGACAGATGGGAACCGGGCAGACAGGAGTCAGGAATTCATGATCAAGAGAAGGAACGGCTTCTTGAATAAAAGACCGCGTCCCGCATCTCTGTAGCACGACAACTACCACGATGCAGAAAGGCTCATGAGCATCCTCCTAGGCCCCACCATAGCCCCTCGAAGCTATTGATAAACCCAAACATGAGGTTGTATGCCACCAAGCGAGTGGACGGGACCATGGCGTAGATCGCTAGGTAACCTTTAGTGGTGCTAGAGTTGAAGTGATCCATGCTTGATATCCTATCAACGACACACATGGGCGAGACTGCGACATGCCTGTTGGACCTGCATTGAACCCGACATTGCTTGGAGCAGGAAGAGCGACGATGCAGATGGACGAAGAAAGTGAGAGCAATAGCGAGTAAGAGTGCATTGGCGTGGCACATGGTCTGGCTCGGTGGCCAATCAGCGGCCAGTGTTCCGGCACACCTCGCCATTTCCTCTTTCGGCAGGATCAGGATGACGAAAATGGAAATTTAGGTCGAATCCCATCAAACGGTACTCAACTGGTATATTTGTAGTTTCTCCATACGCATGTGTTAATATAACAGAAGAATCACCATGCCTAACTAGGGCCGGTACCCTTTTTAGTGCAGTGGAATTTATTGATAGTGTGCTAAAGCTCTTTTTCAAAGTATTCCACTAGCTTAGAGCCCGCCGCGTCAGGCTTGTCAGGGAACATGAAGACAATGGGCACTTTCTCAGCCGTGCCATCGCTGTCGCGGTCCTTGGCTGTGACCTCTAGCTGGGTATTCAAGACATCCATTGCAGGAGTCCTTCTCGTAGCCCCGTCGTACCATGGTGCCCGCGTAGACGGCGGCAGATGTTGCACAGGCTTTTTGATGCGCAGGTCGGTCTGGTTGCGAATGATGCATATCCGGCCAACGCACAGATATCGAGGACGCCGATCTTGTTGGAGTCGACGTCTTTCCGTCCTGTGAGGTACGTGACAGTCGACTTGATATCTTCCACGCGCTGGGCACAATCCTCAAGGCCTCGAGGCAGGCCCTCGGACTCACCCTGGTATGCGGAATCGTAGGTAAGACAGGTAAATCCAGCGTCCGTCAATACCTGGACGTAGTTGGCAGGGGATTGCTCCTTGATAGAGGTCCATGGGTGGCAGATGATGACGGCTGCGCCGGCGCGGTTGTGCGAGAGGCAGACGACGCCTGTGGGGTGGAAACTATGAATCGATCCATGGACACCACCCTGTATACACATACAAAGTACTGCCAATGGACCTACATCACGAGTAGGGGTATCGTCCGATGACATTTTGAACTCCTACCCTTCCTTGTCGGACATCCTTTTGACTGTCCAACTGTATTGGACGACAAAGTACTATGAAGTGGACTGCTGGGAGCAAAATTTTCGAAGCCGACAGAAAATCTGTCCTCGAGAAAGGGTATTTGATGGCTCCACTTCCCCAGTTTGAATCTGTCTGTATTAATTTGCATAATTTGGGCCATATTTCCGTTAATTCTGTTACATCAAGCTTGATGACACCCGCGTGTGACTTGCATATGCCCTTGGGTGTCTGCCATGGTTCTCTACAGAGGATATGGCGTAGTGTCTTGTTAAATCCAAGCTTAACAGGTTTAAATGTGTAATGCATACCGGATATGGGTATTGATATGAGGGACATCTGGCCTTTCCTTATCTCGGAAGCCTATATCATCCTGTATTTAAATACGGTACATTAACAATCCTTCCTGGAAGTATGAATAGAATCATCCAATAGTGCCATCAGTATCCATCCATCGAACCATAGTCTCCATTGCCATTCACCTTCTAGAACACCAACACCGTCTGGTTCGGTACGCATTCGGTCCATCCCCAGTCCACAATCCACATCCAGCTAACCATCAACCCACCTACCAATCAGTGTAGGCAAAGCCCTAGCAAGCACAATCTACACAGCCGGCATCGCATCTTCACAACAGCCCGCAACGTGGACATGCCCTCCTACCTCTCCGACATACCGAACGTGCTCAAACTCAGTCTAGATGTCACCTCGAAGGAAGCCATCACCAGCTCCCTAGCGGCCGCGGTGGACAAATTCGCCCGCATCAATGTCGTCATCAATAATGCCGGATATGGCATCAAGGGCAATACCGAAGCCATCCCGAATCGGATGCTCGACTGCAGATAGAAATCCGGTTCTTGGGACATGTCTTCGTGACCAAAGAAGCTATTCAGATCATGAGAGAGATGAATCCCCCTGGACGGGGAGGTACTATTGTGCAGATCTATTCTATTGGGGTTGGGAAGGTGGGGGGGTTTGTTGACGTTCCCTGGGAGTGGTTACTATCATGCTCGGTAAGTTGACACGTGTATCTACCGCATCTCTATCAGTTAAATTTGATCTTATATATGTACGTCCCACGTATATTGAGTTAGCCCTGGTGGCTTCAACGAGTCCGTCGCCAAGGAGATGAACCCAGAATGGAATATCAAGTTCTTGGTCGTGGGACCGGGGGAATAGAACGAACTTCGCCTCCGACCTTCACTTCGCGGCTCGTCATCCGGCATACGATATTCCCGATGGTTCGCTGAATCAACTGATCCAGTATAATACCGGCCCGGCTCTCCAAGAGGCTTTCTCGGAGCCGGAGCTCTGTGCTCGCGTGCTCTCTGCTGATCAGCAGAGACGGCCCTTGCCTCGTCGGTTGTTGATAGGTGGGGAGACGATTCCTCGGATGCGAGATGATTTGGAGACGACGCTTAGGGAGGCGGATGAATGGAAAGAAAGATACTTCGGTGTTCGCCTAGGGTTGGTGCTCCGGGAATTCCTGGTGTTTTGGCTAGGAACTAGTGAAAATGTATATATTGTTTTCCGAGTGATATCAATATTGTAGACTTGTTCTGAATAGATTACAGAATGAACAGCATCAAAGACCAAATAGTGGGGTTTTCAGTGACATAGTACCAAGGTAGTTCAGCAATGTATGCTAAAATGATGACAAAGGCCTATTGTGTAGCTGGATGATGACTGTATTCATTGCACCCATTCCACCTGTCCACATTCATTCTGGGATCTTCACAACAGCCCGGCCTTCAATCTCAGAACGTCCTAGTCGTTGCAGTACTTCATCGATCTTATCAAAGTCGAAGCATTCGATATGAGCGTTCACGTCACCGGCTACTGCCATTTCCATCAGCTCATCCATTTCTTGAGCGGTGCCAGCAGAATTCCCGACGATCGTTAGGCCTATCAAATTTTCAAATGTCAGTCACCATCCACTCCCACAATAAAGTAAACCATTCCCTCACCCTTTACGATCATGTCAAACGGCGTAGCTGGCAGTCGAAATGGCGCACTCGGTATACCAACGCAGACGAGAACCCCCAGACTGCGAAGCAATCGAATACTCTGCGTGTAGGCCGGCTCACTGTTAGCGGTACAGATGACTGCGTGTGCACCAAAACTCGACGTCAGACCCTTGACTTCTTTCTCAATATCATCTACTTTGTAGTCCAGGAAGCTGGTTGCTCCCAAGGAGAGACACAGCTGCTTCTTTTTCTCTCCACTATGGCTGTCGTCAGTAACTCACAATTGCACTGCAGAATGCCGTACCTATCAATCGCAATAACTTTAAGTCCCTTTTTTACTGCGATTTGAATCCCCCTATAAGCATTTTAGTCCATGCACAGTTTGTAAGGGAGAATGAATATACATGTGTCCCAAACCGCCTCCAGCTCCAGGAAGTACAATCCAGTCGCCAGGGCGAGTTTTTGTCTTCATTATTGACGAATACATGGCGATTCCCGCTGGAGAGCCAAGTTCAGCTAAATGATCTGAATAGATTGTGAAATATACATATAACGTACCACATAGAAGCGGTGCAGCCACGTCCGGCGCCAGTTGCGATGGAATCTTCGTGACATGGGCAGCGGGACTAACAATGTATTCTACAAACGCGTTAGAGAGCAACAATCAGTTGAATCCGATGAGCATACATACGCTGAAACGTGCCAGGGACATTCTGTAATCCGTTAAACATGACCATCTTCCAAACAGAGGAAATATTGAAAACATACAGCCCCAGCATTCTTCTGGTACGGACATGCCGTATTATTGATAGCACAAATCTCACAGTTCAAGCAAGAGCTGTAGAGCCATCTATCGCGTAGCTCGTCATTCATACTATCCAACCTCAACCACTAACGAAATCAATCGGAGGACCACCAACCTGATACCAACTCGTTTACCCATCCAATCATGCTCAGTAACCCCCTCCCCCACTGGGACAATACTATCGCGTTAGACGGAATGAAATCTAGTCCTAATATCCAGGGTGACATCGCACCTTTGACCACCTTCCCCACCCCCTCATGCCCCGCCACGTCCGTCAACATGTGCGTCTCGCCACGGACGCTGTGCACATCTGAATGGCACACCCCTGAAAATTCCAGCTTGACTAAAAGCTCGCCTTCCGCCGGAGACGGTACGGGATGATCTGGTTTAATTTGAAGACATGCATCCGCCGATGCTCCGGCCGGGGGAAGTACGGCGGCGATCTGGACGGAGGGGATTACCATGGTGGGATTGAGTATGCGGGGTTACTTCGATTAGAGAAAATAATCGACTAGGCTGAGCAAGCGATGGGGTTGCAGATGGAGGAAATTATATACCTGAGAGTCTGAACCAAGGCGTGTTGGGATGGTTTAACCCTAGCCTCTTAAAGAAGATCGCCCAAATAATCATGCCAACTGATAGGTGGATTGCCAGGATAACAATGCAGTGACAATTTCCGAGACCCTATTAGTTGCTATCAGCAGATGGAGATACATGGTTTACTGGATCAAGCTTAGGCAGTGTGGATCATAATCGAATATTATATGGGAATGTATGTCCAGATATTGTGCTCTTCTTAACACGTCCCTCTAGCATAAGACAGCCGCCATCCAAAATGTTTGCAGGGCTTTTCTAGCATATTCGACTGTGACAGTCCAAGATTCACCGTTCAATCAATAAATTAGGATATTATGCTAATTCTTCAAAACTTCAAGTCAAAAAGGTATACGTATAAACGACATGAACTCTGTCTTCCAAAACAGAGCTGAAAAAAAGGTGGAGAAGTGGTCATTCTAGACCTGTCTGCCGAGTCTGTCATAAGAAGGGTGCAAAATATATGAAGTAAAATCTATAGCATCACACAATGATACCAGCGCTTATGCATTTTCCGATTGAAGTGTTTGCTGCGTGCAACACCGATCAGTGCCTGGACGAGCTGTCCAAGTCGGGAAAGGAGACTCACCACCAACCAATCCATGCCCTCATTGAGACCTTTCCCATCAATGGCAGAGCACGCCACGATACTCCAGTTCCTATCTCGTAGCTCACCCAACTTCAAAGCCTCTGAAATCTCCCCCGCACCCTTGGCACCAGGCTGGTCTTGCTTGTTGGCAAACACCAACAAGGCTGCATCACGAAGCTCTTCCTCATTGAGCATAGCTGCAAGCTCATCCGCGGCGGTGCCTAACCGTTCAATATCCGTAGAGTCGATGACGAAGACGACAGCAGCTGTATTGGCATAGTAGCATCGCCAATAGGGTCGAATGGACGTTTGGCCTCCGAGATCCTAAAATAGAAACAGCGGTCAGTCACGATCCTTCTCTTCTAACTCCAAACTAAGGCTTCCACGACGATGTACGTACCCAGACGTTGAAGTTCAAATTCCTATATGTCACCGACTCGACGTTAAAGCCAATTGTGGGTATCGTGGTGACTACTTCTCCGATCTATCGACAAAGCATCGAGTCAGCATATGATCTAAGCCGGTAGAGCGCACAGTCTGAGATAATCGACCCGACCGACACAACAAGAACATACCTTCAATCTGTACAGAAGTGTTGTTTTTCCAGCATTATCCTAAGACCGGGTCAGCGCCAAAAGGTGGCGGACACCTAATGCAAAACCATAATCACGTACAAGTCCAAGGATCAGTATCCGGATCTCCTTCTTGGACCAGAAGAAGGTCCAGAGGCGCGATAATGAGACACCCATGGTTGTGATCTGAGCAAACAGCGCAAGTGTTAACAGCTGGGAGAAAGAAGGAGATGACGGTGCAGCGGCCTCAGGCTAAGGCAGAGCGGTGAAGAGCAGCAGCCAAGGCAGGTGACCAAGGCAACTCAGCGGGACCTCACGAGAAGGACGACAGGTTCTCTGCGTATGGTTCCGTGAATGAAGGGCATCTTGAGCACCAGGACGACACGCGAGTGAGCACAAGCAGGGCAATTATAACAGCTGACTAAATCCCCTGGTGGCAACTATTGGCCCGCGCTGCCGATCAGTCTGGTCCAAGCTTGCCTTTGCCTGTCCGTGGAATTGGATGGGATGCAATCGTGGACGCTTCAGTTGGTTTGCGACTCCTTGTCCCGCTGGTAGTCAGTCTTGTGCCGGTCGCCTACCTCCCGCGCGCCTCCTCTTCCATCATTCCTTGTCGTCCGTGGAGGTTGATTTCTCAATTCATTCAACCTTAATTCTTCTAGCTTGATATCCTACCTGTCTTCGTGTGAGATAGACCACTACTTCTGGATCAGCCGCTACAACCGGAGGCAAACATTTTGATTCCTGGCTATCTCTTTTGCCCACTATGGTTGGCAAAAAGTCCGGAAAGGCTCTCCTTCGGGATGAAGGTGTGTGATTCCTTACCCAATGGATTAGTGTTGTTATGCCCTAAATCATGTTCACTTAGGCCTGGAGAGGACGGATAATAATATGGAATTGTCGAGCTGGCCGCAAATCCCTCCGATCAACCAGAAGAATTATTACACGTATGCCATGAACCCTGTTCTTCGATCTCATTATTAGCCTGCCAAGGGCAGTCGCATGCGTCTACGCTTCGAATGTGTTTGGCTAACGCAGTCATTTGCTTTGTAGGGATTACCTCAAGCGCGATGACCAATATCTGGCATTCAGGCTGCAGAATGAGGAAGCGCGGAATCTAATGACCAAAACCGCCAAAGACCGCGACCGTGCTCTGGCTATGGCAAAAGGAAACGACTTGGGTCTCCCCGAGCCGGAGGCGGATGTGGATGGCGATGCCAATATGGAAGATGCGGAGGAAACTACATCAGAAGCGGTTGGCTCAAAGGTTATTGTTATACATGTTGGTAGCCTGAACCTTCGAATTGGTCTGGCTAGTGATGCGTTACCGAAGACGGTACCGATGGTGATTGCGCGAAAGTCCAGCACCTGCGAAGCTGAAGACCAAAAGGAGCACCCCAGGAGGCTGAGACAGGACAATGGCATCGAGATGGAGCCAGAGAAAAAGTTTGGCTCTGAGGTTTGTCTCCTAGCATTGACACGCCCTATGCAGTTGTATTAGACCCCAGTTTCTGATGACACTCTTTGGTCGCAGTTCTCTTCTCAGTATACTTCTATGGCCGCAGACCTCAAGGCACATATGCGACAGAACAAACGTCGGACCCTTCCGAATTCGAAAGAAATGGTCATCAATTATAATCGGAGAAAGGTGCCGGAGACTATTTCGGAACACAACGACCCCATGCGTGTTGAATGGACGGATATCCCCGACCCGGCACCGGAGTATATAGCGGGCCCAGATGCCCTGAGGATACCAGATACCTCCAAGCCTCGGTATAAGCTGTACTGGCCAATGAGATATGGGTGGTGCAACGAAAGGGACTATGAGAACAAACGACTCATGTTCCTGGATCTTTCGCTGATCCTAGAAGAAGCAATCAAAGGCCAGCTAGGCCTTACAAGCAAAAAGGAATGGCCTCAGTACTCATGTGTATTCGTCATTCCTGATCTTTATGAGAAGTCTTATGTGTGTCAGATGCTGGAAATGCTCATGAGGGAGTTTACATTTGCTCGGTCCTGTTTCATACAAGAAAGTCTGGCCGCCACCTTTGGCGCTGGCTTCACATCGGCTTGTGTGGTCGATATTGGTGCCCAAAAGACATCGATATGCTGCGTGGAGGAAGGCATGTGCATTGAGAATTCTCGTGTGAACCTGAAATTTGGTGGGACCGACGTGACGGAGACGTTTGTCAAGATGATGCTCTACGATCATTTCCCGTATGACGGAATCAATCTGTGGCGCAGGTACGATTTCCAGCTGGCTGAGGAACTGAAAAAGAATGTCTGCACCATGAATGAGGCCAGCGTATCCGTCCAAGTGTTCGATTTTCATCTCCGCGTATCGGGGCAGGATACCAAGAAATATACATTCAAGGCATACGACGAGGTTCATCTGGCCCCCATGGGTTACTTCCAGCCGTCTATCTTCGATAATACTCTGAAGCTTGAGGGACGAAGGAAATTGATTTCCCGCTCAGTCGACATCTACGATGGGCAACCGAACGACCCGACGTCTGCAGCTCAGTCTGAGATCTTGACCGCTCTTGCTCCTCCATCAACCAGCCATGTCAACGGGGACAGCCTGCCTGCCACACTAGACGTTCAATCAACACCAAGCCGTTCCCAGCAAGTCAATGCCCTCAGTCGCGTGCAGGAGCTGGATGCCACGCCTCGATCCTCCGTTGCCGGCTCTCCTGCACCTGAGGCAGTCAGCACTCCTCAAGCTGGAGGTGCTGGCACCCCTGTTCCCGGTGGACAGGCCCAAAACGTATCGCACCCACGAGCACCGACGGTTGAAGAACGTGATGATATTCTCCCGGTTTTCCCGCTCGACAATGCGATTCTCACCTCCATTGCCCACGCGGCCCGCTCGGACGAACGTAAAATGCGGGACTTCCTTGGTGGGATTATGGTCGTGGGAGGAGGAAGCTTGATCAACGGCTTCCATTCATTTCTGGAAGAGCGACTCCAGGTCCTCCGACCAGGATTTGCCAAAGAGATAATGATTGGCACGCCGCCACGGGATCTTGACCCGCAGGTTGTTGTCTGGAAAGGGGCCAGCGTCTTTGGGAAACTGAGTGGAACGAATGACAGTTGGATTGGGCAATTAGAGTATGACCGGCTGGGGCATAGACTTATGGCTTACAAGTGCATGTGGGCTTACTGATCTAGTGCACTTCCGTTGATTTCTGTGCCTTGTTCCTTTATTCCTTGAACGATAATATCTTGATGTATGAGATGCCTTTGTGTACTGTATTCCTAGATGAATCATTAGTGTACTCCATATTTGGAAACTATTTCCATGAATGTGACTTGATCTAGTAGGCCTCTACTATACAGCAATAACTTTATTAGTGAATGCGAGGGCGTGATAACTTGTTCTTCACAGAGTAGTTTCATTAACTGTTCTGTGTTATTGAACTGTGTCGGAGAAATATTCTTCCCACACAGACCTCCCCTGACACCGCTAACTAAAAATTTCAGGCGGTCACATTGCGCAGAATGAGCCCTCCAACCCCAAGTTTGTTCTTCCCTCCGATTGTTCATGACGATACTGGCTTTCTGGGTCTCTCTAACACATCCACTATCCAAAGGACTCGCACCGGTCGACTCCAGGTGTGCGGGCTCGACCGGGTCTATTATTCCTGACTCTGAAATCCCCTGTATCTCTCTCCCCTGCCAAGGTGAGTTCCAAGGAAAACGTCGCTATGCGCTTGCGGGAGCTCTTGCTAACTAACTATTGGCCTACCTTGCCCGCAGTTTACACCCCACCTGCGACTGATTCCCCAAGTCAAGACCCAGTCAATAATAGTGAGGCCAATATGTCCAAGTCAAAGGATAGTGGCTCCTCCGGGGGCTTTCACCAGGAGTACATAGCGTCAACGCGCTATCGCAATGATCTGCCTCCTCCTGATATGCCCCCGAAGTTTTTGGAAATTCCACATGAAGGATTGGACCGTTTTCTCACGCCTGGATTTGCATCAAACCTGGCTCGTCGTGAAGAACCGAATATTGACGTCGATGCGGAGGGTGGTATGCCGATTGATCTCGTCGGTATTCCAGGGCTTCACTTGGGCGACGAGAGTGGTACGTAGCTCAACGCTGGCGAATTATGGAATTAGACGTGCGCTAATCTAACTGTATCATGCAGCTATCATGGCCCCTGAGAACCCTGATCCCATTGACCCTGCTGATCTCCCTCTCCTGATGACGCTAGAGCAGCTGAGGAATCCGGCGCCCAAAAACGCAAATGTTAGCTTTCTGCGCCGTACCCAATATATCTCGGCCGGTATTCGAGCCCCGGACGGCCCCAAGGTCACGCCTATCCGACCGAAATCGCGCGAAAATGAGAAGGCGAAAATGTCGCAAGACGATCCCGTCTATGTCAAGAAGTACATACAGAAAGGATTCGATATTGCATACCCAGAGAGCAAGCATTCCGGAGAAGATACGCCTATTAGAATCAAGGGTCATAATCCTACGAAACTCGAACATGACGCCTGGGCTCATCCCGTACATCCTGATAACCCCAAGTTGAAGCCTGTCGGCTTCTACCCTCTTCTTCCTGACCTTGCGGGGTTCCCAGACCCTGGAGGTTTTGTTCAATTCAAATTTGACAAGGCACCTGTCCACGAATTTTCTGGGAAGCGGGATAAACGCATGGATGCTGCTATTTTGCTGCCCTCGGCGCCAGAGGAGCGTGTATGTCAGGAGCACGCCACCAAAGTTGCCCTGCACAAGAGCAATCCCAATCTATATCCCGATCCTGGCCCTGTCCCTTGGGACTATGACCTCTTTCTTCCGGAGAAGAAGGAGGCGGCGAAAAATGTGCTTGCGACCCTACGTCTTTCCAACCCCGACCGTGACAATGAAGAGCTGTACACGCACGAGGGTGCCGACAATGCTAGATTCCACCGCTTTGATCGCGTGCGTACCTATGCGACCAGCGCGCAGACCCTCGGCAACGACCAGAAGCAAAGAGACGTCGCGCTGACCCTGTTTGACCCCTCGGACGCCGATGAGGAGCGGCAGGGCAAGCAGAAGGCGGCTTACTATTACCCGATCCTTGGAAAGACACGCCTGAAGCCAGAGCGAGCCCGGACTATTGCGCAAGCGGGCTTGGCGCCTACGAAGCCAAAGACGAAGGAGGATCAAGTTGATCAAATTCAAGTGGTTGTCCGCGATCCCGACGAAGCGGAGGTATACAAACGCTCTCTCTACCGAGCAGCCATCGATCCCAAATTTGCCAGGACCATGCCACCGCCCCCAGAAGAAGCCGTGGATGAGCCAGAGGAGAACGAGAACGCCGATGCTGAAGACCGGGAGGGAAGTGTGGATCGTCACTCTACGACCCAGGACGACGCACCTGGTGAGGTAGACAAGATGAGTGATGACGAGTAACTGCACTACAGAGACGCCTTTTACTCTCTTTCCACCTGTGCATTGACCTTGGGCCACGAACATAGCCAAATTCCTCTTCTCTCCGACCGGATTGGTGCGGTAATCTGCACACCTTCATATCCCTTTTATTTTACTATGTCATAGTGCCTGCAATTGGGCATGGCCAGTCCAGTTCAGGCCAAAGCTTCAGGCAACACAACGGGCGTTGAGTGGCATGAATGAAAATGGAGTTACATTTAGCGAGATCTTCTGGTTGGTTGGGTTATGGTTTTTCTTCGAGTTTTTGTATGCAACAGGCAATTAATTGGCAGTGTTGCGGTAGTCTAGATAGACGTGCTCATCCAGACACTTGTACAATGGGAATTGTAACAGATAGTAGGACCTGATATATCCATTTATCTGTACGGAGTAGATACACTGTTTCCGTTGCACAGAAGATGCAATGCTCCACCGCCTGCGGCCATTCTGCTCGCGAAACGGCCGACCGCCCGCCGCAAGCGTTGCAATAACAAATCGGTGGGAATGTGTGGAAGGAACTTGCACCGCGCTGAGTTGCTTCTCTGAGAGGACTGGATTGTTTGCTTACCTGGGGTGCATGTGGCGTGGCATCCTTCCTGGTTGGAAGTAATTGAACTGATTACCGACTGTGTTTACACTGGTAAGCTATGCTGGAGCTTTCATCCTCGGATCCTTCAGAGTCATCACCAGAGGCTAACCATCATTCTCTAGCACAATTGCTGCCTGGCTCGCTGGTCCATGGTCTCTTACTAAGTGTATTGAAGGAAAAAGGAACCTGATTATACTTGCGCGCATCCAGAATGGCTGCAAACACCGCTGCCCTGGCTTGGAGGGCTGCGGGCGCCAAAGTTCGTGCATTGCCGTCTCTCCGCGGTGCTCAGCCGTCATCAATCTTCTCTAAACGCCCCTTGGTTTGTCGGCAATGGGCTGTGAGATACGCTTCTGACACGGCAAACACTGCCGCCGCCTCCGAAGCTGCCACGGAGACCGTGAAGCAGGCGCCCAAGAAAGCTGGCCGCGGATCCCGAAGAATCGTGCTCGGCACGTCTTTAGCTCTTACGCTTCTCGTTGGCTACGTGTACGGCACCGATACGAGGGCCAGTATACATCGGTATGGCGTGGTCCCGTTGATCCGGCTCCTTTACCCGGATGCCGAGGATGCGCATCATATCGGGGTGGATATCTTAAAGACTCTGTACAAATATGGACTCCATCCTCGAGAGCGTGGGAACCCAGACGGGGACGGCGTCCTGGCGACGGAGGTAGTTTCATTTGTACCAATTCAGTGCAACGCAGCCAGTTAATTCTCCTCGCAGGTATTTGGATACACGATCTCCAACCCCATTGCCATCTCCGCCGGTCTCGACAAGCATGCTGAGATCCCGGACCCGCTGTTTGATTTGGGACCGGCCATTGTCGAAGTGGGCGCCACCACACCCTTGCCGCAGGAAGGCAACCCTCGGCCCCGTGTGTTCCGAGTTCCTTCGCAGAAAGCCATGATCAACCGATACGGGTTCAATTCGAAGGGGGCGGACCACATGGCCGCCATACTGGAACAGCGTGTGCGCGACTTTGCCTACGCGCATGGATTCGGAGTGCATGAGCAGGCGGTCGAACGGGTGCTGAACGGCGAGGCCAATGTTCCGCCGGGCAGCCTGAATGCCGGGAAATTGCTGGCGGTGCAGGTGGGCAAGAACAAGGCGACGCCGGATTCGGACATCGAAGCCATCAAGCAAGACTACGTGTACTGCGTGGACCGACTGGCCAAGTACGCGGACATCCTGGTGGTGAACGTGTCCAGTCCGAACACGCCGGGGCTGCGCGACCTGCAGGCCGTGGCGCCTCTAACAGCGATCCTGGAAGCGGTGGTGGGGGCGGCTAAGAGCGTGGACCGCACGTCCAAGCCGTTCGTTATGGTCAAGGTCAGCCCGGACGAGGACTCAGAGGAACAGATCACGGGCATTTGCGAGGCGGTTTGGAACTCCGGAGTCGACGGCGTGATCATGGGCAACACGACGAACCGACGTCCAGAGCCACTCACGCTACCGCCTACGGAGCAGGCGACATTGACAGAGACGGGTGGATATTCAGGCCCGCAGCTATTCGATCGGATGGTGGCCCTGGTGGCAAGATATCGGGGGGAGCTGGACGCGAGGGCGGAGGGGGAGCAGGAGAAGAAGCAGCGTAAGGTGATCTTCGCGTCTGGGGGAATCACCTCGGGGGCGCAGGCACAGGCGGCTCTCCAGGCGGGAGCATCAGTGGCGATGATGTATACGGGGGTGGTGTACGGGGGGGTTGGGACGGTGACGCGGGTGAAGCAAGAGATGAAGGAATGTAAATGATTAGTATATAGAGAGAAATATTATTATGTCCAGCAAAAAAGATGATGGCACCTGATGCTCCATATGCAGTCTAGATATATCTGACGTCCTCCATATCATATCTCCTATCAATCAATAATCGATAATCAATAATCACAATGATTCCTCAACCTCTCTAACAACCTTCCTCACCCCCTCAACCTCATGAGCAAACCTCCCTAGAAACATCCCATCAACAGCCTTGCCCAGACCGCCAGGACCCCACAATCCAGGCCCCGCGCTACCCCCATACAGGATCCGCACGTCACCGGGACGTTTCCGCTCCGCCACAACGGCCTGAATACCCTTCACCACGGCCGCGATATGCTCAACGCCAGCGGGGACAGCTTTGCCGATCGCCCAGACCGGCTCGTAAGCGAAGATAGCAGGTGCCTCAGGGGGAATAGCGTCCAGGATAGGACGAACCTGAACCGCGCATTCCTGCACCGCTAACGCCACAGCTTCGGAGGCCACGGCTCCCGGCGCAGTAACTTCTCCGATACAAACCAAGGGAACTATCCCCTGATCACAGACAGCTGCTGCCTTCCGTGCCGTTTGCACATCCGATTCGGCGAAGATGGCGCGTCGTTCGGCATGGCCCAGTTCCACGATGGAGACGCCCATACTCCGCAGTGAAAGGGGGGAGACTTCCCCCGTGTAGGCGCCTAGAGGTTCCCAGAAACAGTCCTGGGCGCCAAGGAGGAATGGTGCTGGTAGTGACTGTTGTTTGGTGGAGGTGGAGTCGAGAGTGGATTCATACTGCTGGATGATTTCATGACAGGGGTAGATGGTGAGGAAGTCGGGAATGAGCGCGAGGAGGAGTTTGCTCCGGTTTTGGGGTCGCACGATATCGTTTTCAGGGGATAAGAGGGCGCGGAGGTAGTCGAGGGTGCGGGGGGGGGTGAAGTACATCTTTAGGGAGATGATGAGGAGGGTTTTGGGGAGGATGGGGAATTCCATGGTGAATCTTAACAGTCCAATTCTGAATGAATGAAGTCCGTGAATCAATGGGAATGATATGATGGATAGATATGATTGTTGTGTACTGTATATACTGGTAGTACCGAGTATTGTCACGAAATTACATTCCACATTCAGACATCCGAGAGAGCAATTCTATCGCGGTGGACCGCAGGTAAGCGCGGTGGGCCTAGAACACTTGGTTTTTGTTTTCCAATCATACCTAAATTACTAACTCTACTAGACTTATTACACAACTAGATACGAGGATAATATAGGTATATAGTATCCTGAATATCTTCTAGGTTCTCTATCTACAATTCAAAGGAATAAGTAAAATGAGGTGTACTCCGCAGAGTGAAGAGGAAGAACCCACAACACGGGACAGTGGAGAGATCGGCCCACGCGAAGTACAGTATCCATAACGTCATGTCACTCATTGGTTGGGCAAGTGGATCAGGTCAGAAATCTGGAGATGGGCGCTAGTTGGACGACATCTCCTGGTTGACTTGATAAGATGAGACGAGATGAGAGGACGGGAAAATGAGAGAAACAAAAAGAAGAGAGAGTACTATCTAGATTGATCAAGCTATGAAGATTTGGCAACTCAAGCGAGCTCAGATCGAAAGTTGTTGTCCTGTCACGGATCCCAGTCATCCACCAATCAGTAGCGTCCATGGGTTGCATGTGGGTCCATGGTCCAACGCGGCTGTCCCAGAGGGGTTTAACGCCACTTGTCGAGTATACACCCGGAAGGCCTAATTAGGATATGCGAGATAACCCTTGGGCTAAAGTTCTGTGTAAAAGTTCTGGGTAACGAGGAGAATTGGATTAATAGTGGCAGAGAGATATATAATATTATAGAGATGATATGATATCATATGATACACTGTGATATAATAACCAGATATTCCGTAGGTAAGCCCATTAATGCGCATGTCTTTCCCTTCCTGTCATACCAATCCAAAAAAAGCCTCATGCAGAACGACGTCGGTGGATGCGGATGTGAAACGATCGGCATGGGAAGAAGACAACCGGTTACTAGGATGGATTGGCCACTGCAACAGCTCTTCCACAACGGAGTACCTCTATAGAGGTACGCGCTGAGGCATATCCGACGAATCATTTCCATAAACCGCAGTCTGTTCCTAAAAAATCCGAAATCTTACCAGAGACAGGCGTCTTGCAGAGCCATCAAACCACGTCGGTTATATCCTTCCCTGGTTTTATTGCCTCCAATGGACCAAATCCATGGCTATGACGCCATCCGTGGGGCATCCATCATCCTAGGATTCGGCCAGCTCGGACACCGGGTCGAGATGTCGTGCATTAATTCATCTCCCGTCTCCATCGTTGAACCTTGGGTCGCAGGAGGCACGGCACGACCTCCGCCAAATACGAATGGAGGGGTTCGTGGGAATAACATAAAAGGGTGCTCCTTCGCCTCTCTCGCTCCATTCAACTTCCTTCAGACATCTTCCAGATTACTTCATCTAATTCTACTACAACTACAGTCTTTCTTCTGAGCTACTTTCTCAACTACCTTCTCAACTACAATTCATCCAGCATGTCTGACAAACCCCTCCGCATCGTCTTCGCCTGCGACGAGGCCGGTCAGCCGTACAAGGAGACCCTGAAGGCCGCTCTGGAGAAGAACCCCCTCGTCGAATCCATCCAGGATGTCGGCGTCAACTCCACCTCCGACAAGACTGCCTACCCTCACCCCGCCGTTGCCGGCGCCAGACTCATCAAGGAAGGCAAGGCGGACCGTGGTCTCTTCATCTGTGGCACCGGTCTGGGGGTTGCCATTTCCGCCAACAAAGTTCCCGGCATCCGTGCTGTCACCGCGCACGACTCCTTCTCCGTCGAGCGCTCCATCTTGAGCAACGACGCCCAGGTCTTATGCTTCGGCCAGCGTGTCATCGGCATTGAGCTAGCCAAGAAACTCGCCAATGAATGGGTGACTTACCGCTTCGACCCCAAGAGCGCTTCCGCCGCCAAGGTGCAGGCCATCTCCGACTACGAGGCCCAGCTCCTCGGTGCTCAGTAAGCTCGTAAACGAGCGTTGGGTCTGGGAAGAATGCTCTCAGGACCTACCTGTCGCCCTTCCGATCAAACTTGGGAGTATCTAAGGAGCTTGCGGCGGAGGGTACAACAAACCTCTCGCCATGATCCATATCGGTACTATTTCCCGAGCGAAATGATCGCCTCGATACGAAAATCTACATATGAGTCAAATGATACCACGACGTGAACGGCATGAATTTTGGCGGGCCAATATCGTTCTTACGTTCTATCCTGCCACTCCTGGAGAATATGGTACTTACTAGATCGAATCCAAGACTTTTACCATAAATTCTACGGTCTTCCATCCCTTGCGTACCTTTCGTAACCTCTGTAGTGTGTAGATACTTTGCTGGGTGGCTGAGTCATCGGATATTCTGCGGGGATCGATCGCCTTCGATCCTGCTTCTCGTTTGCATCCTCCGTTAAAACATCTCACTAGGCCGTCATGCTCACGTCCGCCCCAAAACTGGGCGAGACTTTTGTCTGGCTCCTCCAGATCTCACGAGTGATAGATTGACCTTTATTGAAGCGCGTCGGTCGCTTCTTTTGACAGTTGGGGGGATCTAACTGACGGTTTCACGCCTAGATTTCATTCGCTTCCGTTGGGAAATCCCTTTTTTTTGGCACTCGACATCTCTACTGCCTCGTGGCAACCTATCTTCCACCCTTTTCTTTCATCTTCTGTTCCTAGGAACCGCCCGTTGCTCCGCAAGTCCAGTGGATCGCCTCAAGAAGGCCCCACCGTGTACCGAACGCTCTGTTGAATCTGCCTAGAGAGACCCAAAACGAAACAAAAAAAAAAAAAAGTTGAAAAAGAGCGGGAGTGAGAGAAATCCAGAAGATCGTGCCACGACATGTCCTTCGAGTTGAAAGAAAAGGGCAACCAGCTCTTTAAATCGGGTGATTTCAACGGGGCTGAAGATCTTTATTCCCAAGCGTGAGTGGGCTGACCTGTGTTTCTTGGGGGGTGTGCGCTAGTCAAGCCTCTACAGGCTAGGCTGACCCCTGTACTATAACTGCAGTCTTACAAAGTAGAGGGTTGAACTGATCTCTTTAGAATCCAGAAGAACGCGCACGAACCCACCTTCTTCACGAACCGAGCCCTGACGCGTATACGGTTGGAAAACTGGGCGGGCGTGGAACACGATGCGCGCACCGCCGTCGATCTGTACGGTGCAAAGAATCCCTCCAGCCTCAAGAGCTGCTGGTACCTGGCGCAAGCGCTGCTCGGGCTGCAGCGACCCCAGGAAGCATATGAGGTGGCGATCGATGCGTACCGAGCCAGCCTAGCGGCCAAGAATGCGCAGACGGAGAACCTGTCCAAGGCAGTGCTGCGCGCCAAGCAGCAGATCTGGGCGGCCAAGGAGACGGCGCGTCTCCGCGAGATGAACGAGACGCTGGCGCATGTCGAACAGCTGCTAGAGAGGGAATTGAACCAGGCACTGGAGGAGCTGCAGGGACAGCTGGATCGGGGGGAGATTGGCCATATTGGATTCGTGGAAGACCAGAAGGCGCTGCGGGAGGATGCGGCGAAGAACCTGGACACGGTACGCGAGACGTTCCGGATAGCCTCGAAGGGAGAGATTCAAGAGAGGGTAAGTCGTCCTAGCGATTCAAGCATGACTGGCGGGATGGAGCTGACCATTCAGGTCGTACCGGACTATTTGGTGGACGGTATCACGTTCGAGATCATGCACGATCCTATGATGACGCCGTCGGGGAGCAGCTTTGACCGAATTGGCATTGTCAAGTATGTAGAGCAGGCGGGCGTTGACCCGATCACGCGGGTGTCGATGACGGTGAACGAGCTGCGGCCGAACTACGCGTTAAAAGCGGCGTGCGAGGAGTTTCTAGACAAGAATGGATGGGCAGTGGATTGGTAGTTTTATACCCTAGCATTATTATTACGTAGATAAGCATATCCTTATTCCCTTGTAACTCAGAGCAGACTACGTAGCACATGTACATCCCTTAAGCCAGCAGCTGCCTAGACAGTAAGGCACAACAACCCCCCACCATACCCCACTTTTCCCACCACTTCATCAACAATCACCATCCTCACCACAACACCACAAAACACAGCAAAGAATAGTAAGAAAGAAAAAGAAAGAGAAAATGTCCCTCGACGCCTTCTATACCGCTCTCTCCGCCTCCCAATCCGGCGCCCAATACACCCCCGACGTGCAATCCGCCGCATCCGGCATCAACATCGATCTCCTCAAGGTCGCAGTGCAGGCGATCCTCGCGGGCGATGACTCGGCCAGCGTGGATGGCGACCAAGCCACTGCGTTGAAGGCCGGATTCGAGTTCGCTGCGAAGCTTGTGAAGATGTTGGAGAAGGAGCCTGGAACGAATGAGATGTTGAATGTACTCGCTCCATTTTTTCCCTGTGTTTTCTCTCTATCTTGCTTTTTTATTTTATTTTTTTGGCCATTATTTTGTGCTAGTGCTGATAAATTACAAATTATAGTTGTACAAATATTTCAAACAGGCGAAGGGTGAGAAACCTGCTGAACCGTCGTTTTATCAGATGGAGGTACGTTATATCTCTCTTTCTTCCTGGATCTTTCTAGAGGTCTAGTTTGCTAATATATATAATATAGGCCAAGTACAAGTACAACGCATGGAAGGAAGTTAGCCACATCAGTGCCCACAGAGCTCAGGCTCTGTATATCCAGGAGGTGGGGACGTTGATCGAGAAGTATGGGACTCGCTCGGCCTGATACTGGAGGAAGACAATAATTAGGCAGACAAGGGATATCATACTAGCATACGCATGAGCGAATCATCATTACGTGGTTATGATATGATATGATTTACTATTTTATCGTAGTATCACAGGACAGCTACATCCACGTCTGTCCTAACCAGTCTCGCTCCCTATATTCCGTCGTGGCACACCAGGGTTCCTCGTCTCTTTCGTAGGATGTCAGCGGTAGATCGTAGGGTATACGGAGTCCGACCACCACAGAGTCAGAGGTAATTCGATCTGGTAGATCTTGCTGGAAGGTAGGGATCATCGCCGACGATCGTCTCTCTGCATTATTAGCATTATTGTCAATAAATAACTGCGACCACACCACCACCCCAATCTCCCAACTACAGATGCGCACCTCGTCGTGTGCGTTGACGGTCGCTCCCCATGCCTGCGTCGAGAGATTCGCCGAGGTCAGCATCGCCCAGTCGATCTTGGTCATTTCGTCATCCGTGAACCGGATATACGTTTTAATATGCGGTGCGGCACGACGACGTCCTGCGTCTCTTTTTTTCTTCAATTTCATCTCCGTGTCAGATGTAGATGTAGATGAATCTCCGGCCCAGTGCCGCAGGTACGGCCGCAGATACTGTAGCTGTTTCTGCTGCGCGGCAGTCTGGATCTTCATGTGGATGGATCCGCCGGATGCGTACCCGTTCAGTGATCGGCGGATTTCATCGGCGGTGGGGAAGATAATGGAATAGTTGGGTTTTTGGTGGTCTTTTCCTCGTTCCCCTGTTGGACAGAGGGCGTGGAAGAATACTTCTTTTAGCCATTTATCTGTCTGACCGAGGGAAGCAACGGAGGACATCTAGACAGATTAATACATACTTAACATACTTGCTTCGAAAAAAGAAAGAAAGAAAGAAAACCAACCTGACAAACAATATGCGGAGTCTTCATCTCCCCACCCTCCGTAGGGACATTCCGAATCACATCCTCCAAGGCCGGCCATCCCCACAGGGTCTTCTTCCGGGAGTCAAGGGACGTCATTTTCTGTTTGGACGGTACACTGGCGACCAGGGCGGCGCGCACCGCACGAAAATCGTACTGGCGCAGCTGACTCACAAGGGATCCGGTCTTCCTGGGTCCATACTCACTCAGATACGCCAGGAGATCCCGCTTAAAGCGCGAGCCGTTACCCAGGACCGTCGTCGTCAACGGGGAGGAGTCCTCACTTTGTTTCTGCAATGGCAGGAGAGGAGACCGCCACACGGCCTGGCACATGTTCGTCCAGTCACCGGGGATCATATTGGCGGTGTGGATGATGATCCTGATCAGAGTCAGTCAATTATCTCTCGTTCCCGGAGAATCATTACAAGTGTTAGCAGGATGAGAAATGGATATAGCATACTGGGCAAAATCATCATGTCGAAGTAAAATCATCATTTTGGAATGATGCGTCCCAAACGCCTCGGGCATGTAGGCCACAATCGGCTCGACATTAGGATACCGAGAACATGCTTCCTGGACGTAGACCATCAGTAGATAATCCCCGTCAGAGAAAGGAGAGGTCCATATATACATCGATGGCCACGCGATTGGGCGCCTCCTTCTTCCACGACCCGTGCACTACCTTTACCTGCACCAACCCCCGAACATCCTCGTCAAACTGCTGCATCAAAAAGTCTACATCAATCAGGTAATTGAACTGCCAGCACTCCCGAATCATCGGATCCCCCAGAAGATCGCGCAACCGGACCGTGTCCCCATTGTGGGCGGACGACGCTAGGTCGCGAATGTGCGTCAATTGGAAGGGGGAACGGACGATTCGCGGAGAAGAGGACAAGGACAGAGGGGGACTGATGGACCGGTGCAGAGATGCCAACGCCGGCTTGGCAGGGGATAATTTGATTCTCTTCACTTGCGGGTTTGCATCTTCGTCCGCCATCGTTGAAGTGGGAAGAAAGACGACGAAAAAGGGAAAAGATGCCAATCTCACGGCCCGCTTGCCCCGAAGTCCCGCACCCGCCTACGAAGTATAAAGCACAGCGGATGGATTATTTATTTATACATAGCTACACAGCAACGAAGTTGACAAGGATAAAAATACTACCACATAAACCGCTGGACCTTGCCCGGTTCCTGGGGCCACTCAAACCCTTGGTAAAGGAACATATATCCCATCACGCCATTGATGAGCAGGAACCAGATCGTTTCCAAGAACAAGGGGAAATTCGTGGCAATCTCCTCAGAAAGCACCTCCTTCGCATCACGCGGGCGCTTCTGACGGTATTTCAGCAGCTTCACCTGTGGCGGCACATGCAACCGCCACATCACCCAGGGAATAATCAGGTATCGCGGCTCGACCAAAGGCGCCGTGACGAGAGATAGGGCCGTGGCTGCAAGCCAAACGAGAACGAAGCTCACCCGCGGCGCGTTCTGCTGTTGCTTTTGTCGTCGGAGAATATGTTCTTGGATCTTAGCGTACGCCTCGGGACTGATCGGCTGCGGCTGGGGCTTCGAGGACACAGGGGCCGTCTTCTTGGTAGTCTTCAATTTGCGGTCCGGCTTCTGCTTCGGCCCTGTTTCCTTGGGTACTTTCTTCGTCGGGGATTGAGGAGCAGATGGCGGGACCGAAATCAGCTGGGGAGCGGATGGGATAATCGAGAATCCAAATGCGGAAATGGCAGCCCAGCCGCAAATAAAGTAGACGACAGTGGCCGCATATCTGACGGCAGGGTGAGTCCGCAAGAGAAGACGAAAAACATAGAAAACATAATGGCGGTTGTCAGCTAGTGTGAACGGATGGACGATCGTGTTGAAGTGTACGACTGCCAGCATCACCGGGATGACCACGAGCGCCGTCCAGAACTTAGGGAGCTTCCTTTGCTTTTCCGAGAAGCCATAGTCCAGAACCTTGGGCAACCACGACTTGGGGAGCACTATGTTGAGGATCGGCGTCACAAGGATGGGCCACGAGAAGAACAGGATGTATGGCCAGATATAGAGCATCTGCGCCAAGTGTAATTCTGCAGAGTGGAACTCTTTATGTCCTGCACGGCCATTAGCCCACCATACATTCATTCAAAGCCGCAAGATGCCGTGGGCCTACCCAAGACAACCCCATTATTCCACACCACAAATCCACCGAAGGCTGCAAGTATGACAAGATACGGGATCACCGCCAGAAAAACCGCGCCCAAATTGCCCAGAGCCGCACTGGCGAGGAAAAAGGAGGTTCGGAAATAGTCTTTGTATTTTCAGTTAGCTATAGCCGGCGCATTACGTCTAAGGAGCTTACCCGTAAAAGAAGCCTCCGACACTAAGGGATCATACAGTTCTTTCTTCGATCCTTTCCCGGCATTACTAACGGACCTGTTCAATGCCCGGACCACCTGCAGTCCGCCCAGGAATACCGACACCCAGAAAATGTTGGTTTGTCTGAAAGTCAACGCCACTAACCCTAGCACGAGAAACACGATATGCCGACTTAGAATAGTTGTAATCGTCGACGAGCGCTTCAAGTCCCAGTTGTAGACTTCAATTACCGCCAGGAGAGCAAGAACGTCAGTATAATACAGACCGCAGAAGAAGAACAACGGCGGGAAGAGACAGATGTTCAAAACGGTATGGCTCAGCCATGCGCCCGCGGGTCGTGTATTACGTTGCTTCCGCAGAGTATCCAGCAGCGTTTGCAGTCTCAAAGGTAAGACGACAGCACCGGCCACCACATTGGTCGACCGCAGAGCTTCAGGGTCGAGCTCCATGGGGGAGCCTCGGAGGGCCAGAATCCCAGCGCAGAGAACATAAGACCACAGATACAAGCCAGGAGGAGTCGTGATCTTGGGATCCCAGTGCGTCCACCTGTGACGCCAATACGCCTGAGCCTGGGGAACATGGAAAACCTCGTCTAAGTAAGGTTCTGGAACAACCGCATTGATTCGGGACATCCAGATGGGAATCAGCACCAGAATAAAAGGAACAGCGTAGCGGGCTGCACGAGCCAGGTCCGACTCAGGTTTGGCCGAATTCATGGTATCAACTGGCAGCCCATTGACCAGGAAGCTATGAAGCTGCACAGGCAAAGCCGAGGAGGAGAAAAGGAGAGAAAGGAAAACAACGAGAGAAAAGAACGACCGACGATGCTCGCCTTCCCTAAGCGGAAGACACTGCAAACAGGGCAAACACCTGCTCCGTCCCAATGCGGCATTCCTCTTTATATGGATTCTTTTCTCGTCTTTGTCGCGCTTTCTTCTTCCTGCCAGCCATTCCTCGCTGGAATTCGCTGCATTCGAACCCCAGAAGTCCTCCTGAAGCCCGGCCCAGCCGCACTGACGGTCAATGGCCTTTCCCCTCCCGCGGGGCATCACGCCCCCGGAGATCTCGTTTCTTGCCGAGATGGAGCTGGTCACCATTCTTCCGCGACAACGCTTGGAAGGCCTGGACCTGTTAGGTGTGAGTTCCTCATTCTTCGTTCCCTATATATTGACAACCGTAATCTAATTCCATTCACAGGGCCCTGTCGATCCTCTCCTCCCTCCCCGCCGTGCCTCCCTTCCCCTCTGGCTCGCCCTACTACTTAAACGCCAACGACGCGCAAATATTCTCCCTCCTCCCTGGCTCCATCCCGAGTCTCTATCGCTCATTCTCGACATCGAGACTCAACATCAGGACTATCAACATGCGTTTTCCCCTCCGCCGCCGCTCCCCGGCCAGCCAGGTCTCGGCGACCGCGCCCAGCAAAGGCCCATAGCAACCCCTCAATATACCCCCGACGGACACCGGTATTACCCATCGTCGCCATTTCTGCCTCAGAATGTAGCACAGGATCATGTCTCGGCTGGAGTGCCGCCGTCATTGCCGTTTCACTGGCTGGAGATGGGAACGATGCTCCTCGACGCGGCGAGCGACGATCTAGTGGAGCCGGACCAAATTCGGCGGTTCCTGAAGGAATTACGGGAAGTGCGTACGGCGAAGATCAGATCCGGCGTGGATGTATTGGACGCTGCTGCAACGGGGGGAGGCGGGGTGACCCTGACGGGCGTTGGGGCGATGGAGCTCAGCGAGGGGCGAGGGTTCATTGCCGGTGTCGTAGATGGACTAAGGTATGTGTGCTGCTTGAGTGTGCCTGCCCGGGGGAAGCGGGACCTTATTCCTTTGCTAATCTCGTTTCCTGATCTAACAGACGGATCGGTGCGTCAAAAGAACAAGCACGACGAGAGCAGATGGCGGAAGATATGGCAAACGGCGGATATGACGCGACACAAGACGACGACATGGAATTTTGATGCACGGTCCGGAGTTCATGGTGTATAAAGAAACGGCATCATTTGGGGTCCGTCTTATTTGTATATATATACCCTTCAGTTCCGTATTATAATTGCAGATATTCAATTTCAACCCTACAACACCATACACATGCGACGCTGAAAGACACCCATAAACCAATACAATAGACAGAAAACCGCGTAACAATTTCAGAACAACAGGATTTCCTAGCGAGTGCCTGCATTCAATTCTACAGCCCCAACGCAGCAGATCGGGTGAGCTTCATTGAAGAGGGGGAAAGAGGGATGTCTTCCGACTAAAAAAAAAAAAAATTAAAAAATAGACCCCAGATACAGACCAAAACCTATAGCGTCATTCTGCAGGAGACAACCCCATCGTATCCGCAGGAGAGTCTTATTGTGTGGAGACTTGATCCTTCTGCATCATTCTCTTCCGTGCTGCCAGAATCATATCGTCTCTGCGCTTCTGTAGTAGACGTTGACGCTCCTCCTTATTCTGCGACCATCCACCGGACACAGTCTGGGCGTCTCTGGGGCCAACGGAGTCCATCTTGCTCTGGAGATTATACCGCGAGATCAAATCCTGGCCATCCTTTTTCGCCGTCGCTGTCGACGTGGATGTCGTCTGAGTGGCTGGTGTACCGGCGTGGGGGATTGCGATCTGGGGCTGGAAAGAAGGTGGTGGCTACATAACCATTAGTTAGTCCAGTACTTGTAGGAGTAGTATCGCCACAGACACCGCCGAAGAGGAATTGTCGCCCCCGGAAGAAAACCGGTAGAGAGGGAAAGATGCCAGTCAAATGATCGATCTGTCTATACGTACCGTTTCCAATCCCCGTCCAGTCAAGACTCTCTCCGTGGTCGCCGCAACGTTACCTCCATTGCGTTGCAAATCCCACATGATGTCGCGTGTATTCAATTGAGGGAACATCTGGGATACTTGCTCCACCTGGGCTGGGTCGACTGCGCCACGAGTACGGCTACGGCCAGTTCCTGCGTCGGAGTCGCCATCCCGATTGAGGAACCATCGAATGACGAAGAAAGAGACGACGGCGAGAGTAAGGAGGGAGGGGATGTTAATAGACGGTTCGTCGTCGGGCATTATGTCGGGTGACTGCAGTAAGGGGGGATGGTCGGTCGAGATTCAAGGATATTAATTAAATATTCGCTTCAGAAAAGAAAGAAAGAAACGAAAAGGAAAAAAAAGTCAGCGTAATCGAGATCCTGAACCACTGACTGATGTGAGTCCAGACGTTTAGTGCACGATCGGCGCCGAGATGCCGCGGCGAACAGCAATGTGGCGGTGTATTCCAGTGGCCAATATCGAGTACTTAGAACGGAAATAAATGTCACGCAGAGAACGCCAATACGCAATCGAGGGGAAAGAGATGACAGATAAAATATCCAGGAATTGTGGACAGGTCACTAGGGGAGGGGAAAGAAGGAGGCGAAGTCAAGTAAGTCGACGGTAGTCGGATTACCGGCCGAGTAGGTCATGTATCGGTCTCTCGGGTATTCATTCTCTCCTGTTCTCAACACTCATTTCCGATTCTACCGAACAGCCATCATTGCAATGTCTAGGGACGTGTTCTTGATGCGCATACCGTAAGAACACCATCGCCAAAAACAAAAAGAAAAAGAGAAATCATCCAGAAATCAATATACATGATCCAAGAAAACCCCCCCCCCACAAAAAAAAAAACGTCGTCATTGTCCCAGAATGCCCTACCCAGAAACAAGTGCTATCAGAGAATCATGATTGAGCAAAACGCATGAAAATATAGGCAAAAAGAAAAGACAAAGAGCAGGTATTGGAACCCCCTATGGTTACTTCATGTCCGCGGGCGTCAGAGCTTGAACAATACTGGTGCCCTCGCTGAATCTCGTGCGGAAGATCCGGTTGGCGTTCTGGAACATGCCATCCTTCAAGGAGACAACGATGAACTGGGAGCCCTTGAACCGGGTCTTGATCAACCGGCCAATGTTCTGCGTATGCGACAAATCCAGAGCCGCGTCCACTTCATCTAGAATGTACATCGGCGCCGGCTTGAATTGCAGTAGCGCCATGATGAGCGAAAGAGCGATGAGAGATCTATTAGAACAGTAGTAGTTAGTCTGAAGTCCTCAACAACACGACTGCGGGTTCATCGTACCGTTGTCCACCACTCAGCTCGGCCAGACTCTGTTTCCAGACCTTGCCCAGAGACACCTTGACTTCCAGACCATCGGTGATGTCCTTGCCCTCGGGGGGATCCAGTTTGGCGAAACTACCCGGCAGAAGTTCAGCGAAGATCTGCCCGAAGTCCGCATTGACTTTGGTCCAGGTCTTGTGGAGCGCCTCCTTCTTGTACTCGTTGAGGTTGGCGATGGTCTCTTCGATCTTGCGCTTATCCCGGATCACCGTCCTCATCATGTTCATCAAAGCAGCCTCTTTCTTCTCCACGCTGTCGATCATGTTCATAACCTTGGGGTTGATCTTCTTCTTCATCCCCTGGAATCGTTCCGTGAGGTTGCGCAGTGTGGATTTGCATTCGGCAATGTTCTGGTTCTTGAAGTCGTACGCAGTGTTGGGTCGTCCGAAATTATCCTTTTCGTCGGAGATCCACTCGTGCTCTTCCTCCATATGAGCGACGGCTTGGGCCGCGGCCTGCTGGTCTTTCTGGAGCTTCTCCAGCTGATGACCAAGCTTCTGCATTTCGAGTCCTTCTTCCGTAATCTGCGAATTCTTCGCCTGCATTGTCTTATCCAGGTCCCGTAGCTCATCGTCGAAGCCAGTGAGTTTGGCCCTTTCGTCATCTAGCTGTGCTTGGGCCATATCATGGGCGTCCTATAAAAAGTATTAGCAGCGTCGTCAAGTAGTCATGGATCCAGTTTATTTTCTCCGACCTTGATGCGGGTTTGTTCCTTCTTCAGCGATTCAATCTCTTCCATCTGTGCCCGCAGAGCATTTTCCGCTTCAGCACTTTGCTCCTCTGCGGCAGAAAGATCGCTGCCAGCCTGCTCAGACTCCAGTCGAGAATTTTGAAGCTCTTTCTGCAGAGTCTTGACTGAATTCGAATTCTTCAAAAGGCTCTTCTTAAGGGAATCCAGGGAAGCTTGAAGTTCCGCCAACTTACTATCTTTATTATTGTCGAACTCGCTCATATCCTTCTCAATGCGTTTGATATCCTTGGATGCCTCACTCTGACGAGTCTTCGCGTCAAAAATGTCATTCTTCAGCTGTGCAATGTTCGCCTTCATCTCCTCGACAGCTTGGATAATCTAATACAATTAGCCCCGAAAGATATGCCAAGATCCCAAGAGGCACTTACCGACGAAGAAGAGTTGCTGCTTATTTGCTCCTCAGTAAGCTTGATCTCGTGCGTCTTGAGGTCCAATTCCTGCTTGATCGAGCGGACCGTATCGAGCTTCTTCTTCTCCTTTCTCATAGTTTCTTCAAGCGTAGCTAACAGACGTTCTTTGTTCCTGATTTCCCTGGTGATCTCGTTAAGCTTCTGTAGGGTAACAAGCATTCCACTCGAATTCGGTGAGCTACCACCGGACAGAGTGCCAGAAGGGTCATAGACATCGCCATCGAGGGTCACACTCTTAATCCGAACAGATGGGTCGAAAGTCACCCTCTTTGCCGTATCTGCGTCGTTACAGACCAAGGTATTGCCAAACACGTAGTTCATTGCCGCCGTGACCTCGTCATCGTAGCCTATAAGAGACAAGGCCAGGTCCACCTTCCCAGGTGCAAGATTCTGCGCTGCGCCAATTTTCTCAACAGATGCTTTGAAGCACGAAATCTTGTTCAAAGGAATGATTGTCACACGCTTGCGCAATTTTCCCTTCTGCAGTAGCTGCGTGCCCGTCTCTGCAGTGTCAACAACCACATTATACAAGCGACCGCCAGCGCAGATCTCCAGCGCAGTTGCAGCTTGAAGCTTTTCTTTGCTCAAGGTGAACAACTGAGCCACTAAGCCCTTGACCTTAGAACGGTCGAAGTTCGGGTGGGGGTTGGTATATTGAAAGTCGATATTCGCGACCTTCCTCTGAAGAGCATCGGCGCTTTGTCGCAGGTCGCGAATGTCTTTCTGTAGGTTGTTCTGTTCCTGGTAGAGTTGTTCCTCTCGTCCTGGTTCATAACCAAGTCGCGCAAGCTCCGCATCCAGCTTCTTAGCCTGGGACTTAAGGCCCTCCAGCTCCTTAAGAAAACCCGAATTTTGCTCCTTGGCTTTCTTCGCTCTAGGCTCCTCTTCCTTGATCCGCTTTTCCAGATGCGTGATCTTGAGTTTCGATTGTTCTTGTTCCGTGGCTGCGGCACTGGCACGATTACGGGCGTCTTGTAGCTGCCCTTGATACCCACTCTCCTGGCCTTCTTTTGAGGCCACACCAGTCTGCAAAGTCTGCAGCAACTCCTCCTTCTGGTCCACTTCGGCAGTTTGGGCGTCTAATTCTGCCTTTGCAGTATCGTATTGTGCCTGTAGCTTATCGTAGACCTTTTTCTTGTCTTTGAGGAGTTTCTGCAGGTCATTAACAGTTTTTTGGGCATCCTTATGCTTCTCTTTTTCCTCAGCTATACTAGCATTCTTCAGATCGAACACGGTGGTCAATCGGACGAGCTCATGGGAATGGGATTTAACTTCATCCTCAAGAGCCTGGAATTTACCCCCTTTCCGCAGCTCCTTATCACGGGCAGCTCTAACTCGCTTCACATCTTCTTCCAGATGGGCTATCTCGCTCTTAAGCCTGGCCGCATTATCTTCAAGCGTTTGAACCTTGCTTCTCTTTTTCTCGCACTCCTCACCGGCAAGACGCAGCCGCTCACCACCCCGGAGATAGTCGTGAGCAACAACCAGGCGAGTCAAACGCTCCAGGTCGTTCTGGGTTTGCTGGAAGTCAAGGAAAGCTCGTTTTTCGGATCTCAATTTCTCGAGCTTAGGCTCAATTTCTTCCTGGAGAAGACCCTCGATTTCACGTAACTTCAATTCTTTTTTGCCCATTGTCTTGCCGGCTTTCTCTCTCCTATCCTCGAACATCCGCGTACCTGCGGCTTCCTCAATCATCGACAGAATTTCAACTGCTTTCATATTCAGGACCTTGGTAATCCGTCCCTGCATAATCAAGAAATTTGGGTTATTTATGTTGAGCTGAACACTCTGGAACAGGTTTTGCACTGTCTGCTGCTGCGCGCGATGGCCGTTGATCAGGTATTTACTCGTGCCACCAAGGACAATCTGTCTGGTCACCGAGATATTCGCATATTCTTCGAAGCCGATGGGCGATTTGGCGGTGTCCCGGTTATCGAAGACGATCGTCACACTGGCTTTGGTCACACCGGCCTGACCTCGCTTGTAGATGAGATCTTGTAGGTTCTGCGCGCGGACGGTGCTCATGTTCGTAATTCCGAGAACGAAACAAATAGCATCGAGAATATTGGATTTACCACTGCCGTTAAGGCCAGTGATCGAGTTGAATGATTCATCCCTAATAGAACAGTAGTTAGTACTCTGTTGCGACCGACGGAACTAGCGGATCAAAATTCCATCGACTGTGATATGAAATCCGCTCGTAAAGACGAAAGTGATTAAGTAGCGCAGCGCATACCATCCTGAAATCACCGTACGTACGGCATACGATTTGAAACCCTGTTACACCCAGCATCAGCATTCAACTCTGATTCCACTCTCCCTGAACGATGCGGAGCCGAGCAACATACGTCTATAACAATCTCCGTGATCCTCATGGTTGCGACTCCGGACCTGCCCCATCAACTGAAACGGAAGCGCATGGGAAGGCGTGCGGAAAATCAAAGGGCATGCAGTCACACAACTTGGGGATTATTGTTTTGGCGGGTGCCGTGTTTTTGCGGGTGGAATTAAAGAGGTGTTTATGGTTTGCTCCTTTCGGGTTAGTGCCACTGACAGATGATGTAAGCGTGAGGGGTGACCACGTGATGTTATTGACAGATAAAGAAGCAGATATCGTATTTTAATTGTTGCTTTGAGAAGACTAGAGATATAGAGACTACGAGAGGAAAGCAGAGTTGTTCATTTATTTTACAAGTCCGAAACTAACGCAGCCTTACTGAGCCCTGTACTAAAGCGTCTTGATGGCTTTCTTCAGCACGATTAAAGTCTCTTATTCCTCCATGGACATACTATTATACAGTGTAGTCCAACAAGTAAATAGCAGCCTCTGCTAGGACTCCAAAGGAGTTAAAGGCTTGCGAGCCGTGGTAACAATTGTCTCCAGTTCCAGAGTGACCGACCCATCTGCACCATATTCCTCTTCCACGTACCGCTTCACCGCCAGTAGAACGTCTTTCTCGTACGCATCTCGCTGTCCCTGGGTCCAGATTTTACCCAAAACCGGAAAAGTAACAGGCTGGATGAACTTCAGAAAAGTAGGTACTGGCATTGAAATGTGCTTGATGACTACAGTGGTTTGCACGTCCTCGAATCCTTCCTTTTCGTACCTGGAGCGTACAAATGACTCGGAATCCCAGCCTGCATTGAACATCGAGAAGAATTCCTTCGCCGTGGGAAATGGAAGGTTTCCTGGGAGGGTTTCAATGGCGGATTTCACAATTCCAATCCAGTTGTCTGTCAGATGAACTTGTTAGTGTCAATCTATATATAATGGCTTGTCCACGACTAGGAGCCAACCTACTATTTTGCCAGGTAGAGCTTGCAGCCAAACCACCCGGTTGAAGGACCCGGAAGCATTCTGTCATCAATAAGCTTCTTATTCAGTTCAAATAACTGATTAATTCATGCAAAGGACTCACCTTTCAAAGCAGCGTCCGGGTCAGGAAATGATTGGAACGCTGCAAGACATCAAACATTAGACCTCACCTACATCCCATCATATCTTAACCAATCACCCACCAAAAGCCACAAAGATATGGGTATAGTATCCAGTAGATATGCCAGTGTCCTGCGCATTTATAACCTTGGCCTCTGCATTCGGCCATTCTTCATTCTGGATCCTCTTCTTCGTGAACTCGACCATAACATTGCTGAAGTCACCACAGGTAAGTTGCCAGTCTTTCTGGACCTGGCTATCCACCATGTCATGAAGCGCTTTTGAAACAATGCCTGTTCCACAGGCATTATCGAAGACAGCCAGCGGCTTCTGAATGAACTTGGCTACACCTGAGATGTCAACCAATGCCTCTGCAAATGGACCGGTGACTGTCTCGGCTATGTTGCTATACAGGGCAGCAAAGTCCTGTTTGGCGAACATCTGCATGAAATTTTGCTTTATAGACATCTTGACTGTTTGATTGCGGTGGTGGTAGTCGTCGATATGTAATGTCTGGATGAATGGGACGAGTGAAATGGGCAGTGTCAAAACAAATATTCCAAAATGCAGATTCAAGGATAAACTGCAATTCACAATATGATATGATCAAGATTGAGTAATCAGATGATTTCCTCAACATAGAAAGACGTATTTATACCTTTCCTTAGCAAAGGCTGACGCATTCTTGGCTTGGTCTCACTATTCAGAAAGTGTCCGAACATCTCTCCGAAGTACCTCTGGGACAGAGGAATCGCAGTATTACCATTAGATGTCAACTATATCTCAATTAATACCCCCATGTAAGCTAACACTGTGAGCATTTTCTCATTGGAGAGCTTCCTGTTCGTACGTTGGGAGAATCACTCCCCATGTCAGATGTCTATATCGCATTCATCTCCCGTTATATGAATGGTCCCCAACAGCGTGCTGGAATACACCAGTTAGCCACTTTCGCTACGGCTGTTATTTAATAACTAGTAATCGTAAGCAACGGAATCACCTTGGCGCATTTGGCATTCCTTGTAGGGAGGTAGGTAAACGTTACGCCTAACACATCAGTCTGATGTGAGGTCTCCAGCATTGATATTATGTCACCATGTTTATCCGCGAGGTAGAGTGATAAAACCAGGGAATCATCTGTTTCAAATAATATCCTATTTTCCCATAGAGATCACTCAAGTAGAGAAACACCCTGTTGCCCGGCAGCAGGAAACCACTGAACAACCATACGGAAACTGGTTGAGAACCCAACGCCGGTGCTGATCCTGTTACTGTGTTTCCTCTCAAACATTCATGACCCCTGAGGCGGAAATCCTGCACGCGCCAGATTCCGCTGCGGATCCATCCTGTTGTCCAAGTCTTCGTACCGTAAAATGAACTCGCGCTAGAGAACGAGGATGTTAGTGTGTTCACACTATCCCAGTCGAAATCGTTACATACCCTTATCTTCTTCCAGCTGGCAGGATCCCAGAGGAGATAGACTCCCCGTTCGCTAACACCTCGCTCGACGTCAACAGGGCCAGGATACGTCTCGTCGCGAGTGAGCCAGCATCTCTCAATCTTGTGGTATCTCCATTTGCGACCCATCAACTCTTCCGCTACCACTTCTTGCATCACATCACGCGGCATACTGTAGAAGATGTAAAATAGTGTCTCGTCGCTGAAGCTAGGGATTCGGGACTGAAGGGGTTGGATATTGGCAACGTTATAACAGGACGGCAGGGCAAAATCTTGCTCCAGAGGCACGCCCGTCATTGAGGCGACAAACGGTGAGGCGAAGGATGTATGTAAAGGTCTAGTACAATCAGGTCAACACTATCCTATCTAATCCGATATGGGCCGAAAACCTACTCCGGTTGATTCAAGTCCAAGCCCAGTGTCATCAGATCTTGCCCAACTGCAAGGCTCGCTACATCGGGACTATCACTGTGGATCATCCGAAGGAGGCCTGCGAGTCCGAATTTATCAAGTTCGCTCATCTCAGATAAGGGCTGTTGTTCAGTATTTTGCGCCCCCTCGGCCGACTCCTGATTTTGCGCAGGGAACTGTAGCGACTGTTGTTCTGCGAGAGCACGCTGATTCGCTATCAGGGCACTACTTGATTCCTGTAACTAATTCCTTAGCAGAAGAATATAAACCCCATCGTATGAAAGCTCGCACCTCTTTTTCCTGCCCAGGGACTCCATTAGCTGGGTTGACGGGCGACCGTGATGTCCCGATTCCTGAGAAATGATCAATGCACAACTCCGCAGACTTGTCACTCTGATAGGTTCTTACCTCCCGCACCCGGTGTCGCAGGCGACATCATTCGTTCCGGCCCGTTTATCGAAGATGAAATCAAGTTGCGATTCTGCGTCGACTGAGCCTGGTTTGCGCCAGCAAAAGGCATGCCCGACGAATAGCTGCCGAACCCTGCACTCTGCATCAGGGAGCCACGTCGATCTTGGCCCAATTCAGCAGGAACATTCCGTCCAAGCGGTGGAAACTCCTCAATGTTGCCTGTTTGTGGTTGAGTCCCTGCCCCTAGCTGACCGCTTATGCCTTGCCCGCCATTCCGAAAATCATCTAATCGATTCGCAAATTGAGCACCGGAAGGGAAAATGTCATCATGCGAAGGTTGTGATTGTTGCTGGGGGACATGGGATTGCGTTTGCGGTGCTCGTGATGGTGCTTGAGAGGTAGGATGCTGTTGTCTCTGGACAGGAGTCTGCTGCATAGCGCGTTGACTAGCATTGGCCCATACTAATTGCCCAGGGTTTGAGGCTTGCGATTGTGGAGGTGCCCCGGATAGTGAAGGGAAGTCACTAACAGAAAAGCGATCATTAGTATTGGTTTCGCAGTAAAAGTCCAGCATGGGGTGAAGGGCTCAAGGGGCAAAGAAAAGGTCAAACTTGGTACTCACGATAGGTCAAGAGAAGTAGCAGGCTGCGAGCCACTAAGGCTCTGGGCAAATGTTCCCATATTTCCCATGGTGCGCTGTTGGTTTCCTTGAATTCCTGGTGTTCCACTCACGGGCAAGCCGAAGTTCCAATTTGCGCCCGCCCCTGCTTAATCCTTGTTAGCTTCCTCCAGCCACGATAACATTCAATTGTCAAATTTAAGTCAATCACACCCAGTTTTCCATTTGGCAACCTCGCCGACGCCAATGTCACATTTCGAGCCTGAACTTGTTGCTGCGCGGGGAATCCGGACATGCCCCGGAGAGGTTGTGGGCCCGGGCCTGGTAGATCAAATTACATGTCAGCGAAATGATGCATGTCTAGCGATCGTATAAAATTATTCGGCGACCTCTTCATCGGGGCTTGACCGATTTCTCAGCACGGTGTTGCGAAGCATCTCGGTCGCAGGCAGAAGGGCTGTCGGTAAATGCTTGCTACTAGATCAGGAAATAAATAATCGAAATGCAGCTTTTTCCTGCTTCCATAGAGCTTGCAAATATACCAACAACCGTCAAAAGACCACACGCGCGGAAAGAGCACCGGCCAGCAGGGCTACCGGGCTATAGCAAGCCCGAGCCACGAACAGAACAAAGGAAAGAGAATAACAGACCTGGCCTATTCATGATGGAGTTCAAGCCTTCAAAAGCTATTCTTGAAGGAATAAAGGTCCAATTATAGCACGAACAATAGTATGCACCCAGTGCACAAGAAGTCAAGAGCGAGGACTGATACTCAAACTGTGCCCACTCTCGTGCGACGGATACTGAAAGTGGAGTGGCTGCAAACGCGCGCTTACTGATATGTGCACGGACCATAATAGCCGAATGTAGTTAACTTGCAGCTTCATGGTTATAGGAATACAAGGTCTTGCTAGTTTTATTATTTTCAGCCTATTTAATTATTTCTAATTAGTGTTGAGCCTCACTGGAGTAAATAACAACCAGTAGAGGGGGATTGACAAGAAACTATAGCAGACAATCTGGAGGTTTGCACACTCTATCAGCTTTTATTTGTTCTGTGTTTAGAATAAGGAAATAAATCACATAATAATCAAGCAGAACAATTAAGCATTCATATTTATCCATAGTTTGGCCTCCTATTAATTCCTCACTACGTGAATGCTTGATTGGACCACCTCAGCGCTATGAAACGAGGATGTTTATCACGTGACTTAACCGCCGAAAAGTCCACTCCGCCAGCTTTTACTCCCGCACCTCAAGGCGGCCGGCCATCTGTTCAGTCTCGTCATCGAAGACTTTCCCTGCCTAGTCCGTTCGTGATGCATCGTCAATCCGTTGTGCGGATCGCCCGCCAGTCTGGGGGCATTTCGCTCGTCGACTTGCCTCCTCCCTACCTTGCGCCATCCCTCCATTTCTCCCTGGCTCGGTCCCCAGTCCAGTGTTCGACCTTCTCGTCGACCGCCGTTGCTGCTGGCCGTGGACGTGATCTGAACAAAACTCGTGGTGTCTCGGCCATCCACCGCACTGGTCCAAGGTTCAAGTTGGGTGTGTCGAAATACCCGTTGCCCAAACCAATTTCGCCAGAGGCTCTGGACAAGCGTCATCCGACCCCAGACCATGGACTTTGGGGATTTTTCCCTAAGGACCATCAGGCATTGAGCACGCCAGAGTATGATAATGCGCATGGTTAGTCTGCCTATTCTCTGTATACCTTGATTTCAGGATCTATAGCCAGAACGAGTCGGTGCTAATCATAGTTCAGGCCGTTCGTGGTCTATTCAGGAGCTTCGCGAGAAGTCTTGGGAGGATTTGCATGCTCTTTGGTGGGTATGTGTCAAAGAACGCAACCGTATAGCGACTTCCAACTTGGAAAGACAGCGATTGAAGGCAGGATACGGCGAATGGGAGGCCAGTGATCGGGATCGAGCGGTGAGTTCTTGTTTTATCTCTCATTCTTCTTTGTTATGTCTTCCACCACCTAGTTATCTGGTCAGGGAATCTCTTTCTTAGCATTGATTGTTGGTTTGCAACCTGTCTCTGGCTTAATATGTGACGACACCGGAGCATGATTACTGACGAAATATCACAAATAGATTCGCGTCACACAGAAGAGCATCAAGCACGTTCTTCGGGAGCGGTGGTACGCATGGGAAGAGGCCCAACGACTGTACGAACAGGGACATCGACCTCAGGAAGACTTGGATTAGGCCTCCCGAAGTACTGGATGGGAACGTCTATCATACTATATGACTAGTCTTTTGCAATAGCATTGGCCTCTGTATGTAAGACTACTTATTTATTATCTGCATTCACTGCGATTTGATCCGATGTGGTTTAATTATTATCGATGGACTTGCGGGAGCTATGTACTTCGTACTGTGGACTTTGTTTGCTCCTAGCTGTAAAATTAGACCGAGTCAATAGCGTTGGTGACGCGACAGGGGGCGGAGACTAGACGAACTAGAGGAACTATAGGAGACGGCCGACATAGTCATCGCATTGACATAGTTAACGGGTCGAGAGTGAGCCAGACCACAAAAAGGGGCAGCGGAAAGGAGCAAATACTAAAAAAGCTCACTTCCATAGTCTTTTCAGTGGATCTCTTCTTTCTTCAATAATCCGCAGGGGACAGCTGCAAGCGGACTAGGCCTAAGGCAGCTAGAGCAAAGGACGACTCCTAACTCTCGCCGCTCCAACTCACCGCAACCATTCTCCAGCCTCGTTTGTCTCCGCATCCTCCCACCTTCTACTTGCATTTTTTTTTGTACTTTTTTCTTTTCTTTTTTATTTGCTACTGTGATTGATTCTGTTACGCTGTCTAACTCATATTTACTTTCCAGCAGCCAACATGGATGAGATTGCTCCCGAATATGATGTTGTCGTGCTCGGCACTGGTATGATCTGCTGCTACCCCGCCACTCAACACTAACTGGACTAACAAATCTTCCCCTTTCCCCTCCTTCTTCTCAGGCCTGACGGAGTGTGTACTTTCTGGGTATGGTGCTCTCTCACTTCTAGCTACATCCCAGTGGCTGATAATCCGTTGCATATAGTGTTCTCAGTGTCAAGGGAAACAAGGTCCTGCACATCGATCGCAATGATCACTACGGAGGGTAAGTGAGCAGGCTGCTCGTTTCCTCTTATCAGTCAATACTGACAGGTAGAATAGAGAGGCTGCTTCGGTGAACATTGAAACTGTAAGTGCGGTGTTCTTGGGCCTGACCTATGACGTCGTCTGTTGCTAATGACTGGTTTTGCTCTTGACAGCTCTTCAAGAAGTATGGCAACGTCCGCCCCGGTGAAGAGCCCTGGAAGAAGTACGGGCGCGTCAATGACTGGAACATCGATCTGGTCCCCAAGTTGCTGATGGCGAACGGCGAGTTGACCAACATCTTGGTCTCCACCGACGTGACTAGATACCTGGAGTTCAAGCAGATTGCGGGTAGCTATGTCCAACAAGGAAATGGACCCAAGGCGACCGTGGCAAAGGTGCCTTCGGATTCCGCCGAGGCTCTGCGATCGTCTCTCATGGGCTTGTTCGAGAAGCGGAGGGCGAAGAAGTTTTTGGAATGGGTGGGTGACTTCAAAGAGAACGACCCTTCTACTCACCAAGGTTCGTTGGCTCAAACCAACGCCTCCCCCTTCCCAAGTGCTTTTTTGCATTGTCATGATTAATGACCCAACTCAGGCTTGAACATATCCCAGTGCACCATGAAGAGTGTCTATGACAAATTCGGACTGGAGCCAAACACCTGCGACTTCATTGGTCATTCCATGGCCCTATACCAGTCAGATGAGTACAGTGAAAGACCAGGAATGGCCCCCGAGACCATCAACCGTATCCGCCTCTACGTGAACTCCATGGCCCGGTACGGCAAGTCGCCGTACATCTACCCTCTCTATGGTCTGGGTGAGCTTCCCCAGGGCTTTGCTCGTCTCTCTGCCATCTACGGGGGCACCTATATGCTCAACACCAGCGTCGACGAGGTACTCTATGATGAGAGCGGCAAAGTGTCGGGCATCAAGGCAACTATGAAGGATCGGGACGACAGCGGTGAAACAATGAATTTCACAACCAAGACCAAGAAAATTCTCGCCGACCCATCCTATTTCCCCGGCAAGGCTAGGGTCACTGGGTACTTATTAAAGGCCATTTGCATTCTGAAGCACCCTATCGATAAGACTGATGGCAGCGACTCGCTGCAGCTGATCCTTCCCCAGTCGCAGGTGGGCAGAAAGCATGGTGGGTTACCAGCCTTTGTGAGGAGGTTAATAACTAACATAATTGGTTAGATATCTACATTGCCATGGTCTCTTCCGCACACAACGTCTGCCCCAAGGGCTACTACATCGCCATCGTCTCGACCATTGCCGAGACAGATGCCAATCACCACCTGGAACTCGAACCCGGCTTCGAACGTCTGGGCGCCATTGAAGAGAAGTTCTTCGGACCCCCCATCCCCCTCTACGAGCCCCTGGAAACCGGCGAGAAGGACAACGTTTTTATTTCCAAGAGCTATGATGCCACCTCTCACTTTGAGACCACAACCGGTAAAGCTTCTTCCACATTTTAGCCTCCCTCCCCCCGCGGGAGGTTGGGCCGAGAAATTCAGGAACAGACTGATGCTGACCCATGATTAGACGATGTGCGAGACATTTACCGACGGGCGACGGGCGAGGAGCTGGTCGTTGAGGGCCTTCGTGAGGACCAGAAACTTGCGCAAGAATAGATGCACTTCGACTCTGGCTTTTGAGGGCCGTATATTAATATATCGTCGCTTTGGATGCTTTGAACCATAATACTTTTGTTGAGGTTTCTTTTTTTATTTTATATCCATTGCTCCGTCAATCATACCGACTATTCCCAGATTTTGAAAGAAACCAGCACACTCGCTCTGTCCTTAGTGTTTTGACCCTTTAAGTAGAAACCCGGTCTGTGTTGAGACTGCGCTGTCCTGCTGGTGTCCGGTGCCTTTATCCACTGTCAATAAAGTTTGATTTTGTCTAGTATCTTCTGGGAGTCAAAGACCAGCCCTCATGCCTATATACAAAATCTCATCTAACTCACAGGACTCTAAAAGAGGACGACATCGAACCTAAACAACCCATGAGCATCCACAAGACAGCCTGACCACATGGATATAACACAACAAGATCGCAGCTACAACTTCCGCCCGGTCGAGGGATCCGTGTTCACCTTCTCATGCTCCCCAACAATGCACAAATCCCCATTATCCACGCGGGAAATCTCCGCCTTCAAGAACGCCAACCGACGGCCAACCTGGACAACTTCGCACACCAAGCGAGCCTCGGTGTCCAGGGGCACGGGACGCAGATACGTCACCCTCAGATTGCGACTGACACCTCCTATGGAGAAATAGCCCGGTTTGGAGACGCCCATGAGGATAGTGGTCGAGAGGTTATCAATCAGGGTCGCAGCACAACCGCCATGTAGACTTCCGAATAAATTACACATCCCAGGGGATACCTTGAAAAGGAATGATACTCGAGCGGGGGGTCCCCTAGTGGCGGATTCGAAGCGGAGATTGCATGCGCGAGTATCAATGTCCCATTTCTGAGGAGCGGTTAGTCGGTCCATCCATCACCATCCAGCCTTTTCCATGGTGTATTGGAAGGAGAGACATACAACATCTTTATCGTACGTTCCGTTCGAGTACTCGTATACTAGCTCTTCGAATTGTTCTAGTTTCCTGGACGGGGCGCGAATGCGAGGGGTCATGGTCGGTTCGATACTGCGGTGTGTATGAATTAGGTGAGGTAGGAATAAATGTGCAGTAGAGTCATCAGAGAAACGGAAGTTGGGGAAAGGACAGAGAACTCCGTATTGAGATGTTGATTAATATGTCTATAGCCGAGGTTCGCGGCTGTCTATAGAGTTTGTTCTTGCTGGTGATATTGGAGTCAGCCACGCTTGAGTACTCGTCATCTCACTCACAGTAAAATTGCAGCTTGGGTTTCTTTAGGAGCTCTGTAACTACTTCTCGATCGTTTTATCGCTAGAGAGCGTGTAGTTACATAGAAGGATTATATATCAACGCTTCCGTTGTACAAACCACATCCACCCCTCCTTGTCACACCTCCTACCCCTGTCAAATATTAATTAGCCTACACTCCATAGACAAAAACACGATAGACCTTCAAATCCATTCCGATGGCGAACAATGTGGATAATAGGTCACAGTCACCTGACTTCGCGTTACGTGTTCTGCCTCAGGCGACAAGATCCGTTCTGGACTCTCCTAACGCACTAGGAACTTTCAACAAACGGTCGATATTGCTGCTCGATACTTCCGCAATGGCCAACTGATATTAGATGCATGCGATACCATCCCAGGTCCCATTAGACTTCTGATTTATAGATCGTCTTTCGAGATTTCTCGCCAGTTGCCGTCGCCGAAAAGATTTCCTTTCCACAGTTATTCCTGACTAGACCCTACAGGACGCTTCATACTGGAAGGTTGGGGCTATCAGTACTACCGAAAAACCTGAATAGTCTGTCACCGATTATTCTAATAGCAGATGCGTGGGGAACAGTGAACTGTGGACCGAAACTCGACAGCCTTGATTTGACCTTTATATGATATCGATCTTCTGAGTTGAATGGCTGTGACAACCACGTTAAGTGAATATATATACGAAATATAACAGGATGAAGGGGCCACGAGCATCAAAGAGGCGGAGGGTGTCTGATGTTCAGGTTATCGATGAGGATGGAGATATTGCTATGCACAACAATAACGAAGACGTGTTCTCCGGTCCACCTTCTCCGACACCGCAAAAACGAGCTGTCGGCAAAGCCTCACTGGTAGACAAGAAGACAGAATCTCCTAGTGCGTCAAGGTCGGCGCCGCGCCAACTGTCAAAGGGTGATCAGACGACAGTGCCAGAGACTGCAACGAACGGACAGGAGAAAGAGAATAATAGCACTGAGACATCTTCACAGGCTGGACTACGGTCGAGTGGACGACAGCGGAAACCTCCTCAGAGACTCGAAGATGAAGTCATCAATACACCGTCTGCGAGGAAATCAATTACAGCTCCGGAGCGAAGGGGTCACGCCTCGAGAAATGTACGGAGGTCGAGACACGTATCGGAGATGGAGGAGAGTGGGGATGAATCGCCGCAATCACAGTCTGGAAGAGTAACAAGGACAAGGTCGAAGAGGACTTCTGTAAGATTTGACGCTACGAATACAGATAGCGGTCGCTATGCGGTGGATGGAAATGATTTCCGGCACTCTCCTTCTCCGGATGATTACCAGGATGAGTTGGATGACCTTCTGTCAATGCAATTGCAACAAGACCTTACTAAGAAAGAAGGAGTTGGCCAAGATGAAGTCGCGCCTACGGATGTTTCAATTCCTGCGTATGCTGAAAGGTTCCAGGCTCTTTCCCAGACAGGTTTGACGGAAGAACTGCGGACGATGGCTGAGTTGATATTGGAAAAGCTGAACGGCAAACGACTCATTCCACTAAAGGGGCTGGAAAACGAATACAACAAGGTTCTTCAGCTTCTTGAGCAGACGGTCGAGGTGGGAGAAGGTAATTCCATGTTGCTTTTGGGATCTCGAGGGTCAGGAAAGACCGCCATAGTGGAGACTATCATCTCCTCGCTGAGAAAACAACACAAGAACGACTTCCATGTCGTCCGGCTCAATGGTTTCTTGCATACTGATGATCGACTGGCGCTCCGCGAGATATGGCGTCAACTTGGGCGGGAGATGAACACAGAAGACGAAGCTGGGAAAGTGGGCAGCTACGCTGATACTATGGCGACTCTTCTTGCTCTTCTGTCACATCCGGAAGAACTGTTTGGCTCTCCAGATAGTCCAGATACTGTGACGGCGGCAAAATCCATAATCATCATCCTGGATGAGTTCGACCTGTTTGCCACTCACCCGCGCCAGACCCTGTTGTACAATCTCTTTGATATTGCGCAAGCGCGGAAAGCACCGGTGGCGGTGCTAGGACTGACGACCAAGGTGGATGTCACTGAGATGCTAGAAAAGCGAGTCAAGAGTCGATTCAGTCATCGATACGTCTTTGTTCCGCTCCCGAGAACGTTTGACGTATTCTCCGAGATCTGCCTCGCTGGCTTGGACCTGGACAAGGAGGACGTGCGGGAGATGATGGAGGCGGACGATGCGAAAAAGCACTCTGTTGTGAAGTCTGAAGGATGGGATAAGCTACTGGAGGGGTGGAAAGCCTATCTACAGGTAAGCTTTCTCTCTCTCTCTCTTGGACAAAGTTGTAACTAGAGTTAGGGTTTGTGGAGCGACGAAGCGTTCCGAGCTCATCTACAACGAATCTATTACCAATCCAAGTCCGTCAGGGAGTTCCTGACCAGCGCGTTGATCGGAATGACAGAGCTATATTATAGCACTTATCCCTCCGCAGACGAGGACGGTCTTTCCTTTCAGATTCCTACCCCGACAACATTCAGCAGCCAGAGCTTGTCTTGTCCGGATCCTGCACCTCTACCGTTCTCAGTATCTACGACCGTCAGTTCATCCTCGTTACCACTATCGTTACTGCTAGCCGCCACGCGCCTGGCGGCGCTGTTCGATCCGGGACTGGAGGCATCGCAAAGCACGGGGCCACTGGCGCTGTCATTCCCCGCGGCCTACGCTGAATATGTACGGCTACTGACATCAGCCAAAACGTCAGCATCCGTGTCCGGGGCGGTGGCCACTCCCGGACGAGTCTGGGGTCAGGAGGTGGCACGCGAAGCGTGGGAGAAGCTAGTGAGCTGGGGGTTGATTGGTGCAGTAGGCGGGGGAAGTGGGACAGCAAATGGACGGATGTTCCGGGTTGAAATCAGCTTTGAGGAAGTGGTTGCGATGGCGGGATCGGGGGGTTCATTAGGAAAGTGGTGGCGGGACGGGTGAACCTTGATGCACGTATCTAGTCTGGTCTCTCAGGCATGGATATCTACAAGCGTGCAAGTTCATTATTATAATTAGCACAGAAAATCGTGAACGATGACCTCGCGATTGGAATTCTCCCCACAGGGAGATCAGCTACCTCGTTGGAAGTAGTACTCATTCCTCCAATGAAAGCTGATGCGTGGCAATGGACTGGACGGTCGTGTCTAGAATCCATCCTTCTACCTAGTTAATTATGCATAGTATGCTCCGTCAGCAAGACGATCCTGCGTAAATAGAGGGATAGATCAGCATGTAACCAGTGACGATCCTCACGTTGGAATTTAAACCCCTCCTTTCCTCCCCTCATTCCCCCCACACCTTTGGCGTGCATCCTCGATGACCCTACATTGCAGGGACTGTCTAGGTAGGTAGAGGCCAATTCTCGAGGTGCATGAGGGAGTGACGGGGAGTGAATCCTTGGACCGATCTGCGGTATGCTAGCAGCAGTACATACATAAATATATACATACTCGGTAGGTCGTGGTGAAGGGTACTCTGTACATCACAGGCTCAGAAAAGAAAGATACGAAATGAGATGCTCGTCAAGACTGGGATAAGCCGAGAGAAACGAGCAAGGGTGTCTGAGGGGGCTATCTTTCTTCTTTTCTCTGTATTCTCAAGGAAGAAAGAAAAAGTAAGAGTGAATGCAAGGGATGCAATGCGAAGAGAGGAAAGGAGGGGGTGAGGAATTACCGTCGTCCATGAGGTGGAGGTCGTGTGACTTGACGATGTAAAGATCAATTGTATATACATAGCTATCAATCACTATTAATTAATCTATGTTATAGAATAAATGTCCATAGCAGTCTATGAATTAACTTAACACTCTGTAGGGGTAGAAATAATAATTGTGATGTAATGATAGTTAGCGCCAGCCTTCTACAGCAGACAGCTGGGAAGTATACCACTAGCACCGAGGGATTTCACTCCTTAGAGTTATATAGCACAAAATAGTCACCCAGTCTTTATTTTATTGTTTTCAATTACATTAACGTTTATTAATTACACAGTATGTATGGATAGGTTGATGGATTGTGTAAAAAAAAACCATTTTTATATAAAGCCAACATTGGGGGTCGAACCCAAAACCTCTTCATTAGAAGTGAAGCGCGCTACCATTGCGCCATGCCGGCTGCACTTGCGGAAACGCCACTTTTTTTTTGTAATAAAAATATATTTTTTCATGCACGAGGACTGACCGCAAAAATTCCGTATGATACCCTCTGTATACTAGAGTCGCTATTTCTTGCCCAGTAGTTAAAGGTCACTCTACTCTGTTAATGTCGCGGTGCCTGCCTGCCCAAACCAGCCGTATATGACAACGAGAAAAGGATTAAATATCTATCTGCCCCCGAGGGTAAGATAGCCTTCGCGGCTATGATGACGAGAACTTTGTTATCCACGATAGGAATCAGATGACTGGGGCTGGGTGGATATAGCCTTTCAGACTCCCTTGGCTTGACCATCTCCTGCAAGATTTTCTAGCGAGTGGTCCCACAGCAAGCTCTGCCGTTCTTGACATTTTATCTTACCGCAGAGTCTAGAGGACCACGGCTGCTCAAACTGCGAGATAACATCTTGTACGTGGTAGAGATGGACCCAACTAGGAATACTCCGGTATCTTGTCATATTTGGTTTTTCTATAAGGAAGGACGGCCAAGGTGCTTTGGATGAGGCATGGAAGGACGAGCGAAACTGAGAACTGTGGCGCGAGTCAATATAAAATAGCATGGCTTATTGATTCTGCGAACAAAATGGCAGTGCTACAGGACCGAAGGTTAGGAGATTCTGTTCAACCTTCGTTTGCGTTCACCATAATATAAGAGAAACAGGGTGGCCAATGATCCGAGTCCGCGAGAAAGGCCAGACTGTGGAATTGTTACTATACTCATAGAGCACCCAAAGCCGTGAACCAGAGTATACAGTAACAATGCTCTAATTCTTGCCACAGAGATATCGAAACAGCGGATGCCTTCGAGGGACAGTCAAGGATCTCGAGAGCAGAGATATATGCTGGGAAGACTGCTGAGCTTCATGCAAGGATTGAGATCATACTAAAGCTAGAAAGCCAGTTCTTTTGAGGAGTCCTCTGCAGTGTATGCTGTCAATGTTCTTAGAGAATATCCAGGCTGAATAGCTGCTTGGCGCCGATTTTACTCCTGAGGGATTCTATAGAAAGATGCCATTTGAAACGGTGGTATATTGAAAATAATCTGATCGGCTTCGCCAGTCGAAGGGTAAGTAAGAGACCTTTCAGGATTCAGAATGGCAAAATAATGGCCTGATCAACAATCCCAAACGCGTGCATAACAATTGTACTGTCGAAGCCTGGGCGAGGGTGCAGGCTTAATGGTCCAGATCTAGAAGTATAGAGATAAGCAGGCGATACGGAAGAACTATTTTAAGGTTGATTTCTTGTTCATCTCATCAAAGGCATGGAGAATCCTTTCTATTACGTGGTATATAGAGAGCTATATACTTTATGCCTAATTAATATAATACAGTTGAACGTTGTCGCCCCTAGTTAATTCCCGAATAGTCTATTCTTATCCAAACTAACTGCCCCTTCGACCAGGACATTGCAATCAATTATATCTAGTAATTTGACTTTGACCACTGCTGCATTAGCGAGGGCGCTCATATGTGCTGGATGATTACAGTCAGACCACGGTTTTGGTCGAAACACCACGGACGACGTGTAATGTCTGTCGTCACCCAAGATCGCTACAAGCAAGGATTACTGTGAGGATTACTACACCTTCAGATGGCCTGCCATAGCGCTCTGGCCCGAATTGCTTACAGCTTGGGGTGACATTCCTGCCTCTCCGGGCCAATGTATATTGGGAACCTGGCCAATTGGAATGGGAAGAGTCTGCACACTACTGCATGAAATATTCTCTAGCGTCTGTAAAGTACGTAGCTACAAGGAGAATGCTGACTGCTGACTGCTGACTGCTGCCTGCAGGGTTGTGATTGTCAGCCCATCTATCTGTCTATCTATAGTTGATTTTGTTATCTTCATGGCATCATAACAAACTGTGGCTTCCGTAAGGAATAGAGAATGTAAAAGCCCGATACAAAGCAACAATCAAGTCAACTCGAGCATCCCTGTCATCTGCTAACCCAAGCAAGAGTGATGTGCCAGGTGGCATTGTCCTCTTCCAGCCTCGCTCTTTGAGGCCTGAGCAGGTCCTCGTGGGAGCAAGGATCTTCGTCTACTCCGTACCAAACAGCAAGACTTCAAATGACAAGGGACGTGGTTATCATCCACTGGCATCACGTTTACTTCGTCTCTGCCACAGAGGACAGACAGACAGACAGACAGACAGACAGACAGACAGACAAGACTTGTGCATTCCGCCGCCATGCGGTATAGGTCTACTCGACCTTCCCCATCCCCTAGCAAACAATCAACAGACACAATCACAGGTGTTTGTGGGTTGAGCACGGGCAGCAGGAATTTCACCCCGCACGTAACCTTGGTCCATCTGTCAACCACATGGATTTCTGCATTTGGGAGCGATGGGCATGTCGGGCCGGTTCTCCATCCTATAGTCTATATCTTTCTCCGGTCGATGATTAGAGACAGCATTCGGTGGGATGTCACACCGGACAATGCATCCTTGCAAGCAAGGCATAAGTCAAGATAGGATAGTCATCCTGAAGGGGGAAAATACAAAGCACAACACTCCAACCTCACAACTACCTTAGTGCGACTATCAAGGTTCACTTTACCGCCTTCCCGGAAGATCTTCCACGTGTCCCAGTCTTTTTTTTTTTTTTTTTTTTGTGTCGACTTTTGACGCGTGGTTCGGAAACTTTCCTAAATGAAGGCCATGGATCTGCAAAGAAAATTATCGTTTGATGTATCCATGGATGGACATGATAAATACTAGATGGTATTTCTCGGAGCTCGGTATCCGATCGTCCCGATCTCGCAATCTCAAAAATTAGTCAACAGATTCAAAATCATCAACATGGAGCATTTCAAGTGACACGTAAATCCCTTGCATCATGGTCTTGAACTGGATATGAACCCACTATTCCGATCCTCTGGATCTAATAAATCCCTTACAGCGGAGCATTTCCTTATTGAGCCCATTACCCGACCCAAGGATTTAGGATCCTCTCAACACGAACGCTAGCGAATGGGGAAATCAATAATAAGTATAGAGAGTAAATACAAAGAAAAAAAAGGAAAACCACCTCACTGTTCTAGTGTATTCCAGAATCCTTCTGGAAGCCTTCTAGCGTCTCGCCCCTCTTAGCGACCTGTGACTATCGCCAAAACATGCAATTCTGAAACCAACAGACTGGGGCAGGATCACATTTCCAAAATAAATTAACTCATTAGTCAAACCATGGATAGGTTACTATGGCAAGCGGGTCTTTATGCATCACACTCTATACATGAGCACTTGTACCCTTGTACTCCATACATTACTACATACAGTAAATAGGCAGTCTTTCAGTAATGAGACCAACATGTGATATCATGACCACACTAGACTACATCTAGCTATAGACCAACTACCAGGATTCAGTCGGTCACAACAGATTTTCTTCGTGTTCCCACCGACCCCCACTACCTACCTATCACATGAGGGGCACGGGATTTTTGGGGGCCAGCCCCTTTAGTCCAGATCCTCTATACTCTGTAAACACCGTGTGTTATCTTTACTAAGTACTTAGGACGCGGCTGGTACCGACACGGAGGAACTTATTGTGCCGACGGGGGGAAAAATCCTTGACTGATTATTCTATGATTGTGACTCGGAGCCTCAGGTCTGGTTAAATAGGTAATTGCCTCCTGACCATGTGTGGACTCTACAGGGGTGTCCGGAGAATTTGATGGGAAACTACTACCACATACTTACTCAGAATTCGGATATCCTATATATCTAGGTGCTCTGTAGATAGTTGAGGGGCGCTATCTTGCCAATAAGATCATCCAGATTGACATGGGTTTTGGTATACTTGGGTTATTCAGTTTGAAGTGGACGTGTCGGGGGTACAGAGTAGGTAGATAGTACGGAGTAGCTAATAGATATGTGCTGTGTTGGGAGTAGAGAGCACTACCTCTTTGAGGGTAGAGACAGACGAGCTACAAAATGTAACAGAGCGACTAGACTTATCAAGACTCGAACCAGCGCAACCGAGACTATCCCGAAAGACTTTGGGTGTATCATCCCCTCTCACATTGAGCCGAAGTCGTAATTACCGTTCGTCCGGAAACTGATTTACTCTACCGCCAAGAGGAGTTAATCCGTATATGGCATGGATTTGATAAGTCCATGAACCTTGTCGTATTTTATGGTATCATATCTGTTCTCCAGTACCTAGTACGGAGTAGGTGAGTCTGCCCTAATTATGCAGGCCGAGATAGTTCATCTCCACGGCACGGAGAGGAATCGTCAACAATCACATTAAGAGTCGTGCTATCTGCAGGGCACCTAATCTAGGTACCTAGCATCTTTTTAAAATATGATGCATAATTGCTAAGAGAGACTTGCCGGATGGATTCCAGAGATACTGATTGAACGGCATCTGCAACATGTTTTACCAATATTCTATTGCAGGTGGAGATATACTCCGTCGGAATTAGACATAGACTATATAGAGTAGAGTGTGTTTTGTTTAGTATAATCCTTGGATGGCTTGGAGCATCTGCGATAGTCCTTTACTTGAGCTGGGATAGGGAGTTATTGATAATTGTTGTCTGCACATAGTGGTAGATTACAGATATATTTCAATTGTCGCTTCACTTCTAGACAGGTAGAGCTGATTCATGTCGAATACAGGTTTTATTCTAGAGTACTCCGTGACCATATTAAGATAAGGGCACCAACACATGCGTCGCAAGCCGACCAAGATGATTCTAAACAGCTTTCGAACACATATTTGTACTGTCTTGATCGAACAAGGGTCATCCTCATCTGTATCCCTGCGATTAAAGTAGAATTAGAATAACTCTCACCCAACATGGACATCCTCTCCCAATCTAGCATTTACTGTGCATGGTTTGGATAAATACTCCGTACCCAGGGAATTCGACAGACAGAGTATTTTAAAGAAATGGGCATTCGCCGAGTTGGTGATTTGGTATGTAACTTCTAAGCTTTGTTGGTCAACC